CCTCCTCATCAGCAGCAACCTCCTCATCAGCAGCAACCTCCTCATCAGCAGCAACCTCCTCATCAGCAGCAACCTCCTCATCAGCAGCAACCTCCTCATCAGCAGCAGGTTCCTCTCCAGCAGCAGCCTCCCCATCAGATCCAAACAAGCATCAGCACTGCCAGCCAACAATGCGGGTGGAGCCCTGCCGGTACTGCAACATCTGCAGCACCGGTGCCAGCTGGTGCCAGTGGAAGTCACCTAGCACCAGCGCAACCATCTCAGCAACAACACCCTCTTCATCAACAACAACCCCCTCATCAACAACATATCCCTCAGCATCAACCCCCTCAACAGCAACACGTGCAGCCTCCTCAGCAACAGCTCCCCCCTTACCCACTACAACCCCCTCAGCAACATACCCCTCAGCAACAATCCCCTCAGCATCAAGGCCCCCAGCAACCACCCCTTCAGCAACAACCCCCTCAGCAACAACCCCCTCAGCAACACCCGCCTCAGCAACACCCGCCTCAGCAACACCCGCCTCAGCAACACCCGCCTCAGCAACACTCGCCCCCTCAAGAACAGTGGGTAGCTGTACAAGGCGGGGCCTGGTACTCTCCAACCCCTGGATCCCCGCCCCCGGGCCCAGGACCGAATGTCTATGCGCCGCAAGGGGCAGGAGCTCCTCCGGCTCAACAAGGAGCGGGACATCAGACACCGCCGTACGGGACGCAGCAGTACCAACACCAGTCATCCCCACCTCAGGTGCCCGGCCAGCAAGCACACCCTTGGGCGGCTCCCGTGCCAATCCCAGCAGCATACCCTGGCGCCACCCAGGGCCCGGCCCCTAATCAGCCGCCGGCTGCCTGGCAACAGCCTCACCCGCCTCAATGGAACGTACCGGGCCAACAGCGAGCATGGGCTCCGACAGGTCCTGCTCTGGCTTACCAGGCCATGCCGCCTCATTCCCAGGCCAATGGACAGCAGCAGCAGCCGGCACCGCAGTGGAATCCCTCGGTCCAGCAACCCCAACCATGGGTCCAACCGCCTGGGAGCAGCTTCTCCGTCTCTCCCCCTCCCCAATTTGTCGGAGTGGGCCAGCCCTTCTCCCCAGCTCCTCAGCCCGGGCGATATCATCCCCCCAACGGCGTGTACCTACACCAGACCTACGGCACCGCCCCGCCTGCCCAATCTCAGTGGCAAGGCCCGTCGGGGTATGCCCAGGGGCCCGCTCCAGGTTTCCAGCCTCCTATGGCCCAGCCTCTGGGTCCGGGCCCGGCTGCTCAAGACGCTGGCAGCCAGTCAGGGCCTGGGCCGCAGCAGCAGGGGATACGCCCTGATAGTAGTGATGAGAGTTCCACCGTTCCTGCATCTTCCCCTGCTCCTGCGCCTGCCGGTGATGATAAGGCTGTGTCCGAATCGGTATCAAACAGTCAGCGCGAGCCAGCTGGCTGTGGTGGTGATGCTGCCCAAGAAACTGCTGGCCCGACAGTCGGTGCTGGTGTCGATTCGGTTGCTCAGAATGCGGATGGTTCTGGAGAGGGGGAAACCGAGGGAGGCGAGCCGCGCCGTCAGGGGGCGGAGGGCCATGAGTTGAAGAATGGGGCTGCTGGTTCAAATGAACATGAGTGCGACGGCAACTCTGGCGGAGAAAAGGCCGGTGAGGCTCAACTTAAAGTTGTTGAGGTGACGGATGGCAAGGTCGCTGAGCCCACCGTACCCGCCGAGCCCGCAACTCCTCAGCCCGTCAGTCAGTGAAGGTGTTTGGACAAACGGGAGGCCAGGCTCGTACCGTAGACAACGGAATAATGTGGCAGCAAGATCCCGAGAGTGGGCTGTGGTGTCTTCCGAGGGCGATATGAAACCGTCGCAGGAGGAGGAGAAGTATAGTGGACATCAATATTGAGGATGGTTCAGGATTTCAACGTCCGCGATCTAGGTTTCGTGTTTTCTTTCTTTCTTTGGTTGGCCAAATCCAAGACAGCTAGAATTCGGAGTAGTATGCCAATGCTCAGTTGCTTTGGGCACTTTCGAGCTCTGCCTTGAGCCGCATCATGAACTCTTCGGCCGTTTGTATCTCGCAGCGCCAGCAATCCATGATCATCTGCCCGCACGGCAATCCCTGCACGCTAGGAAAGATTTGCTGGGAGTAACGAGCCTCAACCTCATCGTCCAAGAGGTCCTCGTATGGCTGTCTGCTCGTCACGATTTCGTAAATGGTAGAGCCGATGGCGAAAATATCGGTTCTGACGATTGGCGGCTCCGTTAATGGCCGCGGGAGGAGAGAACCTCATTGCTCTCAATTGCAGATCCTACAATACTATTAAAGAAGAGCCCGACAAGTCGATAAGCCTAAGAGGTTGTCGGTCTTGAGATCGCTGTGGATGATGCCGTGGGAATGGACGATATGCAGACCTTCGGCAACATCACAGGCCCACTGCAGCCGCTCAGCAAAGGCAGCCCCCGGGAGATGCTCTCGCAGCCGCTTTGGGCATGTACTGCAGGACGAGGCTTTCTTCAAGAGAGTTTCTGATGAGCTGTAATAACCGTTCGTGTTGTGGCAGTTTCTGTTAGACTCGAAACCCGCGCTCAAGGACTCGAAGACAGGGCCTCGTTCCCACATCGGAGACGTTCCATCAGCCCGCTACTCCCCGCAGACACGACGTTCTATTTCCCCGAACAGCATCTAGTTAGTGAAACCTCGTAGAACAGCGAACTACACCGAGCATACACAGGAGGGGATCGGTCCGTCAAACTAAGGTAGTTCAAGGGGGTTAGCGTACTTGCCGGTCAATGAGGTCGATGCGTGCGCGAACTGAGGAGCTGCTTAAGGAGCACAAGAGATCATCTGTGGCAGAAGTATTGTTAGGAGCAGGAGGCAATCTTTGGTGTTAAGAGCGTCCAGTCGGGGACGGGAAGGCTGGAAAACAAATGGGTAATAGAGAGGATGATGATGAGCCAGGAGTTCGATTCTCTGAGACTTGAGAGTGAACGATGTCTGCGAGGTCTGAGGTCTCGGGAGTTCAAGGTTAAGGGCTCGCATATCGGCGTTCGCAGTTCGCCGTACAAGAATGTCAAATCGAACCGACTTTGTACGCCAGCGCATATGCATAGACAAAAAATACACACGAAATACAAAGAGCATCTTTAGTTGATATACGGGCACATCAGCCAAGTCGCTTGATTTCCAATCCATTAGGTACCTTTTCCAACCTAATCCTGAGCCCGGCGAGATGAGCACTGAGCGCCGCTGAGCTCCGTCGTTAATTGTCACGTACGACCATAAGGTCCCTGGTAGAAGACTCAGGATCCCGTCCGCTATCCCTTAGACCTCATAAATCGGCGTCGAAGCCGCCTCTGCGGCCGCGACCGGCCGCTGTCCGTCGGCCGGAACCGCCATCAACTTAATCCCCGCTGATACAAGCAGCTGCGGTCTTCCGTCAGGACCAGCAATCATATACACATCCGTCGTGCCCCCCGTCTGACTGGCAAGCGTCAGAGGGATGACAACGGGAACGTCTGCCTGCCTCGGAACAACTCCCGCGAGCTCGGCCAGGTTCTCCTCGGGTGTCCCGTGAGCACTTGGAGTGGGGATGGAAGCGTTGTTTGCCTGCTTCGGAACTCCTGCGAGCTCGGCCCGGTTTCCATCATATGCCCTGTCGTCAGAAGTTGGGACAGATTCAGGGGTAATAATAGGTGCAGATGAGGTGCGGATACGGTGGACCTCGATGCAGGGCCTGACGAAGAGGATACTGTGGAAGAAACTGTTGTGATTTACAATGTTAGAAGGATCGTCGTCTTGCAAAGAATAACAATAAATTGTGCATTATAATCAGAGAAGGGGGACACAGAAGTAACCATAGAAGCAGTTCTTACCTTATAACACAAGAAAGCGAGGCAACCGAATTTCCAAAATGGGGAGATGTGCACCCGTTGTACCCACTGCAACTTGGAATTTGGATGGAGACACTCGCAAAGACTGTGTGGCCGGTTACAAGCCCCAGATGGACAACGAGGTGAACGGCCGGGTGGATGCCGCGATAATACCGCTCGACTGGCTTATTTCTAGCTAGGTGCTTTATGACGAGCTCGGTTGGGCTCCAGATTATTACATTCCAACCTGGTGCACATAAGCAATGATCGGAATGGGTTAGTACAGTACGTTTATTGAACCCTGATTAGAGGTAATAGAAGACGGGGTCCGAGGTTGGCTCACCACGGGGCCGATAATCTCCCAGTATACCCGACGCTTCTCAGCCGTCACAACCGCAGCAAGGACAAGCTGGACCGCTGAAAGCAGGATAATGGAGTAGTTGAACCAGATTTTCATCTTCCTCCCCCGAGTCCCAATGACAAGCTCGCGCCGACGTGCCACATGCATTGGCACTCGCGCGAGGGAAGCGTCCCGAGGGAGGCCTTTCCCCATAGATTGCTTCTGTCAATTGCCTCCTTGTCAAGGCCAACGTTGCAATGTATTGAGCTGTTCTGGTTGTTCTCGGTCGGTTATTATCCCTACTGATCAGTTCGGACAATGAAAAAGGCGAATGTTGCCACCGACAACACGCCGGCCGATGACCAAAGTCGATAGGACTGCTGAGTCAAGGAAGAACTGTCAAACCCGGGAGGAAGCGCTCTTGTTGCCCGCTTCATTTGGGGAGCTGAACTTTGTGGCTTGCAGCTAGTACTTAACTATTGGAATCAATGAACGACGCCTCAACAAGCGACGAGGCTCCCACGCCACAAGTGGACGAGGTGAGTTTGCCAGTTCGCACTCACTAAGTCTACATCTCTCCCAGAGTCTAAAACACAGTGACACAGTCACCACGATAGCAGCGCTGAGATTATAAAGTAGAACTTAAGCAGCTGGATGAAATCAAATTTGTGAAACCTGAACTCTGAATTCTGGAAGAGCCGAGATTTTCCAATGCCAAACTTGGCGGAAGTACGGAGTAGTGGACGCGAGTTTAGGGTTAGGGCTTCCCCCCCTCCTTGGAGATTTCATGCGAGGAGGAGGCCAGGTCCAGGCCACCCGATACACGCATGCATTGAACATTACACAAAGACAAGAGCGTCTAGCATGATCTAGACGGGTAAACTAGGATGCCGTGTGGACACCAGGGCGAATCCTGAGTTCCTCCCCTTTCCATCTCAGATCTACCTGAAAGGCTACATCAATCTCAACGATCAAAGCCTCCGACTCTCGGGGCCGTGCTCGCCGTTTTATTGTCAACATCTTGACGGTGGAACTGTCCCGAATATCGCGATGGGGGGCAGAAACCTTCTCCTTTGCTTCGACGCCTTTGGAACCCTGTTCGTCCCCAGGCGGCCGATCGCAGAGCAGTACGCAATAGTAGCGCGGCAATGCGGCCTCGACGGCCTCAGCACCGAACAAGTCCAGGCGTCCTTCAAAGCTGCCTTTTCGGGAGAGTTAAGAGCACATCCCAACTACGGCAGAGCCAGCAACATGGGTGCCGAGCACTGGTGGACTAATGTCAGCAACATCACACCCACCACACTCTTGATCTTGACTCGAGAGACCACACTGACATGCCCGCCTTTTCAGGTCATTCAAAAGACTTTCCAACCACTCGTCGGGTCAATCAGGGAGGTACCCAAGGATCTCGCGCCCAGGTTGCTGCACCGCTTTTCCTCCAACGAGGGCTACACCCTCCATCCCGGTGTCGACACCCTCCTACGATCCCTCAAGCATCATCACCATCACCACCAGCACCACCACCAACAACAGCACGGCTCCCACCGAGTGGTAGTAGGCGTAATCACCAACTCAGACGACCGCGTGCCCAACATCCTCTCCTCCCTCGGTCTCCGCGTCAGTCCCCTGCGCTTCGGCCGCCCCTTCAACCCTGCCAAAGTGGCCAATCAGCACGAGTTCGACATTGACCTGCACTGCATGTCCTATGACGTCGGGTACGCGAAGCCAGACAAGAGGATATTCGATGCCGCCGAGGGCCTGGCAGTTCAGCTGGTTGCAGCACACACGAGCAACACCATTAGTAGTACAGCGCGATGGCTGAGAATCCATGTAGGCGACGAGTACGAGAAGGATGTGATCGGGGCGCGGGCAGCTGGATGGCACTCTGCCTTGATCGGTGCAAATGAAAATGTCCTCCGAATCTCTGGTCAGGAGAGCATCTTAGGCTTGGACGAGCTTGGAGGGAGGTCGATCGAAGAGGCCTTCCCCAAGAACGGTCCGCCGTCGACAATACTGTCAGAGAGCACACAGAAACTGCTGGAGTGGCTTGTGAAGTTGTCTGCTGCGGAACTGGATGGCTGAGGCTGCGAGCAATATCGAGTGGGATTGTGTCAACTCCAGGGTATGTAAAACTACTGCGTTACTGTATAGTAGTATAATCAAGAACTTCGCCAGCCAAACAACGGCACGGCAAACCAGAATCCTAGTCTAGGTATACCCCCCGCTTGCAGATAAACAAGACGCAGTGAAGAAGAACCAAAGGGACGTGAATGCTGACATGAAAGGTGTCGAGTAGCCATAAACCCTATACAAAAGGTTGAAAGACAAGAGGGAAAGAGAGCGTTAGGGGCTGCGGGATAGGCCCAGCGGCGAGAATGCCTCTCCTGGGAAGCCGGCCCAACTCCGAAACATCGTGTTTCCGTCCATTTTCTCTTCCTCTAATCCTAAGCCTGAGCCATCCCGGCCCAGTCGCCTGGGCCCACGAGTCTCGCGGAAACGCCGGGCCGCCGTGCCTCCATACTTCCACACCCCTTACCCGAACATGGGAGTATCCTGATCGACAGCACCAACCGGCGCAGCGGGTGACGATTCGACAGCGCCGAGCGGCGAGCGTGAATTATCGTGCTTGTTCTTGTAGAGCGTCTCGCACCACTCTTCGGCGCTCACCAGCGTGCGGTTGAGCACATCACCAACTTGCGTCATCATCTGCAGGGCCTCCCTGGCAAAAAGGAGGGCCAGGTGGGCACTGTCCCGGGGTCCCGCGTCTGGGCTGGCATTGCTAGGTCGACCCTCCGACTGCCGCACGTAATGGAAATGGTACAGCCCAGGGAGGCTCATGAGCTGGCCGTGGACGAGATTCCTGGCGTTCTCTGGGAGAGCGCTTCCGGCGTATTTGGAAACCGTCTGAACGGTGCGGTGGATGACACGGAAGAGATCGTCGCGGAGCTCGGTCATGCGCGAGAGCAACCTGCTGCGGTCTTCAGGCGCATGCGGTGTCCCATGGTTGGCGTCCGCCATGCTGTGATCTTCGTCACGCCGTCCCTGGGATGCGCGGTCGTAGGCATCAATGGCGCTCTTGAGCTTGACGAGGACATCCCCAAGGTAGGTGTTGGTGTCTCTAACCACTTTGAGACAATACTTCAAGCTCTTCAGACTCTCCTGCTTCATGGCCACGCCTAGCCCAGAGGTGGTCACGACGAATCGCTGGCCCCACTGTTGTCCCGAAGCATCAGGACCAGAGGTCGGTTGCGCCGCGTCGTCGGCTGTCTCGGTATAGGCCGGCGACCGCTGGTCATCATACGCGGGAAGCGTGTCGACGGTGCTGATGGACATGCGCCGGTCGTCGCCGTCGGCACTTGGCGCCCGTTGCGACGCGCCCGAACCATCCTGCCGCTTGTCGTTCCGGTCCGACTTACGCCGTTTGCTGTTCCCGCGCTCCCCCGTCTCAATGTCGGTCGACGAATGCTGCTTCCGGCTGCGCATCCCAAAAATCCACCGCACTCCTCCCTCCACACCGGTTTTCCGACCCACGGTACCCACGGCTTTCCCGACGGGTTTCAGGTAACTTTCGACGTATTCGGCGCCCGTCTTGAGATGGGGGGAGTAATTTTTGCTGCTGTTGTACGCAGAGGCGGCGCCCTCGATGGTGGTAGCAAGTAGTGTATGTGACGTCGTGATGAGGGACAGAAGAGGTTCTGGTTCGTATCTGTTGTTGTGTCCCGAGGGACTGGTCGTCTTGTAGTCCCTGAGTGGCTTGCCGTGGTTTGACGAGACGCTGTTGTTTCGCGGGGAGGAACCACAGTCTGCAGTTTAGAGGAAGGGTTAGCTTGTCCAATTTGCCGCACCTCAGCCAACCCAGACTTCTATGCTGACGCACCTGTCTTCATCTGTCCCAAAGCCTCGGCGGCGATGCGCACATCGGGGTCATCCAGGCTAACACTGGAACCCCTCTGGCCAACGCTCGTCTCCGAGCCTATACTCGGCGACGACTCGACCGGGTCGAGGTAGCTAGGCGTGTAGTAGGTCGTAAAGGGATTGAGGCTGGGCCAATGGTTGGCCGGTTTCGCATAGGCCCTTGGGTGCGAAGGATCAGGTGGTTTCGGCAGCGACGCATGCGCCGAGGTGCCAGTGACTGAAGAGAGCGGGGGTAGAGTCTGAGCTGAAGGCTCGGCGGGCCTTTCATGGTGTAACTTTATGGGCGCCAGTTCGGTGGTCGTCGGCTCGTCGGGGAAAGAGAGCGCGAGGGGAGGGAGCTGCAGGGAGGAAAGGGTATCTAAGGGAGCCGAGCAGTGGTCTGACGACTCCTGCTCGTGGCCGCCATGGTTCGGTGAGGTCTGCATCCGAGCCGTTGGTGCATCGGCATCCGCGGTCACTGGCTGATGTATTGCGGCGACGTGCTGTCGTGGGTCGTCACCGAGCCGTGGCTGTGGCGAAGAGTGCCCCAGAAGCATGTGACTCTGTTCCATCGCTGTGCTCAACTATCGCACGGCAAGAACCAGCGGCGCCGACAATCAGAAACGCCCCGACATTGGCGCGTCGCAGAGACTGAACCTGATGTGTGGTCGTTTGAATACTCGGTCGAGTTGTCAAATGCTTTGGGCCACTCGTGTCCGAGACCGTTTGCGCGCTTCTTGTTCGAAGTCTGTGTTCTCGGGCAAGAACCCACTCGTCATACAATGGCGTCAACAGCAGGGTAAGGTGGAGGCAGACCAAGGGCCGCTTTGCATTGCTGAGTAAAGTCGTTGCCGCTCGAAGAACAATTCGGCGATGTCGAGGGAATCCAGCGTGCTGACCGGAGAGTCTGGTAGAAATCCAGAGTGTCGGAGGAGCCGCCTGGCCCAGAGAGGGGAGTGAGGGCTTCACTCTGCAATAGAGTCGGCTATACGGACAGTGTAACCAGGGTCTGGGCACGGCGAGAAAGGGTACGGTGTGAATAGCGATTGAACAACAGAAGCGGCTGATGTACAAGGTAAAAGAGATGTATGTTTCGTCTGATAGTAGCGAGGGCTCAGAGCGATCAACAATATGGACGGATGGTCTGGACAAGTCAACTGATGTGCGAGGAATTGGGAACAGCTGAATGGGATGTCGGCAGAGATCTCTATAGCAGCCCCGCTCTTTGCGTTGAGGTTCGTTCCCACATGCCTTCCAGCTTGTCACTGTCAATGGTTCGGATTGTCGCATGTGAGGTCAGGCGCACCGAAACGATCCACCGGCTCCCCCGACGCTCCTTCCGCCACAGGCTGCTTTCCTCATCAGACGGGGCCCAAGCGGCTTCATGCCCTTTGCAGAGATGGGCGAGATGGGCTACCATTGAGACCTTTCCAACTTGAGATCGGAGCAGAGGTTTGCTGACTGGTGTGTGTGGGGGTCCGGCAGAGCAAGCCGCTTTGCAAGATGATGGTTGGACCAGGCACAGCGTCGCCCGCTTTTCGTCATTGATTGCTACACCACCACACCATCACTGACCTGACGCAGGGTATCGCGCCTCAGGAGAACGTGGATGGGATCTGAGACAATCAACCCAAAATGCATGGGCAGTTGGGTGTTGTGTCGTCTTACGGGGTGCCTCACAACCGTTAGGCCATAAACGGAATGCAGCCTGCAACGCTTAGAACGGACTTGTTGGACCTCGGAGTTCGTTGAATTGAGTGTCTGGCACATGCCACAGCGGTTTGGGCTGCATTGACCCTGGAGCTAGTGAGATTATCCGGATGCCTTTGCCGCTCGGCTCCCCACCTTCACATGCAACAAAAGGCTTGTTGAGAAATTGAAGCAGTGGAAGAACCCCTTCCACGCGCTAGGCACGGTTGAGATGATCCATCCATCGAACCGTCTTCCAGAGCGACATGAGAATCTGATGACCAATTGGTCTTGATATCGGGATATGCACACAGAACCGTAGACAAGGGGAATCAACTGGAATTCATTCGTTGAGTCGCTGCCTCAGACGATGCCGCGAGATCTGGCGCCCGCACTCAATCGATTGAGGCGAGTACCAGGCCAGGATGCAAATTTGTGAGACACATGATGCTGTTGAGACAGTCGACAGTCGTCAACTCAAGATGTTACGAAGCGAAATGTCCGGCGCCTCTGACGCTGCCCAAGCAATAAGCAAATGCGCCTCGAAAGCAACACACATACTCAGGCAGCTCTTATGGCGCCGCAATAGGATTCCTCTCCGCGTCTCGGAATCGCAGACAACATCAACAGCGACACGGATCGGATACTCGACAGAATGCCGGCACCTGTTGTGCGTACGATGGACTGCACTGTCTATTAGACGCGATGGGGAGAGGAAGAGGAATGCGAAGAAGAATCACTGCCAAAAATTTTCTTTTGAAGGCCATTCTGGCGGCCAGCCGACGCACTGCCCCACACCGGAACCAGTTTCCCCTTGGCCGATTCAGCGGGGCCAGAACCCAAGCCAGGCTCGCCAGAGTTTAGCTGAATGGAACTAGCCCGCTCGTAGGCATGTGGGGTTCCTCCGTTACACCTCCAGCTGGTCGCTTGGGCCACATCAACGGCGCCATTCGCGAAACAGCAAATGGCTTTGCAAATCCCTCGACGACGAGACCGAAGAAGACGACGACAGGAAACACCCCGCAAACCTCAGGGTCGTAGAGCTTTCTCACAATAAAAGTAAAGCAATCGTTCCACACGTGACGACACCAGACTCCGGAATCCAACCTCGCAGCTTCGCGGCATCGCTCCTCGTTTCGTCGAAAGCGCTCTTGCGGCTTCGGGCGCAAGCACGCTCACCTTCCCTTCGCCATGGCGTCGGCCGTCTTCTTCCTCGACCTCAAGGGCAAGACGCTCCTCGCCCGCAACTACAGGGGGGACATCCCCATGTCCGCCGTCGAGAAATTTCCCATACTCCTCAGTGAAGCCGAGGAAGAGTCGTCAGCGGTGCCGCCTTGCTTCTCCCACGAAGGCATTAATGTGAGATGAGCTGTTTGCCACCTTGGATTGCGTCTCCGCAAGCCTCCTCTGGGGATAAAGTACAGGATAGCTGATGCCGTGCTCCGCAGTACCTCTACATCCGACACAACAACCTGTACCTGCTCGCCCTCACAAAACGAAACACCAACGCCGCAGAGATCCTGCTCTTCCTGCACAAGATTGTCGAGGTGTTTACCGAATACTTCAAGGCGCTCGAGGAGGAATCCATACGCGACAACTTTGTCATCATCTACGAGCTGCTCGATGAGATGATGGACTTTGGCTACCCGCAGACGACGGAGTCCAAGATCTTGCAGGAGTACATCACGCAGGAGTCGCACAAGCTCGAGATCCAGGCCCGTCCGCCCATTGCCGTGACCAACGCCGTGTCGTGGCGCTCCGAGGGCATCCGCTACCGCAAGAACGAGGTGTTCCTCGACGTCATCGAGTCGCTCAATTTGCTGGTGTCGGCCAACGGGAACGTGCTGCGGTCCGAGATCCTGGGCGCCATTAAGATGAAGTGCTACCTGTCGGGCATGCCCGAGCTGCGCCTGGGGCTCAACGACAAGGTCATGTTCGAGACGACGGGCCGCACGACGCGCGGCAAGGCCATCGAGATGGAGGACGTCAAGTTTCACCAGTGCGTGCGCCTGTCGCGCTTCGAGAACGACCGCACCATCAGCTTCATCCCGCCAGACGGCGAGTTCGAGCTCATGTCGTACCGCCTCAACACCCAGGTCAAGCCGCTCATCTGGGTCGAGTGCGTCGTCGAGTCCCACAGCGGCTCGCGCATCGAGTACATGCTCAAGGCGAGGGCCCAGTTCAAGCGCCGCAGCACCGCCAACAATGTCGAGATCATCGTGCCCGTCCCCGACGACGCCGACACGCCGCGCTTCCGAACCAACGTCGGCTCGGTCCACTACGCGCCCGAGCAGAGCGCCATCGTCTGGAAGATCAAGCAGTTTGGCGGCGGCAAGGAGTTCCTCATGCGCGCCGAGCTGGGCCTGCCGAGCGTCCGGGGCGATGATGAGCACGGCGGCGGCATGACGGGCGGGTTCGGCGGCAGCATGGGCGGCATCGGAGCCCCCGGGAAAGGGGCCAAGAGGCCGATACAAGTCAAGTTTGAAATTCCCTACTTTACCACCAGCGGGATCCAGGTGCGATACTTGAAGATTACAGAGCCAAAGGTATGTCTGCATCACCCTCTTCTGTGCTTGCCTCTCGTCGACTAATATGATGCTGTGTGCAGCTCCAATACCCTTCGCTGCCATGGGTGCGCTACATTACACAATCCGGCGACATTGCGGTCAGGCTACCAGACGCAGTATGAGGCGTGGTTTTAGGCGGGTGCGGTATCTAAGAGCGATGTTGAACACACGGGCCCATCTGGACGCGACGGTTTGGTCCGAACCTCGAGAGACGAAGAAGACATTGAAGGCGAAGGGTGGCCATGAGACGGGGCCCCGTGCTTGGAGATAATGGGAGGTCTGTTGCGGCGTACGGTGAATATGAGCGGCAGGCGGAACATAGAGTAGTAAGGTAGACCACATCTCAGGCACAGGCGCGTGGACAGCACCCTGCACACATGCTTCCGTCCCGAGTTGGCATGGCCCGCGGTTTGATGCCAGGTCGGCTTGGGTATGAACAAGGCGTTGAGTGAAGAAAGGAGGAGCTTTGGGCAGGAATGCCGGGTCAGAGAACACATTTGGGAGGAAACGACCGGGTCCAGGGCACGACATAAGCAGCGCCTGCACCGCAACACAGCAATGAGCATCCCATATAGTGTAGTGGTTTAGCATTCATATTTTCATCTCTTGATGGATAATTCTGGCGTCCCGGGCCCGAACCCCGGTATGGGAATCAAGCCCCTTTTTGCATGTATCATCTTCGGTCTTGCACATTTCGCTGGTGGAAATCCAGCAAGAAACCACCCGCCTGTGAAGTTCGGCTCCTCGCAGAGTCCGATTGCTGCAGTTGCCCCCACGCCGTCCGTTCGGCTAACATGGCTAAGTCTCCAAGACAGTTGGGTGTGAGTTAACTTCTCGCGTTATGTTCTCTAAATAAGCAACAGATTGTCATATTTTAGTCATATCAGACCTCGCCGAAGACATGTCACAATCCCTCCAAGGCACGCATGCTCCCTTTCGACAAACACGCCGGCATGAGTCCATCCGTTTTCATGGATGTCTCTGGTAATCCAACCTGTTATATTCTTAAGACATGGACGGTGCTTGACACACCACACCTGGCTCCTCACTGCTGGAGCAAACCAGTACATCGATGGCCTCGGTCCAGTACTCGCTGTTTTATCATTCCTATCCTGGGCCGAGTCACCACCTAGCATAACTAGTATCGACTTCAAGGCAACCGATATCGGCCAGTATCCAACACTGTGAGCGCTGCGGTCTTGAGACAGAGGTCGGAGGGTTGCACAACATCAGCCACTGGCATCATTTGTCGACAGTGGGTGGCTGTGCTCCAGCTGACAGCTCATCACATGCTAGAAGACAGCAGTATGCGGTTGAGGACCGCTTCCGTCGGGCATCGAAGGATCTCAGTGCTGTGGTCCATCCAACTCACCATGACCAGGTCATACGACCAAACTTTGTTTCCTATGAGAAGGGTGCGGCTTCTCCTTCTCGGGGTTCCGATCATGCGCCTCAATTGACATTCCAATACCTCGGATACACGGCACGTTGGATCTACCAACCAGGCTCGAAGATATTCCCAAGGACTGTCTTACTGGCTCGTCATCAGGCGAGGGACGGACTGAGACACGTCACTACTCCCCCCAGCGCCATGGGCCGGCATTTCTTCGCATGATAAGTGGAAGTACCTCTGTTCTTGGTGCGGCGTGACTCGGAGATACAGCGGGACGGTCCCTGGGAACGGCATTCCGGATTAGGAATATGCAGCGACGAGAGATACGGCTAACTTACAGGGGGAGATTAGGGGGAGTGATGGTGTCGTCAGTTGCCAGCCACTCTTCAACATGGGAAATGGGCTCATCCCTCGCTTGAAGCGGCTGCGATAAAGTTCCCGAGGCTTCCCTGCCCGCTTGTGGCTGTCACAACCCCCACGCTCGCAACCTGGCATGCTGATGCGACCCGAGTTTTACCACCTATACGCATGTGCCGCCTTGTCTGTGCTACTATAGAGCTCAAGGGGCTCCCATCCTCGCATCTTCATGAAAATGGCAAGGTAGGTATCGCTTCACGTCTCTCAGTGAAGAAGCCTAGGTGTTGTTCCACAGAATCCATGTACACTCAGCTGAACGGATCCCACTTGCCCTGCCTCATCCAGTCTGCTGTCCACCTGGAGTTTCTGGGCTTTGACAGGCTGCTTTGTAGCGCCTCCACCATCCAGGGTACCCAACGGTTTGTGGCGAGACAACGGAAGACACCACAGATCTTCCGAGTGCAGAGCATTCCGCCGTGCCGTTCCCCGAGCTTCGACTGACTCTCAGTCAACTTTGATCCTTATGTGGTGTTGCGATGTCGGCCAGTCGCCTGGCAGGTGCGGGCGGTGAGCATCATCGAGACATCCATCCTGCGTGCCCTCACCATTGCCGTCGGTGCCCAGCCAGCCTTGCACCCGCACACGACGAAGGTGTCAGGCACGGTTTCGATCATGCTGCTAGGCCTATTACTACGATGGGTGGTGACACCCGAAACACCACCCCCATCTTGGTCTGTCGGATCAGGTCACTGGACAGTGCCGCACCCTCTTCCGCAACCGTAGCAGTGTCACCGGTTGGGCTCTCAGTTTGGTTAGAAAACACCACGGCTCAGTTGCTGTTCCGCTTGTCTCTATGTTTCCCCGCAAATCAGATCCGGCCATCTTCACTACACGACATCCAGGGATGCTCACACCGCCAATACCATTGTGCTCCTCAACACTCCGGACCACTATCTCATGCCCAACGGGCGGAAGAAACGGAAGGGGCAAGAGGGGTTGGGCATTCATATCGAGCTCATTGCTGTCCTGCATGGTTTCTCTTCCGGAACCGCATCATGCACGCTCCTCGAAGCAAGATGATATAATCTGCCGCTCATCTCTGTCAATTATGACAGATCTGTACAGCATCAGGAACTAGCGCCACACACCATATAACCGGCCGGGAATCTTCCGAGGCTCTGTTGTCCCACCACTCCCGTCTCGCTATTCGTCCATCGAGCATCACCATGTTTTCCTCCTTGGTGAGTGGCTTACGTATCCCTGACCTTGAACGTGTTACGGATGGTCTGCTCACGCGTCTTGTAGACCAGTTACGCATCGGCCCCGGCCAGCGGTAAGACTCACAAACATAGTTCCAGCAGCCATGGAAGCCGCCACGGAACCACAGCTGGCCATTCAAGGGGTACAAAGACAAAGCCCCAGAGACCAGCCGTTCAGGAGACGATCGCGACTTCTTTTCTGTTTGTCGTCAACGAGTTTCAAGTCGACTATGAACCGCTGCCAGGACAAGACCGCCCCCTGACGGACCAGTGGCTCAATACTATGCCGCCGCAGCAAGCTGAGGCATACACAGGCGAGTTCCCTGGGACAGTGTTCAGGTATCAGAACGGAGTCGTGTCTCCGGCTCATGGATATCTCTGGTAATAAGCCATTAAACCCCAGAGAGACCTGTAATTGTGATCGAGTGCTGAACCAGACGATGAAGCTAACACAAATCCGCAGGCACCGGTCGGCGATGGGCCATGAAGGGCGCATCGTCCGCGTCAACCAGGCCGGCGTCATCGACGGGTATCCCGTTGTGTACCGCGCCCAGACCGTCTTTGCCTGCTCGGCCTTGTTGCCCATGATTGTGGCGGACGGGGACGCCTCGCTGGGCTACACCTTCATGCGCCGCAACTGCAGTTGCGACCGCATCTACGACGAGCGCTATTCGACTTGGTCGTATCTGCATTTTGGGGCAGGACACGGTGACGGCGAGGGCATCTCGTACGTGTACTCCAACTCGTCGGGAGACCCCTGGGCCGCCGGTCAGCAGGCCTCGTGGATCCCTTCGTTGGTGCCCAGCGTATACAAAAACACGAATCCCTCGGCGCCGCATTCGAGGGGTCTCTCCGGTCACCTGCCCATAATTCTCGCCTTGATGGGCTTCCATGGTCGACCTCGCTGGCCGAGTGACGTATTTCGAGATCGGAAGTGGCACCATAGGCGGTGGTTGGGCTCGAACAGGGCCTCCAGTTACTGTTTGTGACCTCTTCCCTGCAGCGGAGATCACCAGCGTCTGGCTAACCGAAGCAGTGCCAAAGTCAGGCGAAAGCCCTCGCGGCCTGTTTGTCCAAGTTTGCGCCGACAACCTGGCAGATGGCCGACCTGACAGCGAAGAGACCAACATCCCAATGGACATTTGGGAAGAGATGCTGCAGGACTTGGAGTATAGGACCATTCTTGTTCAAGGCTAGGGTCATATACTGGGATTCTGGGCAGGTCCTCGTCGTTGCTTGAAGATTTCTCCCGTTCTCTTCTACATTTTCATATACCGTTCAACAGATGCACTTGGAGACATTCCCGCTTACCTTCGTTGCCCAATACTTCTCGTTTACTTCGACCGCCGCGTGACTTTAGCCACGATGGCCGCCTTCTATACCATTTGCATTTCTGACAACGGTACGTACATGCCCTGAACCGCAGCGCTCTGTCCGGCAAGCTCAAACAATGTATTCTGAAACCATCCCAGGAGTGGTGGCGTGCCAATCACCTGGCATAGACAAACTGCCGACGTCGATCTCCTCCTCATAATGCTGCCAAATATCACAGAATTGTAACCAGACAGATTACCCGCTGTGCACATTAACCTTCTCTTCCGAACCCCTCCAGAGATGTCGGGACTAGATATTCCTCCATGTCGAAACCCCTATCGTCCCATGTATTGGGCCACAAGCTTTAAGATATGAAGGTCCCCCGCACTCAACAAACAACTGGCAGTTTTGTGACTTGGTTCCTCTCTCAACATGGGCACGTACCTGAAGCCCACCGAGTTCACAATGCATAGTCCATCGCTCGTCGCCCTCGTCGCCCTTGGCCCCTTGTTGGCCTCGGCAGCCGAATGCACGCGTGAATTCCTCAAGACGAGCGCCGACAGCTTGGTAGCGGCACAGACAGCCGGAGATCCAAGCCTGCTCAAGCCCGTCTCCCCGGGGCTCATCTACCACGAGAACTTTGCCGCGGCCGCCTTGCAGTCGGGCATCCTAGCCTCTCCCATCAAGATCGACCACAGCCGCCACAGCCTCGACACGACGCAATGCGCGACCTACACGGAACTGATTTCGGCCACGGGCGCAAAGCCATACGTGCTAGGCACCCAAATGTGGTTCGACCCCGAGGCCGGCGCCATTTCCAAGATGGACACGCTCATAAGCACGACGGGCGACTGGCTCTTCAACGCCACGGGCACGCTGCACTGGGCCTCTCGAGAAGACTGGGGCGCCATCCCCGAGTCCCAGCGTAATCCGCGCGCCGTCATCCAGGCGGCCGCCGACGCCTACTGCGACATTTTTAGTGATAAGAGCGTGGTTGTGCCGTGGGGCAGGCCGTGCGCCAGACTGGAGGGCGGCGCGTACACGGGCAACGGCGGGCCCAACGACAGATGCGACGTCGGGATTCCGAGCGGTGCGAGTCTTGTGGATAGAAGATATGTCATTGACGAGACGGTCGGGGCGGTCTCGGTGTTCTTGAGTTTCTCGGGCATTCCGGATAGTCATGAGTTTCGGGTTGAGGGCGGCAAGCTGCGCTACGTGCACACCATTACCGTCATGAGCGCCAGGGGGGATGGGAAGGGCAAGGGCAGGAGGAGGGCGAGAGGTGTCATGAGTCCTCCCGTGTAGTACCAGCACGAAGAACGGGGTGCACAGAGGGGAGAGGTCTTAACCGTCTGGTCTGTTTATAGTGACCCGGGGATCAGGGGCTCAGTGGAAGTCTGCTACATGTAGTGGTGGATGATTCGTTCAATTCATATCCCATGCTTTAGGACATGTTCATTAGTCTGCCGCTCAAACATGAATTACTGAACAACGGATCAATAGGATAACAGACAACAACGTCGTCAAGAAAACAAGTAGCCTTGTACAATACAGTAGAAAACAGCTCTAGAACAAGATAAGAGACCAGCTATCAACAAGTGCACGTATGTATGAAGGACACCTATGTTACTCGACAATGAGTCTGGCGCTCTCCGTCGCCGCCCGTGTCTGTGACCGGTTCGTGGCGCTCTTGGGATAACAGAAACTAAGGCCCGTCCCCTGCGGCCCGTCAGCATACACCCATGACACACCCACACAGCGTCCCCTGGCCGAGGCGGGATACAGGTTGAGCTGGGCGCAGAGGTGGATGCAGTCGAGCATGGAGATGACGGGGAACCATGCCAAGTCGTCGCTGGGGTAGTCCGTCTCGCACACACGCTCGAACGTGAGGCCCGTGCCGGGTACCGTGTAGTTCGCCTTGCCATCGGGCAGCGGGCACTCGCTGATGACGTCGCCCAGGGCGACGGCGCTGGTGATGGACTTGTCGGTGGCGAAACAGACCTTACCCGTGGGCGCTGCCGCTGCCGTTGCCGAGGTTGATGTTGACGCGACGCTACCAGTTATGGAGGGACTGGAACCGATACTGGGGTTGGGCTTGTTAGGATGGTGTTTCGAGAAGGAGGCATTTGAAGGTAGGTGCACTCACCTCGGACAAGAAGACTGCTGTGCATCCAATCCCGCTGGAAGTGATGTGGCAGTGCCACTGCTGCTCCTCAACACTTGACTCTGTACCACCCCAAGCACGATGAGTGCAATGGCGAGCAAGATGTTGCTGACTGTCAAGAAGAACGTCGTCCTGCGCAACCCCAGTATCTTCCCTGATCCCCTGGTCTCTCCATGTTGTTGTTCCACGCCCTCAACAGGGGCCTTGGGGGGTGACGGGATCTTTTCAGGCGGTGAGTAAGGAATGGGAAGCTCTTGCCAATTCCCGGATGTGTCGTCCAGCGTGTGCAATTGCTGAGGGGTCTGCTGCGGGTTGGACTGTTGATTGGGCTGGCTTTGTACCGGGTGCAGCGCATTCCAGGGGGAGACATCGACGGGTTGGAGTCGCTCCAGGTCCTCTCTACTCCACCCAATCACATTTGCCATGGCAACTACCGTAGTTACCGTAGTCTACCCAAGGTATGTTGGTTATTCGTGTACCTCAACTAAGGGTGAGTGAGGTGGCATATTTGATGAGGACTCTGGTGATTGGCAAACTGAGGCAATCATCTTGTGCTGTGCGAAGGGTCATCTCTCCGCTGTGCCGCGCAGAGCAGGCAGGTTCCGCGACGCGAAGGATCACGGGCCGTCACATTGCAGCGGATTCCACGCCAAGCCCCTAATTTAACCCCCTTTCTGGCATCCAAAAAGCGAGAGTAAGCGCCGAGATGCGAGCTGTTGGTGCCGGCTGACAGTTGTTGCGATGATTCCGAATTTTTGGCTGTTTGGAACATGAATTCAGTCTATCAATGTCTCTGTAAATCGAAGCAGCCACTTCAAGGGATCAACCCCCTTCAAGAGCTAGCAAGGGCTAGCTCAGTACCTAGATCTGATTCCGGGTTGGCCGCAACACTGCCGGGCTGGGGGATTAGCGCTGCCGACATTACTGTAACTTAATCAAAATCAAAATCGCAGAGGTAGGTGCGGGGCCAGCCACGTACATACCAAATCCTACCTGCTCCTTGCGAAACTTGGAAACTGTGAAGTCTTTCCCCTCCTGTGCCACTGAAGTACCTCGCGAGCACAACGACAATCCTCCGATATACCATTCCTTGAATTCTATACTCATAAATCTGATATGGCCGCGCAGCCATCCGCGCCCCCGGGCTTCACTGACCACACTTTCAAGTCAGCCAGCGGTGTCGAGCTCGCCGTGCGGGTTTGGCCCGCCGAAACCACCGTCAACGAGCCGGCGCCGTTCGTACTCTGGTATGTTCTCACAGAGTCCTCGCTTGGCATTGACCGCAATGCCCTACGGTGGCCTCAACTGACTGACACGAAAATCTAGGACCCATGGCGGCGGGTGGTTTGGCGGTTTCCGTATGTGCTCTGCTCCGACCCCTTTCAAGTATGAGTCGAAAGAATCACCATCTTTTCGAGGCATGCATGAGGTGCGCATCAAAACTAACGAGGTGGCAGACTTCGCGCCCCTGCCGTGGATGGCGCCTGGCTTCCGGCAGCGCGGATACCACTTTGTGTCGCACAACTACCGTCTCGCCCCGCAAGTACGCGTAGACGACCAGCTGGCCGACTGTCTCGAGGTTGTGGCGTGGTGTCGCACCAACCTTCCCGACGTCCTCGGAACCGACAAGGTCGACGTGGATCGCTATGTCCTCTGCGGCGAGTCCGCCGGCGGTCATCTGGCGACGCTGATGGGCACCCGCCTCTCGAACCCGGCTCCCAGCGCGATTGTCGACGTCTACGGGATAGTAGATTTTTTGACGATGCCTGCTTTTGGCCCCGAGGACAAACGGCCCAGCAGAGCCAAGGAAGGGCCTTGGGTCGGCCGGTTCTCCGAGGAGGAGCTCAACACGTTGCTGCGGGATCGCAACCCAGCCAACGTCTTGACCGACGGGCTCTCCTGGAACCAGTTTGAGTTCCTGACCGAGGCCGAGATCAGCAAGCTCTGGGCGACCGAGTTCCGATACACGGACAGGGTTCTGATGCAGGCTGAGCTGCACATGATGCACTCGTTGGGCCGGTCCGCAGACGGCTTGCATATCGGCATACTGCACAACGAAAAGTTCGCCAACGAAGACGAATTTCTAGCGTTTGTCCGCTCCGTGTCCCCCGTGAGAGTGTTGCAGCAGCGGGTTTCGGAGGGCAAGAAGGGGCAAGAATTGTATCCCCCAACAGCATTCCTGCACGGCACCGGCGATGTTGATGTCCCCGTCCAGCAGAGCTACGTCATGTCCGCGTTGCTCAAGGACGCTGGCGTTCCTGTGGTAGAGTGCTACGAGGAGGGCGGTTTGCATGTCTTTGATATGAAGTACACGGTAAGCGGATTGTGGGTTATACTTGAAGAACGCAATAAGGTACTGACTTGAAGTTTCAGGGCCCGGAGGTGCCTGGATGGGACACATATATTGACCCTCTCCTTGCTTTTGTCGACATGCATGTAGGACGGACCACCTAGCACTCTATTGGAGTGGGAGCGGTTGGGAAGCGGCATAATCGACCATACTTGACTGGCTGTTTGGAATCAATTGAAAGCCTTAGGGGGGAGGTCCTGTACCAACCAAAAGTCCGAGACACCGTCCGCTGCTATTTCTTAGGGGTACACCGCAAGACTAGTACGCCAAGAGGGTTTTGTGCTATCATGATTCCAAGGTCGCCATTTCAGGACCGGAGTTCACCCCAGCCAACGCTCAGCACTCAGCCCTCTCAATGCCCACATAAGGTAAGTATTCTCTTGGCGACCTATTCTGTCATGGAGGAGCCTCAAGGGCCTCGACGCATTCATGTTTCTTGGGTAGCAATCCTCGGGCTGGCTAAAATCTTTCGCTGGAAGCGTGGACAGCATGAAGCAATAGGAAGGGAAGTTTCCCTCCTGTTCTAGCGCACTTGTACCAACAAGTTCTCACAATTGACAGTTGCAAAGTAACATCGGTCCTGGATGTTCAATGACGAGCAGCAAGTGCTCGGAGCATCGCCCGCCGGGGCAGGGCATTGAGGGAGACACGAACTGGTCCAGAGTTACCCCAAGAACGGAAGGCTATCCTGATGTAACCCTGAGCCCATCATGGAAGCACATTGACATCTTGGCGTCCCCAGGTTCCCGGGATCCAACTCGCAGCCGCTTGCCCGGAGTTCAGGCTAAAATCTTTCTATGGATGGTTCCGGCTGGGGTTTTCTCCGATTATGCACACGTGGGGGGCTGCTTTCTCGGTGGGAGCCCGAAGCTGCGAAGCCTCTACGAGGTATTCACGGCCGGATCGGGATCAATACGCCTGGATCATCGGGATCGTCCCACCTAGTAGTGTACCAAAATGTGAAGGGCGGAAACCCGGGGAACATGAAGTGAAGTTCATCTGACCAGGAATCCCCATCAAGAAAGGGGATATAAAAAGGTTGCTGCCAACGCCGTTTAGTTAGGTATCATGCTTGAGTTGAGACAAAGCAGCTGAACCCCTGACTCCAAAATCAACATGTTGTCTCCAGCCCTCGCCTCGTCTCTTCTCGTCGTCCTTGGCGCCGCTGGTGTCAACGCCCAGCAGCGACAGAGCCTCTGGGGGCAATGTGGTGGCCAATCTTGGAGCGGTCCGACTCTCTGTGTCGAGGGGGCATACTGTAAGTCTGTTTACCCCTTGAAGTCTGTCTCGGGGACACATCAAAGCCAGACGAATCAGAGCTGACATACTTGGTACGCCAGGCTTCCAACAGAACCAGTGGTACCATCAGTGCATCCCGGGCAGCGGGCCTTCGACGACATCCCCGGCCACCACCAGTGCTCCGCAGACGACACTCACTACGTCTCGCGTGACATCGGCTCCTCCAACTAGCACGACATCAACTCCAGGGGGAGGCAGCACAACCTGCCCGGCCATCCCCGGTGGACTCGGAAGTCCTGTCTCCAATGCACTGAATGACCCCTTCACCTTCCACGGAGGCGGCAAGGTGACCAGCAAGGCCGACTGGCAGTGCCGGCAGGCCGAGATCAGCCAGCTGCTCCAGCGATACGAGCTCGGCACGCTCCCGCCCAAGCCGTCGTCGGTCACGGCCAGCTTCTCGGGCAGCACTCTGTCCATCCAAGTGTCGGAGAACGGCAAGTCAATCTCGTTCTCGGTCACCATCAACAACCGGCCGTCGGGAAGCGGCCCGCACCCGGCCATCATCAACTTCGGTTCCTTTGGTGGTCTGCCTGTCCCCGCCGGCGTGGCCACCATCTCGTTCAACAACGACGACATCGCCCAGCAGCAAAGTCAGTCTTCGCGGGGCAGGGGCAAGTTCTACGACCTCTACGGCAGCAGCCACTCCGCCGGCGCTCTCACGGCGTGGGCATGGGGCGTCTCGCGCATTATCGACGCCCTGGAGCTGACGCGGGCCCAGACCAACATTGACCCGACCAGGATCGGCGTCACGGGCTGCTCGCGGAACGGCAAAGGCGCCATGGTGGCCGGTGCCCTCGAGCCTCGCATTGCCCTGACGCTGCCCGAGGAGTCGGGCGCTGGCGGTGCGGGCTGCTGGCGCATCGCGGCGTGGCAAAAGGCGCAGGGCCAGAACGTGCAGGACTCGACCCAGATTGTGCAGGAGAACGTCTGGTTCTCGCCCAGCTTCAACCAGTACGTCAACAACGTCAACGCCCTGCCCTTTGACCACCACCTGCTCGCGGGCCTCATCGCGCCGCGGCCGCTCTACGTCATGGAGAACGTCGACATGGAGTGGCTCGGCAAGGTATCGACGTACGGCTGCATGGGCATCGCGCGCAAGCAGTGGCAAGCGCTTGGCGCGCTCGACCGGTTCGGCTACTCGCAGGTCGGCGGCAACTCGCACTGCAGCTTCCCCAGCTCGCAGCAGGGCAGCGAGCTTAACGCCTTTATTGGCAAGTACTTGCTCAACAATCCCAACGCCGGCAACACAAACATCTTCCGCTCGACCCAGAACCACAACTTCAACCTCGACAGCTGGAGCCCCTGGCCGGTTCCCACTCTGTCGTGAGGACTCCGAGGGCTCTGAGGGAGTATGGCAGACGGGTAGTTTCAGGGAATTTTCTTTGTACATGGTTGGATAGGAGCTCCTTAGCCGGCCCGGGCAACGAGATAGCGTACATAGCAAGAGAAGGTGGCATCCGCAGGAGTCTAAGAAACCCCTCCCTCTATTGCGCAGACTGTGATGATTGGGAATGTTTGATATTGAAATGCATTGAAAATGCATTGAGAATGTCGAGCTTTTGGATGTTGATCGGAGGAACAACAATTCCCGTCCCAGACACATGAAGGCGACGCCGCTGTGTCTCCTGCCAGGGCCAATATTACTATCAAATAATTCGAGGCAACCATGACAGTGAGCCAACGGGACAGGTCAGTGTTATCGTCTCCATGTTATCATTAGATGAGACGTTCCGCTCCGCTCCCTCCGCGCACTTGTCGCGAGTATGGTGGGAGCGACACAGGTTTTGGAACAATGCTGTGGTTTTGAGGCCGAGCATGGCTAAAACTGTGCGTTAAAACGTTCCCTCCCGACGGGAATATCCCAAACGACCTTTGTGACTCGGGGCAAGTACCAGGTAGGGGAGAGGGGGTAGCAGGTCATCGACATGGCCTTATTGAACTGTTTCAGGGAGAAGGACGAGCAAGGTAGGTCAAAGAAACATCACAGCAGACTCGGTGAGCACTCTTATCAGACAGTTCAAAGGAAAAAAAAAGCCTGTACCTGACGCTTGGAGTGTCCTTGGGGTTCTGAGCTTGAGGGTTGCCCGCGCTCAGGGGTCAGATATGGTGTGGTTCCTTGTGTCTTGAGCTTTACACAAGTCGGCTTTGTAGATTGCTGTCACAGGACTCTGTTCGCCGCCCAATGGCCAGAGCCCGAGAGGGCCTCGCTTTGATTAGAGGATGCCGAATCGTACCATATTGCGTGGCGGAAGGAAGCAGCTCGAAGGTCTAGACTCCGGAGTTGTGTATAGGAAATATCTCCGGGCGCAGGGCGGGCTAGGATCGACATAGAGGCGGGGCGATGATACATAACGCTCAACGCAGCCAGGATCCAGGGCAGTACGGAGTAGGTACTTTGAATTTGAGAGTCCATCTACATTACCAGAGTAGGTAGGTAAGGTAGCTGTTCTGCGAGACCCTTATATTAATAGGACTGCGTAGTGCAGTCCAGGCTCTCGACTGGACACAGGTTGGTACTGGGTAGAGGTATAATAGATAAAACAAGCAAGATCCTCCACCGCAGTAGAGGGAGGCAAGCTGAGAGAAAATTAAAAATAAAAATCCACAATATATCCCGAATCGTCACTAGCTCGGCAGTTCAGTTTGCGATGTCAAACGGCCAGGTGCTGGGCAGAAGTCAATAACCCCGCCCTGTGCCTGCAGCCTGCAGTTGCAGCCGTCTGGAACGACTGTGGTGCATGGCGAGGAAATTCGAAGTCTCGTCACAGTTCGCATGCCTGGCCGTGCCCCACTTCAGCAGCCACCAACAGCCCCACACGCAGACCTGACGAATGACCTCATCCATTCTTGCCTGCTTCTGGCAGTCGGCACCACTTCTAAGTCTCCCATGCTTGCATGGAAAACACGCCCCACATCGGAGCTTTGTCCTCTCCCGCGAAAGTTCTCACTTTCAGCGTTTCTTCCGGGTGCAGCAAACGGGGGAAGATCCAGCGACTCGTTCACGTCTTCGACCATCGACGATCAGCAAAATACTGCTCGTCCGTTCGGGACGCTTATCCGTGCGGCAAAAGATGGGGCCAGCGGCTGCGTTGAGGCGAAGAAGAAGAAGAAGGGCGATAGCAGGTCCGTGACAGGACATCTGGGGTCTAGAAACTTGCCTGACCTCTTTCTTCTCGAACATTTTTCCCACGCCAGCAGTTCCAGAGCAATTTCTGACGAGAGTCCCGGGGCAAGTGCTGCTCCGCACCTTTACTTCTGACTCAATACATCCAGTACACCAGTCCGCTGGGCATGACTGCCGCCGCCACCACACTTCCACTGCCGTCCGCCTCTGCCTTGACTAGCCATTGGCCAATTGCCCCCTCCCACCCTCGCACGTCGCACCGTGCCTCAACATTCATCTGGATCGCTTCCGCGCCGTTCTACCTGCGACTTTTCACCACCCTGCCCTGTATTTGTTCTCTCGGGACATCTGCCACCCTCCTCCCCATTTCGAGCACCCGTCGCTCGGCCGCCCCAGCATCCGCCACCGAACACGGCCGCCCTCGTCCGCGATACACCTTACCCCATCCCGCCCACCGCGCGACACGTTCCATCTCCGCGATGCCCCGCAAGTCCAAATCGCCCAAGAAGACGGAGACGTCCCTGACCTCGCTCAAGGTCGAGGACACGGTCGCCCCCCAGGTTCACCTCCGGCGATCGAACCGTCGCTGGTCCAAGACGATGCCCCCGGAGGGCGCGTCGGACTCCAACCCGGGCAATGCGCTGGGCTTCAGGCCACCAGCGGACGAGGACCTGAACAGCGAGGAGATTCGGGAGTATAAGGACACCATGAAGGAAGACATGAGGCTTGCCATCGAGGGCCTCGCCCGGATGGAGCGACGGTTAAGGAGTGCCACCAAGTGCCAGAAGCTGCAGATCGAGCAGGAGGCCCGCTCCTCGGGAACGCGCAAGTCCGTCCTCGAGGTCATGGATCAGACAGCCGACGCCGACGACGACGCCTCGGTCATTCAAAATGCGAGCATAAAGCTCACGAAACCCACAAAAGGGCCGGGAACGGAAGTTGAAAAGGGAGGCCAACAACTTCCCACCCCTGACGAAGAGGAAGACAGAAAGGACGACTACGCCAGAGACATCTCCAAGGGCGCCAGCCTGGACCCGGAGAGCCGGAGGATAGACGCCCCGGAAGAAGCACCCGACGTGCCCGAGCGCGGCGCCGCCAGGACGCCGCCCGTCAACAGTCCCTACCTGCCGTTACCTTGGAAGGGACGGCTGGGTTATGCGTGCTTAAACACGTATTTGCGCTCGGCCAAGACGCCCATCTTCTGCTCCCGGACGTGTCGGATGGCGTCCATCATCGACCACCGGTACCCGCTCTTCGACGAGTCTCAGCCCGAACACCCGGTCAAAAATCGACCCGACAAGTCCAAGGAACCGTCCATTGAGCGGGGCCAGAAGTTTCTCCAGACGTTGGGTTTGGCTAATGCCCGCGACATTGTCCGCATGTTACGATGGAACGACAAGTACGGCATCAAATTCATGCGCCTCAGCTCCGAGATGTTCCCCTTTGCCAGTCACCCCGAGCACGGGTACAGGCTGGCTCCCTTTGCTTCCGAGGTGCTTGCCGAGGCCGGAAGAGTGGCCGCTGAGCTAGGCCACCGTCTGACTGTACATCCGGGCCAATTCACACAGAGTATGTTGGACCTCGCGCGCTCTTCTTTTGAATGATAGAGTGACTGACATTGTCGGACAGTCGGATCCCCACGTAAAGAGGTGGTCGACGCAGCTATCCGCGACCTGGAATATCACGACGAAATGTTGTCGCTCCTCCAACTTCCGGAGCAGCAGGACCGCGACGCCGTCATGATCCTGCACATGGGTGGTGTGTACGGAGATAAGGCGGCAACTCTTGACAGGTTCCGCCAAAATTACGCCAAGCTTTCGCCGTCGATCAAGGCCCGCCTCGTGTTGGAGAACGATGACGTCGGCTGGACCGTACATGATCTGCTCCCGATTTGCGAGGAGCTCAACATTCCCCTAGTGCTCGATTACCATCACCACAACATACTATTTGACAGCACCAAGTGCCGTGAAGGGACGCTCGACATTAGTGATCCTGAGCTCCAGGCACGCATTACCGCTACTTGGACCCGGAAAGGCATCAAGCAAAAGATGCATTACAGCGAACCCTGTCCCGGAGCCGTGACGCCCCGCGACAGGCGCAAGCATAGTCCTCGCGTGGCGACTTTGCCGCCCTGCCCGCCCGATATGGACCTGATGATTGAGGCCAAGGACAAGGAGCAGGCCGTGTTTGAGCTCATGCGCAATTTCAAGCTGCCCATGTTCGAGCGCATCAACGACGTGATTCCCCATGAGCGCGAGGATGAGTCCCGGCCCGACCCGCCCGTGTCCAGGAAGAAGCAGAAGACCGCGACCAACCTGAAAAGAAAACGCGCCCCGGATGAAGAAACCATTGAGATGAATGACATTGGCGCCGGCGCGAGCGATCAGGAGCAGGTGGTAATAACCGGCAAGGAGATTTCAGACGAGGATTATGCCATGGGCGGACCCAACAACAGGGTGTACTGGCCGCCCGGGCAGGAAGATTGGTTGAAGCCCATGAAGAGGGGCGCCAAACCTATGAGGACAAATGATTGGCAAGATGAGTGTTAGGTACGAAATGCCTTGTACAGCTGGTAGAATCATGGCGCTGAGTATTTTTTGCTGGTCTTTGGCTCTTGGACTTGCATGACCGCGGGTAACGGGCAACGGACAACGGCTTCTAGGCGTTCAATGTTCAGTTTCTATGCTCAATCGCTTGTGCCTGGTTACTTGTCTGCGTTTTAGCGCGGGATTCCAATGGTGTCTTCTCCACTGCCGTGGGCTGGCCCAAGCGAGCCAAATCGAAGGACAAACTGCTCCGTGAAGTTATGAATTTGTGGACAGTTACGGTACAATCATGATGCAGCTTACGTCAGCTGGCTTCCACGGCGAATTGGCTCACGGAGTCACACTGGGATCGGAGAGAGGGCCGTGTCCGGGTAGGGCACCAATCTTTTGCCGGGCTTGCCGGGTTACCACCAGGCCGACGTCCAAGTGAACGTGATCGGCGGCATCATTGCCATTGCAACATGCTGAAAAGGAGCCGTCTCGCCACCACTATACTTGTACACCATGAGATTTGCTCAAGGCGTAGCGATCTATGCCAACAAAGTCTCATTCCGACGTCCTTCAAAGTCTGAACCGGCTTTGCGCCGGCGACCACAGCTCCTCAATGGCACGCAGATCCCTCACCCCCTCCCCTCCTGGAACCAACTATTGCGTCGTCGCCCCCGATCTAATCAGACGCAGACGACCACAACACGATGTCTGACGCCCAGCCCCAGTCCCGGCTCGAATCGATGTGGTCCTACATCTCTCGGACAGTTCCCTCCTCCTCTCTCTCAACAACAGCAACCCTTCATCACCCATGCCAGCCCTACCACCACCGTCCACGGAGAGCAGCCCGACCATGAAAGGAGTAGCCCGCCGTGGCCGCCACCAGCCCTACGCGACCGCCACCTCGCCGCGCAGCTCCTTGCAGCGCGGGTGTGCGCAGGTGCCGCAGAAGAGGGTGCTGTTGCCGCAGGCCACGACGCGCTCGCAGCCGCACGTGGCCGACTGCGAGATGAGCGTTGTCGAGCAGGCGTAGCTGATTTTGGTGCCGCACATTGTCTCTTTGCTTCTTTGTTTTTTTTTTTCCCCTTGTTTTTCCCTCCCTGCCTGTCACAATACAGGGGCGTATTCTCAAGACTCAGGTCCGTAACGTTGAGGTATCTCTGTACGGTTCGTGTGTCAGGCGTTATGAACTAAGTTGATTGGAGATAGTCCTGTGCTGCATAAGATATGCGGGTAACATATTTCTTACTGTGTAAGCAACAACAGAACGTAAGGGGAGGCCGCTGAGGTGCGAGATGCAGCTGGGGGTGGATGACTTGTCGTGGTACGTAATTCGAAGTTTTCAGTTAAAAGTAATTAAAAAAAAAAAAGCCCGACTTGCAGCAACAGATCGTCCTTGGCGGCGGATTGGATGTCACCCCGAAGAAATGATGCGGTGGCTTTCTTGGTGTCTAGTCCATGCCTGCTCTCCCTCCTCGCATGGGTTGAGCGTCTCAGAAAGGGCCGTGTCGTACAGTTGTGCTGTTGGTTCAAGCAAGTTGAAATCTGTTGTCACAGGGTCTCTTCTCGCCCCGACCTGGAGGTTTATCGACACGGAAGGGTCCTATGGTGGGGAGTGCAGTTCCAAGGTAGCTGCCCTGCTCTTCCAGGGTCTCTGCCGTGTGCGCGGGTCGGGGTATCGACAAGTTGTCGAAAAAGGAAGGCACGATGATGACATACCCTGGTTTTGCGTTTCTGCTTTCTTGTGATTGGCTGCTTAAATTGTCCGACGTGGGAGCCGACGTCATCATGCGGGCTGGTCCGCCAAAGTTTGCATGAACTTCTGCGGCATCGGTGGCCTGGGCCAAACCTGCATCTCATCCCAAAAAGCAGTCCGCGTGTTGGACCAGATTCGCTTGTTCTCATTGATACTGTACTATGTTGTTAAGCTTGCTGTGTTGCGTGCATTTTTGAAACTGCAGAATCTGTGGAACAATTCAAAGCAACAAGCATCCAGTATCTCTGCACTGCTACTCTTTTCATATCATCTCAACAGGTTCAGTCTGCTTTCACACAAGAGCGCCAGCCATCTCCCAGTATTTGTCGCCTGCCCATCAAACCAGGCGGTTCAACTAGGAAGCAACGGACGTGCACTGAACTTTCCAACACCCCTGAAACTGACGCTGGAACTGAACACTGAAACATTGCGCTAAGATATCACGCTACGCTGCGCCGCACCTAAGTCATGCAGGCTTCAGGTAGCGCGGGTGCCAACGAAACTCGGCTGACGTCCTGTGAGACCTGTGGTTGTCCCACGATTCTACTTTGTTAGCAAGAACCGTCACAACGTGCATGTTCAGGGCAGCATTGCACACAACGCCATGCCATAGGGCAACGACTCCAATACCGCTGTGAATTGTTTGTTAGGACCCAAAGGGACAAAGCAGCAAAAGGTTGCCAGAAGTCCCTACGTTGATGAGTGTAGGCGAGATGAATCCTGAAGTAACGTCGACGGCAGGCACTACAGTGAAAAGGGTATAGGGCCAATAAAGCCAGACGGAACACCGGTCAGGCTCGCGGACGAGGTCCATGGACATAGATGCTACTATACACTCAGCAGCCAGGGTTGAAACTTGGCAGATTCTTGGAATGATGACACAAAAAAATTGTGCCTTAGTAGGTCCACGTGTCCAACGGTACTTGTCTACGACATCAATGCCTTCGGCCGATATATATCTGGAAAGAAGCGTCTAGGAGTCTGAGGAGCACTAGTTTAAATAAGCTATGATCCATCTTGTAACTGTAAGTTGAGCACGCCTAGAACTAGTCGGAAATACTGAACCAGCTTGACCTTAAATGAGGGGTTGACCAGAAATGCTCGGAAAACCCCTTCGAGTTAGAATCCGTACTTGATGGCGGTGAGTATTTCCAATATACTTGAGATAATCTCATGGATCCCTAGTCACAGATAATCACTGTCAATTCCAGGTATAGCTACGGCGGTGGGCATGTCCAATTTACTTGAAAATATCCGTGGCTAACTAAGGTAGCCACAGATATCACTGCCAAATCTGATGTTACCTACGACCGTGAGTATGCTGCATTCAAGTAGTACCATGAGGGAAATCTCGTGGCTACCTTCCCCCAAACAATTTCGGCTAACTTCTGTCTAACGTTACCTAGGTACTTATGACCGTAGTTAAACATATTCCGTGCTTCCAAACCACCGACAACTTCACGCTATATCCGCTCTATTGATCCTTGAGACTGTAAGTACCTGCTGTTGCCGCTTCTGTGCTTGTCAGCTGCAACCATTTCCCCATCTGGGCCTGGTCCAGGATGGACCGCCGCCACTTTCGGGTTTTCTGGACTACCTCTATTCTACCGTTGCAACTCGTCTTCAGGCGGGAGACATTGCGGGTCAAGATAATCAATATTGCGGGCGTTTCCACGGCCGAGGCGCTCTTATGTAAACTCCCTCCCCTTTTGAAACCGCAGCAGCTGGTTTTGATCTGCCACCCCGTGCTTGAACTGAGAGTTAGCGCCCTGGCGGCACTGCCGCCTGTTGACATATGGTCCAGAGATACGACTCGCCCAACCCTCCGTCGTATCCTCTCAGACCAAAGCAGAGTTCAACCTCCCATCTCTGGGGAAAGACGACAGCGAGTTCTCAGCTTCACCCCTGCAGATTTGGAGAAACAGCCGCATTTACGGCCCTAGAATCCGCACATGGTGGCAGTTGAGATGGTGAGTTCAATGCAGAATCAGCGTCCCCTAGGCCACGTATATCATAAGGAGCTCTGCGTACGTGTCATATCACTTAACTGGCTTGGACGTTCCTAGATTAATAGTCAACAAGGACACAAAGGCCAAGGTTGAGAATGGAAACGAGGTTAGTTCCCTCCCTGCTTTCTGGCGCAGTTGATGTGGATAGGTAGCCACAGTATTGTTCAGCTGAACTACTTGATAGCCACGGCGTTGGCCATCACAGTTTTCTAGTGAACTTCAGCGTGGCTAGGTACCTAGACACCCAGCTTGAAGGCGCCGGAAACGCATGTCTGAAACAAACCCTCCGGATCATACGTTCTTCTCACCACCCTGAGCCTCGCCAGGCTCTCCTCGCCATACCCGGCAAGCACATCATCCTTGTGATAGGCATAATTGGTGAAGATATACCGATGCAGCAGTTCCTTCTCCCTGGCAAGGCGGCGGAACTCGGCCAACATGGCCTCCACGGCGGCGAAGATGCGGCTGTCATCCCGCGGCTGGGTCCAGCAGGGGTTGATGAGGATGATAAACAGCGGGCCGTCGGACGGAGGTATGTTCATGGCGTTGCCGCCCGCTCTGGCCGAGTTCGCGAGCAGGGCCTTGGTCAGCGGGTGGAAACCAAACGAGAAGACGAGTCCCTCAGCGTCCTGGATGGTCGCAAGAGTCTCCTGCCACTTGTTGTGGAACGCTTCCATTAGGGCAATGTCTGGCTTGATGGTGATGGAAGCGTAGTATTGTCTGCGAGTTCATGTTGGTTAGGTAGCGACAGTCAGAGGTTTCACACAAACGTCACTCACCTCATGCCGTCGCTGGTGAATTTTGACAGCTCTCCATAAAAATCAGTGTGCGTCGCGGTTCTCATGGTCCCCATCTGCTCGATTTGCGGTTGCACAGCAGTGAAGGGCTGCAGCGAGGGTGGGTTCACCTTGCCCTGGGTGTGGTACATGATACAGGTTACGGCCTGGTGGCCATAGCCGTAGCCGGCACTGCACATGATCTGGACGTCCTCGTCCGGCTCGTTCTGCACAAAGTCACAAGCCGTCTGAAGGATCTGCGAGAAGGTCCCCGGCATGTAGTACGTGACGCCGCCCCAAATGTCCCGCCTCTGGAACGTCTTCATGGTGATCGAAGTCACGATGCCGAAGTTGTTGAGCCCACCCTTGAGGGCAATCCAAAGGTCGGCGTTCTCGTCGGCCGAGGCGCGGACGAGCTGGCCCGAGGCCAGCACCACCTTGAACTCGATGACCGAGTCGCATGCGAATCCCATACGGGTCGAGAACAGGGATAAGCCACCTCCCAGGATGAAGCCGGCCACGCCGATGCGGCCGACTCGCCCACCGGTAACCGTCAGGCCGTGCTTGTCCAGTTCGGCGTAGACCGTCGTCCACGTTTCGCCGGTGACGATCTCCACAGCCGACTTGCCGTCGCTCAGGGTGATGCCTTAAGACGCCGCATATCAATGGTGATTCCGTCTTGAACATTGGCGCTGCCTGCAAAAGGGGTATGACCTTCGCCGCGAATGGCGATGCGGCATGATCCTGAGAGGGCATGGGGACGCAGTACGTCAAGCAGAGCGCGCACCTGTTCGACTGTACTGGGCCGGACGATGTAGGAAGGCCTGAGCTCGTTTTCAAAGGCGCTGAAGTACGAGTTGTTGATTTGCTCGTAGTCGTCGCTGCCGGGACGAGAGAACGACCCTGCCTCGTTGCCGAGGGCCCTAGCCAGCGCGTCGACGAGATCAGCTCTATTCGTGTTTGGCATCTTGGGGAAATGGTGTGTGGGTGAGGGAACAAGGTAAGCTGAGAGAGACGACGAAGATCTCTAGAATACTTGAAGCGTACAGAACGAGATCCCAACGGAATTATAAGTCCTTTCCACCCCCCCTTCTTCCCGCGGTTATCCCCGTCTCCCGAGTCCGTGTTGGTTGCAGCTCAATCACAGCGCAAAGGTGGAGAAGACGGCTGGATGGCGAGGGATGTGTAAGCTCTGAGCCCACAATACCGCCCCCGACCTGAATCCTTTCCAATGCCACCAACTCATCACATTCTAGTCCTCCGTGGCTATTAGTTTGTCTCAGGCTCGAAGCTGCACGCTTAAGGCACAGTGGGCCGGCACTAACGTTAGACATCAACCACAAGGTATGTATGCGCTTCAACCACTCATGTTCACTTCAACCTTACATCCCGTCAATGAGGCCTCTTGACTTGTTCTCCCCTCCAAAAAGCCCATTCCGTTGCCGCCATTGAGTTTTCCCACCCGGTTTCAGTTTCTTGGGTTATTACAGCTCGCAATGTCCGGCTTTCCTTCATGTTCAAGTTGCCGGCCACCGCACTTTTCCCGGGAACCAATTTGATGCCTTCACCGTCCTCCTTTGGCTGTATCCGACTGATCCGAAGGAACTACGTAGTTGTTATGGGTCCAGCGTCGGTGAGTGCTTCGGCAATGCCAGAGGCGGACTGTGCCTGATTGTTGACCGCCAATCAAGGCCACCTTTGACCTGGGTTATCCTCTATTCTTCAGAGGCTCAGGCGAGTTGTGTTTATTTCGGCGACACCCAAGCGCGTTTTGCAATTACAGTGACAAACAGTGATACATCTTAATCGATGCCGAGCAGGTGGACGCAGTAATTACAACCAGACATGGGCCACCTGATCTGTGGCATCTCTGCGGTCGGTCGACCTAGAACTTCCACTAGGGCACATCACTTTGGACAGCAGCTGCATGAGATTGAGCTTGACCAGATGTATCTATTTTCTCAGTGAACTCTCGTAGATGTAGTGTGATCATTACCATGGGGACCGGTGATAAGTCAATTTGAGGGCTAATTATTATTATTCCTACGCCGCTGTGCCCTAGGGCGTGCCGGACCTTCAACAACTTACTATACAGGAAAACCGCGCCCTCGTGGGCCGGGTGAAAAACCCATATCGACAATCAAGGAAACGATCAGTGTGCGATCCTGCAAATACAAAGTGGGAAGGCCTCTTGGCCTTCGAAGGAAAGGGTATCAGACTGCGAGCTCCAGCTCCAGCCTCCTGGCCAGACCGTACATCGGTAGTTTCCCCGAGTCCATCAGCCAGTCCAGGATCCTCCCCGTTAGCCGTGCAGCTTTGGGACTGATTCCCTGTAGGACAGAATAAAAGTCCCTTCGCGTTCTGATTTCGGCTCTCTCCCATCTTCGAGTCAACGGTGGGGCCAAGCACCACATCACAAGGTGTTCGACAGTCTCTCGCCCCTCTCCACACTCGCATATAGGCGTCAGTACCTCTGGGACTCTCCTTTCAAATAAGAAAGCCCGAAGGCCTATGGCCCCGGTTCGAATCTGGATCAACAGTGAACTCTTCGCTCTGCTGAGGCCGTCGTGTCTCCTTAGGGTTTTGTCTTGGAACAGAGTCTCGTGCTGGTGGTCAAGGTCATCTGCGGGCCTCGTTGCTGTCCGGCCGTCTCGTTCCTTGAGCCACCTCTCTCTCCAGGCCTCCTCCATTACTCTGTCCGTGTCGGCAGTCCCTCCCGTCCAAACTGCAATTGTGTTAGCGGCTTCTTCTACCGCTGTGGGCTCCTGCGGCCCAAAGGCTCGCGGTCGGCCCCTGTTATCCGTCCTCGAGTTGAATATCTGATATATAAAATGGGAATATAAGATGAGCCAGGCAACTTAAGGGAGGGATAAGAGTAAGAAAAGACCCAAGGAAAAGCTCCTTGGGGCCCGAGAAGAAGCCAGAGACAAGCAAGCTGAAACCTAAGTGGCATATACGGAAGCAACTGTACTGCGATATCCCGATTGTTTGGCACGAAGAATCCAAGGCTGGCATCGTTGTACTTGTGTTGGGCGAGTGCGATGGTGGGGCGGACAGCGTCTTGTTCCTTGAGGCCTCTCTGAGCGCGGGGGTCCATTTGACGTGGAAATTCGATATGGCGTGGGGTACGGCGGGAAGATGGACGACCCTCGCAAGCTGGTGTTGGTTGGGGCCCTGTAAGCTTCCCTTCTTGTCGAACTCGTTCTCTACAGACCGAGCCGTGGACTGCCCAGGGAGACTAGGAGTGGTAGGCTGAGTTAGCGGCTGACTTGAAGAGGAAGAGGAAATACAGACCTATCTATCACCTGACGACTTTTCTGCCTTGCATTCGGAACATCCTGTCTCATCGTCATCAACGTAGGAAGCTTTCTGGAAGCCGTCTTCACTGCACAGAAGACGCCGAATCCACCTAAACAGCCTTGAAGACGGGCCGTTAATGTCGCCCGAAAGAAGCAGGCATCGAGCCCATAGTGAATTCGAAATAACGGCGCGTATCGTCAAGTGCTCCTGCATATAGATCGCTAGCATCCGTGCCAGTCTGGTGGTTTGGTGTCCGGGGTCACACTCAAGGAAGACACGTAGGAATCTCATATGTCTGTGAGCCTCAGTGCATTGCCAGAGACCGCGCACCACACGCGGTACAGTGTACACGTAAGGTTCAGGACAGGGCACAAGAAGACAACTAGAGAATACCCCCAAGGCGCCTGATTCTCCTTTCCCCTGCAGGCCAAAGGATAAATAGCGATTAGTTGCAAAAAAGCTGTTCGTTTATCAACTGTATGTGAAACGGACCGCATCAACAGAGACTCAGCCGGCGCCCATTTTTGATCCCTGAGCATGCAAAAACAAGGCTCCGTTTATTCTAAACAATCATTTTCCAAGGGCCGGATCAGTAGTTGGGTCAGTGACGATTAGCGAATCCCCGGTGTTGTATGTTTCTGGTCTCCATGTCCCATTTCCATTGCCATGTCTTGGCAATCCCTAGCCCCTGGCCGGCCTCAGAAAAGGTAAACAATACCTGGTAATGTACATCAAGGGCCTCAGGTACCGCCTGCTTCTCTCCTTCGTCACTCGAACAGAGATTGAACGACAAACTTGAATTTGTCCCTTGCTTTCGACGGAGACTATCTTAGGGAGTAAGACCTCGCCCAGTCCGAACGTCACAGAGAGAGACGTTGTCCCAGTGCGCTCGGGAGCGAACACTGCCGCTGGACATGAAAGAGAATGTATTGTGAGTTGCAGACCTTATGCAGCTACAACTCGATTGCCGCATGCCTATTTTTTTCTACCTCTAGCCTGAAGACAAGTCGTGTTGGCCAAACTGATAATGCTCATGGGTCATGATGACATTCGACGCCGGTGTCAGATCCTGCAGGAGAGAACACTTTCTTGGCCTGAATATATGAGAGGCTGCATGACGGCGGCCCACAACAAGCTGAGGCGGCGCACGCTCACTCCACCACGTACGACACGGCCACCAACCGGCCGGTGCGAGTCGGTAGCTCTACCCATCCTCTTCGCGCGGGGCTAGGTCCCATATTCGCAAAAGTCACTCCCACTTAGAATTTCCCGGGCGTCAAGGGACACATTGAGCGCGAGGTAATGTAAGCTACTAGCCATTCGGCATGGCAGCCTGAAATGAAACAATCTGAGCGGAACGAGAACCGAAACAGAAAGATGCCACAGACGGAGAAGGGGAAGCGGATGGCTTTCTGAATGTCGCCAAGCTGGAGGATGTTGGGACCTGGTAAGATCTACTCTCAACCGCCCGCCCTCGGAGCTTCTTGCGTCACAAAGCCGCTGACGGCATAATAACCGGAGGGCCCCCGAAGGGTAACCGCGTGGGGATGTTACACGCATGTCGCCTGTTGCCCAGTGAAAATAGCACGCACCTAGCCGCCGTCTTGGGCACTTTTCCGCGCTCATGGCGCTGCTTGGCTTTCAGCTCTTCGAAACAATGCGGCGGTTCTTGACATCTATTAGGTATATATGCTGGGGAACCGATGATGCTTGGAGCCCGTATCCGCCGTGGCACATACTTCTGAGGAGGCGTTTTTCAAAGCCTCGCCTTGGCCAATTCTTGACTGCTCTAGCAACTGGCTAATATAACTAGGCAACAATGGCAGAACGCGCGGCGCAATGATAGGCCTTTTGCTGGTTGAAATTCTCGCAGCCACCCCGCCGACCGACCCGGCCGAGATATATAAGGTACGCCGGCATGCGTCCACCGATACTCCACTTCAGTCCGTGGCGAGGACGTGCAGTCGAAGAGCGAACGCGCTATGTCGGTCACCAACATCGATCCAACGATGGGGGGAGCTATATGGCACGTCCGTTTTTTTCTTCCCCGTGCCGACACCATGATTATTATCAGGAGGGTGCGACAAATATATTCACCGGAAGTTCGGCGAATGTACCATGTTAGCCTGGGATCTCGTGTACACCAGCTTCGCGGCAGGATCAGAGAGCTGCTTACTCCCGCAGCAGCGCTGGTGGTGGCTCCAAGTCACCACCGAGAGCCCGTCAATCGCATTGGGGTCGACCTTTGTCTGGCCGAGTCCTACACTGCTGTCCATAGCACCGTATTGGACAACCTATCGGCGACGCAGACACAGTAAACCTACTGCTGTCCTCCGTAGGAAATTCCACCCCCCGCCCCGGGCGAATGGTGAAGTATCTGGACGAGTGCCTGGCGTCGAAATGCAGAATGTTTGCGCTAGGTGCGATCCTGCCGCCGGACCAGAGATCCGTCATCGGGTGTACGTCGACAGCCAGCCCGGGCCTGACGATTTCGTACGTGATCGTCACATTCCTCACCAGCACAGTGACCATTACGGGCGAGGATGGCCTGTCACGCGCCGGGTCGACACCCGGGGTACTACTAGCCTTCCAACCTCGACCGTCGAACAGTCGTCAGCCGCTACCGCTACCGTCTGCGCACCTCCAGTGAACGGATACAACCTCGTGAAGGAACATGCTGGCGAGAGCGCTACCGACGCAGGCGCAGCGAGCAGCACGGCGACAACCCCGGCAACATGACCACCAGCAACAGAAACGAGCGAGGCACCAACACAGTCAAGCAGAACCCTGCCATCCACCGGGCCAACACCGCCCAGCGAGCTAGCTCCGGGCGCCGTCGCCGGGGCGGTCGCTGAAGGGCTTCTTGGTATTGGGCTCTTGGCGCTCGGCGCCTTCTTCGTTCGGCGAAGATATAGATATTCTGCGGAACCAGGAAGCCGACGGAGAAGGGCAACACGCGACGACGGCCCGCCGTACGGACTGCAAGTCATGTTCGGGATGCCCGCCGATGAGCGGGCCCAGGAGCTGCCGCAGGGCATGCATGCACACGAGTTGCCCGGCGCAAAATGAGATGTTGAGTTGAGCTGGGGGGCAGGCTGTATTGCCGAGGCGAGGAATTGGAGGGAACGGCAGCCGTCTAATGTTGGGTTCATTAGGGCGGTCAAACACGGCGTTGTACGCGTCGCCCGAAGCTTTGGGCGGCTGACAGCATTGATGTCAGGCGCCGTCCTAAAGTGGCGCTGGCGCCGGCCCTGCGGGAGGTGATAGGGTTTGGCATGCGCGGTAAACGCATCTTTGGACGTTATGCTTGCTGTTGCTAGCGTGCGTTGTTGGTCAGGACGGACTGGCGGAACCGCTGGAGATACAGCATCGTCTTCAATGTATTCATCAGGCCTAACTTGCCTTAGGGACAGGTAAGGGAGAGGTTGCGTGCAGCAATTTTAGCATGGTGGGAATGGAGCGATGTGGAAAGTTGCGATACTACGGAGCCTCGCCATGAACTGTGGAAATGACTCCCGCGCCGCTGCAACCGCTGGAACTGTGGAGACATCGCTGCCTAACGTAGCGGCTGTGATGCATGGCTTTGGCGAGCTCTGGGTCCGGTGATCTCGAGTCGCGTACGGCCGGGTGTGCTGTTGCCTGCTCGACTGACGCGGGCGCGCTTCCGCCCAAGTAAATAAATTCTCTTGAACTTTCCCTCAATGCTCTTTTCTACGACCAAAGCTTCGCCTCCTATTCTCCAACCCAATTGACATCACAATCCTCTGATTCCCCTCCAATTGCATCGAAAACTGTCCATAGCCCGCTGGATTGTCGGTCGGAGCGCAACCAGTGTGTCTTGTTTTCTGGGTCAGGCTGCCAGCGGATTGGACAGCCCAAGGCCCGCAACGAAATCGACAGTGGACCTCGGAGATTCGGCATCACAATGCCCCGTGGCAAGAAGGCGGCGGCGGCTGCGGCAACGCCCGCCCTGGAAGGGTGCAAGCTCGCCCTCAGTGGGACATTTCCCGGCGCGACACATGCCTCGATCAAGACACGGGCCGAAGCCCTGGGAGCGACCGTGGCCAGCTCCGTGACGGACGACGTCACACACCTCGTCGCGACCGAGGCCGATCTCAAGAAGCCATCGCCCAAGGTTGTGAAAGCCCAATCCCTCGGCATTCACATCGTCAGCCTGGATTGGCTCTCGAACTGCGAGAAGAACTGCGCCAAGGAGGACGAACAAGATTACATTCTTGGGGGTCCTGCGAAGGACACCGCTGCTCAGGCCGATGCATCTAAGTCATCCCAGGCCAATGGCACCAGCAGAACGCGGAAGCGCGCCGCTCCTCTCGCGGATGATGTCTCTGACAACGAGGTTGCGCCAAAGGCCAAGAGGACGAGGGGCGGCAAGGCAGCTGCCGTTAAGACAGAGGATGACATTGGTGATGCAAACGTGCAGGACGCCGACCGGGCGGCAGACTTGGCCGACGTCAAGCTCGAGGAGGGAAACAAGGGCAAGGCAAAGGCGGAGCGGGCCATGGGCGAGGGTCAGGTCGCAAAAAGCAGTGACCTGGCTATTCCGCTTGACGAGGGCTGCCCCTTTGTGACGTCCAAGGTCTACATCGACGACTCCGGCATCATCTACGATGCTTCGCTGAATCAAACCAATGCCGGGAAGAACAACAACAAATTCTACCGCATCCAGGTGAGGACCACTGACTGACTTGTCCGGTTTTGCTGTCTGACATGGCGCCTTAGTTGTTGGTCGATCCAACTGGCACGTACCGAACGTGGACGCGATGGGGCCGTGTCGGGGAGCGCGGCCAAACAGCAGTCCCGGCAACTGGCTCACTCAACGAGGCCATGCGGCAGTTCGAGAAAAAGTTCAAGGACAAGTCGGGTCTGCCCTGGAGCGATCGTGGCAGTAACCCGAAGCCGGGAAAGTACGCCTTTGTGGAGAGGAGCTATGAGGAGGATTCGGATGAGGAAGACGAGGCGGAATCGGCTAAAGAGGCATCGGACCGGAAGGAACTCAAGTCGACGCTCGACCCGGCTGTCCAAGAGCTGATGCGGCTCATTTTCAACCAGCAGTACTGGGATGCCACCATGGCGAACCTCAACTATGACGCGAACAAGCTACCTCTCGGGAAGCTCAGCAAGGCGACCATCTTGCGAGGATTCCAGACGCTCAAGGACTTGTCGGCGCTGATTGACGACAACTCCCTTGCGGCAGGTTACGGAATGGGGTACGGGGAGGCGGTCGAGCAGCTGTCCAACACTTTCTACTCCCTTATCCCTCACGCATTCGGTCGAAATCGCCCGCCTGTCATCAGCGACCAGCAGATGGTGAAGCGAGAAATAGAGCTTCTCGAAAGCCTGAGCGACATGAAGGACGCGGCGCTGATCATGAAGATGGACAAGGCCGGGGACGACGACGTGCACCCGCTCGACAAGCAGTACCAGGGCCTCAAGATGCAAGAGATGACGCCTCTCGGCCGCTCCAGCAACGAGTTCGCCGAGCTGCAGAAGTACCTGCTCGACACCCGCGGGGCCACCCACGGACACCACTACGAGGTCGACCAAATCTTCCGCATCGAGCGCCAGGGTGAGCACGAGCGGTTCGACAGCAGCGTCTTTGGCAAGATGTCGCAGAACCGCCGGCTGCTGTGGCATGGGTCGCGCTGCACCAACTTTGGCGGCATTTTGAGCCAAGGTCTCCGGATCGCGCCGCCCGAGGCGCCCGTGTCGGGCTACATGTTTGGCAAAGGCATCTACCTGGCCGACATGTCGTCCAAGTCAGCCAACTACTGCTGCTCGTACATGTCGGGCGGCACGGCGTTGCTTCTCCTTTGCGAGGCGGAGCTGGGCAACCCGATGCAGGAGCTGGTGAATGCCTCGTACAATGCGGGAGAGGACGCCAAGAAGAAGGGCATGGTGTCGACGTGGGGTCAGGGCCGGACTGGTCCGAGCAAGTGGAAGGATGCCAGCTGCGTCCATCCATCGTTGGCCGGTGTGATGATGGTGAGTGCATATTTTTGCTTGTCCCCCCCAACCTGAGAATGCCTTCTGACGAACGACACGCAGCCTGACACGTCGGTGCCGCCTGGAGACACCAACATTCCTGGAGCAGGTCTGTATTACAACGAGTACATTGCCTACGACGTTGCCCAGGTTCGGCTGCGGTACCTGTTCCGGGTCAAGATGTGAGGTCGCAGCCAAGGTTGTTCGGTGTACAGTGTGAGTAACGGGCGTTGGAAAGCGGACGACATCGGAATTAGATCGGGAAGCTACGGAGTTTGCTTGTCCGGCTGTCAATTCCAGTGGCTCTCGATGGGAGTTCAGGTCTAGGAAAAGATCTTTGCTGAGCTGCTGGTATCTGTTGCGAAACTGAAAATGGCTTAGTAAGACTGCCTTAGCGTCGCTTAGACTTAGCTACTGTACCAGGATGATGTCAACGTCGATCTCCTATCATAATCTTCTCACAATGGAGATGAAGAGATGGATGGAAGGAGACGAACAATGGAATATGAAGATGGAGATGAAGGCACTCGGGCACTTCGTGTGAAACCCCACCACAACAGTGAGATCCGACTCCACACCAACCTCAAATCTAACAATTGTTAGTGCAGCATGCGTGACCCCGCCATGTGTAATCCGTATCGCAGCTTTTGCTGGCTCCAAGCCCCACCATCCCGAAGCCGGAAACCAATCCAGGGACCCAGGGCAGGAGTTCGGTGTCGGCGACTCGAGATCTGACAAGCAAGCGCAGCCCTGAAAACTTGCCCAGAACATCAGCAACACGACGGCGCATTGAAGAACTGCGAGATGCGTGCGGCAATCCACCATCCAACCCCGCCCCATCATTTTGCAAACCACAGACCGCGACAGCAAGTGTCGGCTTCTTGGGCCGAATTTGGATCGCATTGGCGACCGGAGAGCGCATTTCTCAGAGTCGGGATCAGGGTCCTTGACGGCCGATGACAACTCACCGTCTCACTGTGCCAAGTCCCGCCCATTGAACTTGAGGTTTCCAGTGCGAGACATTACGGAGCATACTCTGCACCGCACCCCGCGCCGTGCAACCGGGGACGACACTTAACGGAGTACAACACTCACCCAGCCCGGACAGGTCCGACAGGAACTAATCTGATCCATGAGCACCTCGCCCCGTCCACACAAGCGGGCCACAACGTGCGTCACATGCCGGGCGCGCAAGGTCCGATGCGACGGGCGCCGGGGCATCTGCACCAACTGCGAGCGTCTCGGCTTCGGTTGCTCCTACGATGAGACTGTCAGCGTCGAAGTTGTCCCGGGCGAGAGCAGCGGGGCCGCCATCTCGGTGCCGCGCCGCCGCGTGCGACAGGCATGCCAGAACTGCCACGCAAGAAAGGCCCGATGCAGCGGCGCCCTGCCGGCCTGCGACCGTTGCCGCGCCCAAGGCCTCGAGTGCGTCTACCGGCCCGGCAAGCGGTCGCTGCCCCTGCCGTTCCCGAACAACCCCAACTCCGCTGCCGCTGCGGCCTCAGGCTCGGGCATGGACACCGACGTCCAGATGAGCCAAAACCATGGGCCCTCCAACGACTATGCCACCTCCAGCAGCACAGCCAGTCCTGCTACGGGGACTGCCGACCAGACGGACCCCGACGAGGCCCTCGCCCTCAAGGCCTTTGATAGCTTCTTCCGCCACATCCACCACATCGCCATGTTCTCCTTCTTGCATCGCCCATCACTGCTGGAACGTTACCACGCCGGGTCATTGGACCGCGCGCTCGTGCTCGCCTTGATCGGCATCACGTCCCTGATGACCGATCTCGGCCCGGGCGTGGCAGAATACGGCGACCGGTGCGTCGAGGAGGCCGTGCAGCTGTGTCTGGCCAACCTCGAGAAGCCCACCATCCCGCGTCTGCAGGCGCTGGTCCTCGCCATCAAGCATCGGATCCTCTCGAAGCGCTTCTCGAGCGCCTTCATGCTCCACGCCATCGCCAGCCGGTCCGCCACGGCTCTCCGGCTGTCCCACGAGAACCCGGATCTTTGTTTCCTCGCACGGGAATCCCGCCGCCGACTGATGTGGTCCATATACATGATTGACGCCTCCATCTCGACTGGGCAGCCCGACGTCGCGCTTTGGAACGATGCCGAACACCAGATTCACCTGCAACTCCCATGCAACGAACGCAACTTTGACTTTGACCTGCCCGATCCGACAGAATTGCTCCGTGGGCCCGGTCCCGACTCGAGCGGGGTGGTCCCGCCGTTGCCAGACGTGCTGGGCCTCATGGCGCTGCATATCCGACTCTACTGGATGCGCACGCGCATCTTGCAGTGCACCTCGAGAGCGGCGGGCTCGGCTTCGGCAGACGCGCTGGCCGTGCTGCCGAGCCAGTTGGCCGAGTTCGCCGCCGAGCTTGAGCTATTCGAGGCGAGACTGCCCATCTCGTTTCGCGAGAACGAGGCCAACTACCGCCTGCGCAGCTACTCCCCCCGGCTCGGCATCTTCCTCACGACCCATCTCCTTTGGAGACAGTGCCATCTCGACATGTACCGTCCGTTCCTCCCAGGCCTGCGCGAGGCGATACCCCCCGCGGCCCTGCAGCAACTCGACCAAGGCTTTGTCATGCACAAGCGGCGGAGCTGCTACGAGCATGCCAAAGCCATGGCCGACATGTTCGCGCAGCTGCTGAGCCTCAGCGGCGCGTGTGGAAGCCCGCCCGTCGCGGATCTGGACCTCCCTGGGTGCGCTTTCCAGTGCTCGAGGGTGCTGTATCACGGCCTGCAGACGGACAACGGCGAGCTCGGCTTCACGCAGGAACGCGTGCAGGAACTCGTTGCCGTGTGCCTCCGCGCTGCGAGGCAATCGACCCCAGGGCCTGCATGTGCCAGTATCGTAGGTCTTGATCTTTATTATCACTGTTGCTTAGTAAGGGTAATTCACTTACAAACTTTCTTCTTCCAGCAAGCGGATATTGAGCGGCTCCTCTCTAACGGTCTGTCGCTGCCCGAAGTTCCAACTGCTGCGCCTGCCCGGGCCCGCAGCGTTGCGCCTGGCATGGACACGCCGTACCTTGGGCCGCAAATTCCCGGGCCGGACCACCACATGCAGCTTCTCGGCCCGGTCCCGCCACGGGCAGTACCGAGTCCAGCGGACCAGACACATGCACACGAAAGTTCCATGCAGATGCCGCCACCCCCGACGACAACGACGACCGTCAGTCCCATGGCGCAAGTAACGTTGAGCCTGCCGCCGATGACCGGGACATCGTCGTCGAGGCCTGCCCTTGCAGGCGTTGCGCCGTCGCAGGCCAGCGCGGTGACGAGCGGCAGTAATGCGTTTGAAGAGCTGCCGGACGGGCTCAACTTTGGGCCCAATTTTGGGCCCGAGTTTTTCGGCATTGAGTCTTGGTCGGCCTTGTCGCAGGGCTGGACGGACCTGGGGCAGTTCCCTGGCAGCACCATTTCGTGATGTTTGACCCATAATGAGCAGATGTGGCGTCCTGTCTCTTCCACAGTTATGCTGTGGGAATTGGTTGTGTTTTATATACGGTAGTCCTGACCCCTGTTCGGTATTTGCGGTGTCTACCCCATCCCACGTGCGCGTGGGGTGCATTCCGGGGGGGTCCTGTTTGGTGTGGTGTGGCGTTTTCAGGATTGGTTGCGTGTTTAACGGTAGGGAGAGGCACCCGAACAATGAACCCAGGATATTGAGTGACATGTGTAATGAAGGAATATATCAGAGAATTTTTAAGGTGTCACAGGCTCATATACATCGTTCAGACGTTACATACAACAACAGTGCTTGCTTGGTTATGGCTCATCATCTCACCCCCTCAAAGCTCCCCCGTTCCACGTCTCACCGCAACAGCGGGGTTTCCTCCGACGGACTGGCGTCTTCGCTCTCCCTCCTGGACCCTACCGCCACAACCGTCACGCTCCGGTCCGGGTCAACCGTCTGCTCCCGGTAAATCCAGCCGATGCAGATGCCGGCGCCGGGGCCCAGCATCACGGAAGCTCCCGCCACGACCAGCGCCACCCTCCACCCGGCCTCGACCAGGATCCAATACAGCACCGTCAGGCCGACAAAGAAGGCGTCGATGGTGATGAACTTGAGCACGGAGCGCGTCATCTCCTTGCGGTCGTCGGGCCGCGTCAGGCTCCAGAGCAAGTACCCGTGCGCCAGGATGGAGCAGGCAACCGGCAGCGCGTACACGGCGACCAGGGCGCGCCGGTCCGATTCGAGATGCAGGCTGCCGCTGCCGTTCCACCGCCTTTCTTGGCCGCCCACGCGCGCCCACAAAGTGATTACCACCAGCAGCCTCCGGACGGCCTGGCGCACGAGCGAGACTAACACGGGAAAGAAGAGCCAGACCAGGACAGCGGCGGGATTGTCCAGCACCAGCATTAGGAGAGATGGCACCACGAAGCCGACCGCCACGGCCACGGGGATGGCTACCGTCTCGGCGAGCCCGTTGGGGCCCAGGTGCCGCATGGCCTCGCCAAAGGTCGGGTCGGCCGGCCCAGCCGGCAGCTGCGCATGGGATCCCCCCGGGCCCGCCTTCCGGGCGGCACTGATGGCGCGGCTGCGGTGAAAAAATGCCGGGATGATGACCAGCTCCCAGACGATGGCGCCGCCGATCAGGGTAAACAAGATCCACGGCCCCGTCGGGTAGGCGATGACGATGCTCGGGGCATTGCAGATGCGGGCGGCCTCGACGGTGCTGACGGTCAGCAGGCCCGCGATAAACGATAAAATGGCGGCCATGGTGCTCGAGGCGCGGATCGATGCATGCGAGGAGGAGGAAACGGCCTCCTGGAAGAAGCTCACCAGAAAACAGGCGGGGCTTCCAAGGACGGGGATGTGGGAGAGCCAGGGCAGCCGGGAGCGGGCGTGGCACTGCGAATAGAGCATGTACATGTTGACGTCGCTGTGCAAAAAGAGCACGTAGCCGGTGAGCGTGGCCAGCAGGACGGGCGCGACGAGAAGGTACCGCAGCGAGAAGCGGTGCACCGCCGGCCGAGCACGGCGCGGGGGTAGGTCCATTTCTTATTTTGCCCCTTCTCCGCGACTTGTTTGTTGTCGCCGCGACTATTATCGAGTTATCGAGAATTGCAAACGTGCCCTGCGAGGGTTTGGTGGGGGTTGGGCGGCGTGATCTTGTGATTACTTGAATCTCGTGATGTTTGGTTCTTGGCGGGAGGGGCCGATGATTTCCCCTTGTGCCAAGCCTGTAGCTCCCTGAAACCTGTACCTGAACCCCCTCATTTCAAGTACTGCACCTATTTACTAGGGTTATCGATTGAATTTTGGCTGCCAGGATTTCAGCCTAATAATGTAGATTTGGATTTCTAAGTTCACACTAGACTTCTATTAGAATAGGATTCAGAATAGAGTTAGTAGTAAAATTAAGATATTTACTAGGCTAAGATATCTGAAGACTTACTTAATTTATTGGCAATCTATTACTTAAATACTTAGAACATTGTCTATTGCTATGTTAAGCTAACGTGATTCACTGTTGATTCGAATACCTTATTAACTCGACTATACTATTATTATCATTATTTCTACACCGCTATGCCCTAGGGCTCGCCGGGTCCTCTACCACTAATCACAAAGGAAAACCATGCCTGCAAGGCTGAACTTAAAAATCTCTGTCTCCCCTATACCAGTCTGAAGTCTTGAATCTATCTACTACAGCGAAAAGAAATGCGTAGATAGCCGACTAGGCCAGCGAACTACCCTAGTTCTAGCCGTGCAGCTAACCTATACTCCAGGAGCCTCCCAGAGCATAGTAGCCACCTGATCACCTTCCTTGCAACCTTCTCTTTTTGTTTCCCCACCCGTCGAGAGCCCCATACAGGTCTCTCTGCGAGCGTATCTCTGTAGCCGGCCAGATTCTTGGTTTCAGTAGTTGGCGGCACCACACAGCTAAGTTGTCACGGGCACAGCTCGTTCCATATTGATGGTTAGGGTTGTAGTTAGTCAGGGTTAGGGCTATAGGACCAGACCCAGAAGTGGGGTCTGCGGTTGTGGCCTGTGCGCGGCCCACACACACAGGGTTTTCTTCTCTGTGGGCGCCGCGCCTCCCAGTTTCCACCCTCGTGCAACCACACAAAATACAAGGCAGAACCTACCACGGCACCACGACCCGTGATATAAGTGTTCCACTGTCTCCTGTTGGACAGCAACAGTTACAGGCTCGAATAGGCATAGACCAACCAGGTGACACTGCATCAATTGAGGCACAAGATGAAGCTTGAATTGACTGTCTGAACCATGCGTCATGTGTGTGTGTTGCTTGAAAGAACCGAGGGCTTCGGGACCCTCGCCAGACCCTGCTTTTGGGTGGGTGACGAGTCTTCCACCCTTACTGCATTAGGCAACCGTGCCCAGCCCCTGAATCCAGGTGCCAAAGAGCCAGTTCAGTTCAACAGATATATCCCTTTCCTTCGAAGGCCAAGAGGCCTTCTTACTTTGTATTTACAGGATCACACACTGATCGTTTCCTCAATTGTCGATATGGGTTTTTCACCCGGCCCACGAGGGCGCGGTTTTCCTGTATAGTAAGTTGTTGAAGGTCCGGCACGCCCTAGGGCACAGCGGGATAGGAATAATAATAATATTTAAACAATAGCCTCCTCTTCTGATTGAGTGAGTTTTCACGAATTGAGTGTTGTGTAGTAGAGTATATGCTGGCTAGTACGTTCACAGTAAACAGTAGAATAAGGTATAGATAGATCTTTGCTATAGACCAGCGGCTTAGCTTAGAATCTCTTTCAAGAGCCTTATAGATTGATTTACCTTCGACTAGAATAGCAGATATGTTGATGTGATAAGAGAAATCGGTATTAAATATAAGAGACGTCTGACGCATCGCATATAGAATTGATCTACTCGCTGATATAATCTACTCGCTGATATAATTGATGCAGGAGGCACCAGCGGGATGGCATGGTATGGGTGTAACTGAATTGTTGGAATGAAGAATGAAGATTCAGACAGAGAAGTCGGTGTCGCGCGTCCTACATGCAAGATAAACTGGCATGGAGGTGCTGAGCGCGCACAGACCTTTGCAGCGGGGCTACTCTACATGGTGCCTTCCGGTATCAATAATCTACTCGCTGATATATATTATTCCTACACCGCTGTGCCCTTGGGCTTGCCGGACCTTCAACAACTTACTATACAGGAAAACCGCGCCCTCGTGGGCCGGGTGAAAACCCATATCGACAATCAAGGAAACGATCAGTGTGTGATCCTGCAAATACAAAGTGAGAAGGCCTCTTGGCCTTCGAAGGAAAGGGATATCAGACCGCGAGCTCCAGCTCCCGCCTCCTGGCCAGACTGTACATCGGCAGTTTCCCCGAGTCCATCAGCCAGTCCAGGATCCTCTTCTCCGTTAGCCGTGCAGCTTTGGGACTGATTCCCTGTAGGACAGAATAAAAGTCCCTTCGCGTTCTGATTTCGGCTCTCTCCCATCTTCGAGTCAACGGTGGGGCCAAGCACCACATCACAAGGTGTTCGACAGTCTCTCGCCCCTCTCCACACTCGCATATAGGCGTCAGTACCTCTGGGACTCTCCTTTCAAATAAGAAAGCCCGAAGGCCTATGGCCCCGGTTCGAATCTGGATCAACAGTGAACTCTTCGCTCTGCTGAGGCCGTCGTGTCTCCTTAGGGTTTTGTCTTGGAACAGAGTCTCGTGCTGGTGGTCAAGGTCATCTGCGGGCCTCGTTCCTTGAAGTCCCTAAATTCGCAGTCCCTACGAACGTGCTACCTAAGCTAACTACATAGCGAAGATCCGCCTCAAGGGGGTATCTAGTCAAAGAGGCGAGGCCGAACCTCTCTACCGGGCTCTCTGCGGCTTACGGCCTTTCGTTGTCGTTGGGCGTGCACAGAGAACCACGGAACCCCAAGGTTTGCACCTTAAGCCCTCCGCAACAGGCACTACTACATAGAGCTCCGTAGGCGACACCACAGCGACCGCACAGCGGCCAGGGCCCGGGTGCGAGCCGGGTACTCGGCATCTATGTAGTTTCCTCTCTCTTAGATGACCGACACGCGCGTCCGTCCTCTCCGGCCAGCCCTACTGCTCCTCGAAACCATGGCTTCCTTGCGGCGGCGACACCACACATTTGTTCCACAGCCGAGGCACCAATACCCGGTGCAATCCATCCGCGGCTTCATCCCATACCGTAACCTATGCCCCCGGAAGGGACGTGGCTCGGCCACGCGTACAGTCAAACAGGTCCCCCGCCAAGGCATCGTCTGTTTCTCGCATGCAGCCCGGATGCGAGCCGGGACCGCAATTCCACCATCTTTCCCTCGGTCCAGTATAGCCACCACGGCCCACCTTCCGCCGGGCGCAACCCCAACATCCAGCTTCCCGTTGCACTACGAGGGTCTCCCCACGAGGCCGAAGCCGCAGTGCCGACCGTGTCTTGCAGCAGGCCGTCGAAAGAGCTGCCACACCGGCGCAGCTCCCTCGGTCGCACTGCCACTAACCAGCCCTGATCCACCATTGTAGTTCCTCCTCTTGTAGTGTGCTGTTTGTCAAGAGGGCAAAGCGCCTTGCAGGAGAGCCGGCCGCCCGTGTGCCTTCCTTAACGAACCCGTTACTCTCCGTCTCCTCGGTCGATTAACAACTCTTGCAATCGGAATCGTACAACAGCTTTCGCTCCGGTCCTCGTAGCTTCGTCGCACTGGTCGGTCGCGCCGCCAGACTCTTGATTCCGCTCCACCAGAACCGGGCAGGGCCGGGGGTGCCCTGTCTCTTCTTCAGAACGTCGAAAGAGTCGGGTGGTTTTCGTACCCAGTATCCCCCTAATCTTGCAAACTTGTTGCAGCTTGTTGTTGTCGTTGGTGTCGGTTGTCGCGATTGTCGGGCGGGGCGGTGAGGGATTTTCGGGCGCTCGAAAATCTCACTTTTGATCCTCGAAATCGACGTCCTAGGCCGCCAACAGGCCGCGCAACGGCTGCGCGGAGCTGCAACCCCTTGGAATCGAGAAAACAGGTCGCAAAGGTACTGCATCTCGATTTTTGCGATGCCCGGCCGCCCGCGCGGGCGGCCCCCGGTGTTTGTTCACCGGGAAGGGTACTCGCTGATATAATCTACTCGCTGATATAATCTACTCGCTGATATAATCTACTCGCTGATGATATACGTTAAATAACGAGGAGCATTAGTCTCAAATTAGTTTTTGTTCCTTTCAACTACTCCCATTTTGGTATCCGAGTTAACGTTGGTATCTTTGTTTTTCGTCTCGTTGTTGTTTGTTGAATCATTCGTCTTATCTATTCTCCTTATCTTGCCTGGCTAATCCACGTAGCAGCAGTACTTTGATGTAAGGATTGCACAGCTACTTTATCACTTGAAACCACATCAGGAATCCCTGTGACGGGCACCACTCAAGGTCTGGTTGACTCGCACATACGAGATTGATATTGCTACGACGAGAGCAAGAGCTAGATGACAGGATGGGCGTGCAACCAGACCTAGTACTGGAGAAGAGGCCTATGTGTAGGCGTGATCACAGACGTATGCATCAGACTCATGACGCATGCATGACCGCAGGTATACGACAACCATGAGAACAGGAACGGGGAATCCCGTGACAATCCCACAATAGACTAAGCTACGTCTGTGCACGTCTGATATAGTTATAGTGAAAAGGCTGTTATGTCCGCTAACTATATGGCCCAAAATATCTGAGTAAATGACTTTCCTTATAGAACCTTGCGCAGGTACCTAAGATAGAATTCCAAATGAATGTTGACCCTCTGTGTCCGCCATAATCAGCTCTTGCATTGTGCCAGTCATGGCACAGAGGACCTATCATGGTCGTTTCTAAGAGAACCTAGAGTCAGACGTTGGACATGAAGCATTTGAGAATTGGAAATTGAAGAGGGTTCCAGTCCGGACACTGCTGGTGCGCTGACCTCATTCTCAATCCAAACTCAGGGGTATTTTAATAATAAATTTGTCAAAGTTCAGGTTCGGTATCAACTACACCAAGGAGAGACTCGGAGGACAGCAAGCTGGAACACGCAGTTTCGATAGGGGCATCAAGCGGCATTATCGATGATCATGAACGGAGTTGTTCAGCCGCTTCAAAACAAGTTGAAGCGCATATATTCAGATAGTTAGTTGAAGTTCACTGTAATTATGCTGTTTTGCTACCCTAGTTCGATTCTTTTTCCTGCTACATTCTGCTGCTAGATGAGGCAGACGTCTTTATGACAATACCAACTTAATCCCCCAATCAATAGCAAGTGATATGGTCATTCCACGAAGGTCTGAGCGCAGCCAGGAGTACAATCCCGTTGTGCCTCGAACCAGGAATATCAAATAGCTGTCTCAGCTATTGCGAGCTGAGTCGTCCCATGGGAGCTACAATTGGATATGTATGGCAAGAAATCAAATATCTGCTATCGAATCATCTTCGAGTGTCTTGCTGAGAAGCATCAACTTTCAGTGAAACACCTTAGTACAAGTTACGATTGGGACCGCACCGGACATCAACCAACCTTTAAGACTTTCTCAACAAGGAGCAAGATGTTCCGGACAACCCGGTACTCTGAGGCATTGTTCGAGTTGAAAGGCCGAGGTTGGACCGTGTTGGCAAAGTCTCCCTCCTTCGCTTAGCCTTCTGAGCGAGCGAATTCACATGCGCCTCACTGATACATGTGCACTTGTGGTCTTGTACCAATGAGATACCGCGGGCTGGTCAGCACTACCGGAACTTTGGGAAAGAGCTGGAGGTCATCAATCAGCAACCGACGGGGAGCCGACCCGATGCCACCCTCCCCAGCCGGACTGCATATCGCCACAGGATTCTCGGCCAGCTACGCACTACCCGCTGGATACCTCCCTAGAGAAATCTCGGTCCTGGACATAGACCCCACCACCTTTCCACCCGCCGACAAGCCAACTATAACCGGCAGCTTCCGCGGTCGCTTCCGCGGGGATTAAGAACAATCGAGACTTGGCCGCAATCGGGTCTTGCCCTTTCGTCGGCGGGACTTCCGGACTGAGCCAGCAGGCGTATCGTGGCCGACGTGCAGTCGATCCCAACCGGCCCACTTGGCGCTTGACACGTCGATCTGCTGCGTGAAAGGTTGAAGAGGTGGCTTTTGATCGACGTCAAAACTAACCCCTTTCGAATGTCAGCACAAGTACAAGAAACCAAATAGTGTCATCAAGAAGCTGCAACTTCCTATCTGAGATGTCTTGCTGCCAGATCTGACAAACAATGTATTGCTCCGTCTCCTCACTGACAAGAAATGTCTTGGCCTGGTGTCTTTTGTGATCCGGGATTCAGGACCGGACAGCCTGCTGTGGGTTGCCTCGGTAGACATTCGCGGCGACCAACTGCATCAAACTGCATCTGAATGGTTGCAATATCAGCTGGGCTGAGCTGCCAATTCATGTCTGCATATCTGCCAACTCCAGCTTGCAGCCCCGTAGCCCTCATGCTTGGCCCTGCAGCTGGAGGGTACCCCTCACCGGGTATAGACTACGGATACGGCCACACAACCTGAAAGCAAGTATCCCGCCGGCCATGATGACGGGAGAACTCCTGAGCCGCATGACTGCTGCATGGGCGCCAACCAGACAGCAGCTTCGTGCCTTGCCTGGCTTGCCTGGCCAAGGTCAGGTACCCAGGCAGGCTCAAAAGAACACACGTCTGACTACTTCTGACAGTGATCAGCATCGATTTGTCTCACCTCCCAGTACCTTATCCTCGATTCTCTCCTTACAGATTTCCATGCACGTGACCGCAGGCCACAATGAAGGAGTGAATCAGATTTCGGCAACGCTTGGCCGGAGAGGAACCTACCCTTGAACCAAGGCTTCCTATTTACTGACTGTAGAGATAAGATAGGGCCAAATCAAATGCGGAAAGATGCAATCGCGCTTCGGACCCGAGGAGGAGAAGACGAGGCCAACAGCGGACAGTTAGCCTAACCGCCAGCCAACCGCAGGCCAACACCAACCCAATCTGGCACGATGGGGGCGACAGGAATCCCGATCTGCAAGCCAAGGCGTGGGCAGCCACTCGTGTTGTATGCTAGCTTGTAGTGGTACACTCACACGCATTCTCGATGACGACTCATATCGTGAAGGTCCCTCCCGTCGTGCCGCCCCCATGCTTGGGCAGAATTCCTGGTGATTGGCAACCGGAGAAACCGAAGGTAAGACACCAAGCTTATTGGGCTGCTGACTACCACCCTCGGACACCAATGGTGACACTCCAATGGGAAGCGAATCCTTCTGGCTGCCGATCCAGTCGTCGTGTCTTGATGGGATGGGATCCTCTGAATCTCGGCACTCTCGGTGTCACAGTGAGAGGGAGGGACGGGATGGCGCTTGATGAATAAGAAGTTAACTGCTCCTTCAAAAGCACCTGCACTGTTCCTGACACCCCTTAACAGGCGGGGAAGTAATCCGGACCATCCAGTCATCAGCAGTCAAAGTCAACATCATGCCAAACATAACGTCTGTATACCCGGAATACCAATCCACAGCTCGCCTAGACGAGCTGCGGAGGAGCGAGTATAGCTACCTCGACTCCCAAGACCATGTCTACCTGGACTACACCGGGTCGGGGCTCGCTGCCGCCGCTCAGGTCCGCCATCACCAGCAACGGCTCGCCCAGATACTCTCAGGCAACCCCCATTCCTCCAACCCAACCAGCGCCGCCGCCACCGAGGCCATCGACGCCACCCGGGCGCGGATCCTGGCTCACGTCAACGCCTCGCCGGCCGAGTATACCGTCATCTTCACGCCCAACGCCACCGGCGCAGCCAGGCTCGTGGGCGAGGCCTACCCCTTCCGCCGAGGCACTCGCTTGGTCCTGACGGCCGACAACCACAACTCGATCAACGGCATCCGCGAGTTTGCGCGCGTCGGGGGCGCCAAGACAGCATACATCCCCCTCCAGGGACCAAACCTTCGAGTGGATGATGCCGACGTTGTGACCGCCCTGTCCTCCTCATCAAAACGAAATATCCTGCGCCGCCTCCCGCTTGCCTGCCGCAGCATCTTCAGTAGCGCCGGTGACAGTACCTGTATTAACAACAACCATCCCAGCCCCATATCGTCATCATCATCATCATCATCATCATCATCATTTTGTAAAGGCCTATTCGCTTACCCAGCCCAGAGTAACTACTCGGGCGTGCGGCACCCGCTCTCCTGGATCCCCCTCGCCCAGCGCCACGGCTACCACGTGCTCCTCGACGCGGCCGCCTACCTCCCAACCTCCACCCTCGACCTGTCCTCGTCGGACATCAAGCCCGACTTTGTCCTGGTCAGCTGGTACAAGCTCTTCGGCTACCCCACTGGCGTCGGCTGCCTCATCGCCCGCAGGGACAGCCTCGAGGTGCTCCGGCTTCGCAGGCCGTGGTTTTCGGGGGGCACCATCCAGGTCGCGGCCACGTCGGTGCTCTGGCACAGGATGGCGCCCGGGGCTGAGGCGTTTGAGGATGGCACTGTCAATTTCCTGTCGATCCCGGATGTTCAGTTCGGGTTGGATTGGTTGAATGGGATTGGTATAGGCCTCATCGAGACGAGGGTGAGGTGTTTGACGGGGTGGTTTATGGACAGGCTGCTGCGGCTGCGGCATAGCGATGGGTCGCCCATGGTGAGGGTATATGGGCCGACCGACATGACGATGCGTGGCGGGACTGTGACGTTTAATTTCCTCGACGCGGCCGGCAAAGTGGTGGACGAGCGTATGGTGGCCCTTGAGTCGGCTGCGGCGAGGATTTCACTGCGGACGGGCTGTTTTTGTAACCCGGGCGCTGGTGAAGCCTCGCTGGGGTTGGACAAGAAGGCGATCAGAAAACTGGCAAGAATTCGCCAGCAGTATCCGGACATGGACGCGTTTGCGCAAGAGAACGATATCCCCGCTCTTGGGGCCGTTCGTGTTTCGTTCGGGGTGGTTTCGACCGCCGCCGATGTGGACAAGTTCTTTGGCTTTGCAGAAAAGACGTATAAAGACCGGGTAATGGCAGCAGCAGGGCTGCCACCGCGGGAGTTAAATTGTTGAATAAATTACGGTAAACCACCGTTTTGTAATATGGCACGTCGAAAACTGAGAAGGGAATTATTGTGTCCTGAAATCAGACAAACATGCGCTGAAACAGTCGCTGTGGTATCACAATTGGTCTATCCGGGATTGAACCCCTCCTCCGAGCTATCCACCATTGGTTACCACTTGATGATCTTCTGTGGGAAGAACTCGTCGATGAGTTCCAAATAGTAAGGCTAGATACGTGTTAGCCTCCAGTCTGGATCAGGTTATAGGTTGGGGAGAGTAGAGAAGGAATACAGAGGAAGGATATGGGAATGGGAGAAGAGTAGAACAGGACCAGGAACAAGATAATGGAAGCAGAGCAAGAAGAGTAAGAAGAGAAGGAAGAGGAAGATGACCAAATAAGAAATGAATCTGGAAACAATGGCAAACTACCTTCAATTCCTCCACTTTTGGCACATCGTCCGACTTGCTATACAGATCGTACGGGTTGAAAGCCTGCACAGCCTTCAGAAGCACATCGTCGCTCTCGGCCATGAACTCGCGGTAGGCGCCCTCTTTGTGCCATGGGTAAAACGAGTGAAACCGAATCATGGCCAGCGCTTCGCGCGGCAGAGTGCTTTGGTCCTTGAGCACCAGATACAAATACTCGTCGTGGCCCCAACTCATCATCAGCTTGTCCATGCCGCAGCCCGGTTCGTAGATGCCGTATTTGGTGCCGTACACCTCGTGCCCAAAGTCCGGATTCGCCCGAAACGTGTCCGGGTAGATACACCTCTCATCAAACCGACACCCCACGGGAAACGTATCGCCCACAACGTCCCACTGGCCCTCACAGCAGTCGTCAAAGAAGAGCATCAGCTTGCCCAGGTCGTGAATGAGCCCCGTCAGCTGCATCCAGCGCGGCTTGCCGTCGCGGCGGATCGCCTCGGCGCTCTGCAGCAGGTGCTGGATTTGACTGAGCTCCGTGTCCGGGTCGCTGTCGTCAATCAGAGTGTTGAGCTTCTCGATGGCCTCCCAGACGGTCATCTCGGCCCTTTTCCGAGAGGGCGAGTAAAAGCGCTCCCTCGCCGCGAGGTTGTGCGCCATGGTCTGCTTGGTGTGCTGCTCAGCGTAGAAGGTCTTGACCCGCTCGCAGGCGTCGCCGTACTGTCGGAATGCAGCTTTGTCTTTCTCGGCGTCGAAGCGAGACTGGGCGTCGAAAGCCTCTGGCGCCGAAGCCATGGCTCTGAAAATGTTGACCGTGTCGACGGCATCCGAGATGGCCTCGAGGGCTGCGCCATCCCGGTGGACGGGGCGAGTGTCAACAGCAGCCGCCATTGAACTGAGGTAAGGAAAGAGATGTCGAAGGTGAATCAAATGCCCACTGTTATCCACACTCGGGTGGTGTCTGGGTAATCGGCGTGTTGAGGGTCGGGAGTTGGTCCGAATGATCTGTCCAAGAACATAGGGGCGACCGGTGTGTTCGGAGGCAGACAGAGTTTTATACTGCTTCCCTGACTTGTCCTCGCCTCCGTGGAGATGACCGACACGATTTAGGTAGACCAAGATGGAAAAGAAGGGGTGAAACTCAGATCATCCCATTTGCCAATCCTTTGAGCTGGCAAATCTCGACCTGCTGGAACCTGGTGCTACGATGAAGATGGTTGAGTACGTACCCATCCGTACCCCATCCTGTTATTCCACACCAGTTTACGCCTCCATTGCCAAACAGGGATGAACTTCGCAAGTTCGCCCCATGTGCCAATTGTGCGGCGTCCCCCACGTGGTCATAGCACAACACTTGAACAAATTCCCAGGTTCCCCTCGTCCGATGAGCATATGAGACGATCTCGACCGATCTTTTCCATCCATGACCGGCAAAAATTTCTGGTTTGGGAACAGACGTTGCAAAAGTTGTGGTAGGGCGGCGGGCGGCCGCAATCTTGGCGTATTTCCATTTTCGGAAACAGGCAAGTTTCCCCGACGCAAACTCTGCGTGGGTACTCGGCCGAAATGATTGATGTGTGCGGGAGGAGAACCCTGCCGAGCCTGCATTGTCCCGTCGGGCAGGGTGTGGACCCTGATCTTCAAATGCCACAGTCTGGGCGCGGAGAAAACCTAGTCAAGACGATGTTGCAAAATTGTTTCAGTCGCACGGGATGCAAAGGATACCATCCAAACGGTCGCGGTAGGTCATACCGAGATTGAAAAAGTATCCAGCCGAAATGTAAAAGGCTTGACCGCTATCTCGGCCTCGCACGGCAGTGTCACAAGACTTCCTCCCCCGCTCCATCACGAATAAGTGAGCCGCCCTGCCATATCTTAGTCTCCTGCCAAGAACTGCCTATTCTGCCAGATGAGGTACGTTTCGCCCGATGCCCGTTGGCTTGGTACGAGGCCGTTCTGTCTTGTCGAGTCTTTTGGTGATCTTTTGGTAATCCCTTGCAAGCGAGGCAGCTGTCCTGGATGTGGAAGTGAAAATCAGGGATTGTGGATCGGTTGTCGCGGCTTTTAGGTTTCTTGAGTGCCGCTCTCATGTTGATGGTAGTTGACCCCTCGCCAACAAAATCAGATCTGCCGCCTCCACAACCGGAGCATATCCAGTCGTACACTCTCAGTCGGCCGGGCATGGTCCTTCTGGGTCTGGTCCAAGATGGCCAGCATGGCGTCTTGCTCTTCAATGGTGTGAAAATACCCACCGACTGCCGCGCATTAGTCCTTTTCGCTCCTACTTGTGCTCGGGGAACCTTCGCAGCATCAACTCACAGGCCGCTATCGTCATGCAGGCCGTAAACATGCCCGGTGGTGTCCACTGGTTACCGCGCCCGATGCCGCAGATCTCCCGGACTGTTTTGCGAATCTCGCTCTGTTCATCAAAGCCATCATCTGTTAGATGATACCATCATCAGCGGTAACAAGATGCGTTTCAAACCAACCTGGACCTCGTACGTCTCATCCGGCGTCCTCGCGTTTCCAGACTTGATACGGTGCTCCAACAGGAAAAGCTTCGCAAGGCGGTGGTGCTGAACGCCGATGACTGAGCCGCGAGCAGCCGCGTCAGCTCTTCCGCAGAGGATACCAAGGAGTACTTAGCAATTCGAGACGTACCCTGGCAACCTCGATGATACCAAATCTCGGGGAAAACAGCAGAGTCTGGAGGCTCGCTGAAGACTGGATCATATGATGGAGGGCGTCTTTCTGACCATTGCCCGTTCCACTTGTCCAGCCTATCCCATTGGGACAGCTGGTGGCTCTCGGTGCCGAAACAGTAGTTGATCACTTCAGAGCAGTGGACCACGGCCCGATTCGCCCACGTGTTATCGTCCGCCTCGTCGAGCGACCTGTCCATCAAGCGAGGGCCAGGTTCGAGGCACACCGATCGCCGTTTCGTCACAGCGCTGTAAATCTCCTGCCGCAGGCCGACCCAGAATGACGCTGCCCCCAGCGTCCCAGGTTCAAACGACGCGTCTCGGACGAATTGGTACATGCCGGGCAGATGGCCCCTCCTGACGGCCTCCTTCATGCTGTCTTCACCCGCATCGGTGTCATCGTCGTGGAGTGCAGCTGTTGTAAACCGTCAGCTCTGTCGGTCAGGGTTACGGAGCCTTCGCCGCCTCGCCAAGAAACATGAATGGGGGGACCGCGTACCGTTCATCTCTTCCATCACTTGGAGAATGATGGTCGAAGCAAAGAGGTGCTCAGTCCAGCCCGACTGGTAATCATCCCTGTTCAAAATGTCCTTCATGATGCTGATGCATTCCTCGTTGTACATGTCGGCACGCTGATTGTACATTCTCTTGAGGTGGTCGTCGCTGTGAGTCTGCCCCCAGTGACGTGCTGAGACAGCGAAGATGGCCTTCAACAGAACCGGAGAATCCCTCGCCAGCTGTGGCACTATGATCTCGAAGGTATCTAGGGCACGTTGTTCAGTCTCGTCTCGCAGAATGCTTCTACGGGACTGTCGAGCACACGGAGGTCCACGTACGGTTCGGATCGCACAAGTCAAGCTGCAGCATCGGGAGTCAGCCAAGAACCCCTGCATGACGGCACTTGGCCAAGTTGAGAGGCACCTTACCCATCTAGCCAGGTGCTCCACAAAGTGCCGGAAGAGACGGGCCTCTTCTGGATTCGTTAAGGGCCAGCTTGAAGACGGCGGATTGACGACAGACGATATCATCATCAGGCGCAAACGGTCCTGGAGCGGTTGCGGCCGGAAGGATGGTATGTCCGCGGTTGATGGTGGGCTCCCGAGGAATGGCACCCGAGAGGCACCTGTGGGAGATTCCCAGGCTGTCTCGACCTCATCTGGCCCGCTGTCTGAACTCAGGGCATCGTTGATGGTTGTCTGGGACTCATTGATGAAGACCACTCCACTCGCCCATCAGTGTCAGAGGCTTCTGGCAAATAAAGCATGATGGTCTGAGAAGAGAAAGGGGGTAAAGCACAAAGAAGAGAAGAAGAGGCGCGAAGTACAGGACTAAGAGAACAAAGGAAAGGAGAATAAGGAGACGGAGAGAAAAAAAGAAGGCCAAACCAACATCTTCTGGGCGTTTTGACCCACTTCTGCTTCTTAGTAAACCTGAACTTGCCTGCAAGCAATGCCGGTCAGCCCGAGCGGCCATGAAGGGGAATATGAGCACGATGGCCGAGACGCAAAGGCTCACTGACGCTCATTGGTCTCGCGGATTTTGAGATTGGGTGAAGAGCACGTCTTGCTGGCACTCAGACATCTGCCGCAAGTTGGTGCCACTCTATCGCCTGCAGCACGTTGCTAAGTCAGCAGCCGTTCGTCTCCCCCACCCGTGTTCCAAACAGGCGGTGCTTGTATAGAGGTCTGTGGCTGAGGTGGGGACGGAACGAACACTTTAGATGAAGCTGTCGACACCTAGCGCTGTCCCATCTGTCAGAAACCCTCTTACATACGGAGTGGGCTATGCTGTCTAAGTTGACTCACCATCCAAATTTTGCCAGGCTTCGAGGAGCGAGGCCCCAGCCAGGGTCCGTCGCGGCCGTGCCCAACCGTGGCATTGGCAGCCGGGAGTGTCAACGCCCGCCCAGTCGAACCGAAAAGCACCAGCATGCTCGACCGTGCAGCAAACAGCGCAGGAGGAGATTGGGCAAGTGGGGTCTTCGTGGAGGTAGTCTAGGAAAAATGCGAGAAGCTGGCCGAACTGATAAGGAATAAACAGACGATTGGGGGCCGGAAACTGCGAGACTCAGGCCAAACCTAGGTCGAATCGAGTCGTCGACAAGTCCGGCCGTCAAACCGAACTCAGCGGCAGCGCCGTGGCTTGTTCGGGGAAACTCGTGCCGATGTGGGACCCGGTCAGGGGAGGTCGTCGTGGACTCCGCCCGGCCGAGGCAAGAACAACGCAATCACGGATCCCGTGCGAAATGCCGTACTAGCGCGTCTGTACCCCGCGAAAGAAATGGGGAAAGGAGTCCGGGGAAGAAGAGCGTCGCTCCAATGGATCAAGTTGTAGCTTTTTCAAGACATTTTGTCCGAACGCTCAGAGCTTCGGTGCGCCATGCAAGGCCGGTTCTGGCTCGTGGTTCACCGGTAAGATGCGGGGAAAGCGCCGGCAAGACGCCGGTGCCTTTCGCCCTCGTGACATTCCACATGCCACGCAACTCAACAGCATGATGCGCCTTCCCTTTCCTGTCCCGAATTCTCGTACCGTTGGTTGGCTCACTGAAAAGCTTCCACACTTTTGGCTTCAAGAACAGGGATCACCAAGTTTCTTAATGGTTTCGGGACTTTTACCCCACTAACGCTCCACACTGCCTTCCGTCACCGAAACGCATGCCCATTGGATCCAATGTGAAGGTTCGAGAATCTCACTCGATCCCGTACAAGATGGGGGCCACGACAGCAGCCTCTGCTTGCTGAGCTTTCCCAAATTTCATCCGACAGCTGGGGATACATAAGGTGTACATAACGCGACGAGGCTGGCGTCCTTGCTACTCGTCCGGCTTTCTTCCTGTCCCATCCCCCTCACATTCACCCCGGCAGTCGGACTCTGCCTACACACGCAATAATGGCTTCAAAGGATGCTTTTGGGGACATTGCGCCCTCCAGCAAGGCGCCAGTGGACGAGGAACAGGACCAGATCTCGAAGATCAAGGCCACGGATCGGGTGATACAGGGCGCCAAGGCAGCAACGGAGAAGGAGCAGTCCATGACTCTGGCCCAGGCGGTCCGCCTCTACCCCAAAGCCATTGCATGGAGCGTCCTAATCTCGGCCTGCATCATCATGGAGGGATATGATGTCTGTTTGATCAACAACTTCTGTAAGCTTTCCTGCTCTCAGGTCTTCGCACCACCGATTGTGGGCGGTCGGGCTGACCAAACGACTGCAAAGACGCGTTCCCCCAGTTCAACAGAAAGTACGGCGAGCAGCTGCCAAACGGCGAATGGGAGGTGCCAGCTCCGTGGCAAGCCGGGCTCAGCAATGTAAGCGGACGGCCCACCCTAGGTTGCGGAGCGAGCCGCTCCCGGCTCCAAAACACCTCAAACATGGGATGAACTCGAACGGAACCGAGGCTAATCGATGGATCTGTCTCAGGGTGCTAATGTTGGCGAACTTATCGGTCTTCTAATCAACGGCTGGGTTTCGGAGCGTTTCGGTTACCGGTGGACTGTCATTGTGTGTCTGATGCTCATCAACGCCTGGACCGCGCTTTTCTTCACCGCTCAAAATGTTCAGACCCTGCTGGCGGCTGAGATCCTCTGCGGTATTGTACGATTTTCTTCCTCTGACGCAGGGCCTGGGTCAAACTAACCTCATACTTGCTCAGCCATGGGGCGTCTTCCAAACGCTCACGATTACATACGCTTCCGAAGTCTGCCCCGTCGCCTTGCGCGGCTACCTGACTTGCTGGATCAACTCTTGCTGGGGAATCGGCCAGCTCATCGGAATCGGCGTCATCATGTCCATGCTGAACCGGCAAGACGAGTGGGCCTACAGAATCCCGTATGCGCTGCAGTGGATGTGGCCAACACCGCTTGCCATCGGTATCTTCTTCGCGCCCGAGTCGCCGTGGTGGCTGGTGCGCAAGGGCAAACTGAGCGAGGCCAAAGCCGCCCTGTTGCGTCTGACCAGCCTGAACCGCGAGACCGACTTTGACGCCGACGAGACGGTCGACATGATGGTTCATACAACGGCTCTGGAGGAAAAAACCACGAGCGGTGCCAGTTACTGGGACTGCTTTAAGGGCCACGACCTGAGGAGAACCGAGGTTAGTGTCAAGTCCGCGCTGGACGAGCATTGGGAAACGTGACGTGGCTGACGGAAAAATAAATGCAGATTGTTTGCATGGTCTGGGCCATCCAAAACCTTAGCGGCAACTCCTTCTCCAACTACTCGACATATTTTCTCACCCAGGCCGGGCTGGATTCCCAGGATGCCTACGGCTTTGCGCTCGGCCAGTATGCTATGAACATGGTCGGAGTATTCGGGGCGTTTTACCTGATGCACAAGGGCATCGGCCGCCGGTCTCTGTACCTGTACGGTCTGTGCGGCTTGTGCCTCATGCTGTTGATCCTCGGCTTCCTGGGTCTCGTCCCTGAAGCCCACCGAAGGGAAGGATCCATTGCGACCGGGAGCATCATGCTTGGCTGGGCTTTGACGTACCAGCTTACCGTAGGAACCGTGTGTTACTCTCTGGTCAGCGAGATCTCGACGCGGAGGCTGCAGATCAAGACTGTCGCTCTTGGTCGCGTCCTTTAGTAAGTGCTCGACCACCTCCAGAGACCGTATTGACCCTAGAGTTTGCTGACTTGTCACAGCATCATTGTCGGTATCATTTGCAGTGTCCTGACGCCATACATGCTGAATCCGGGAGCGTGGGACTGGAGCAACTTCGCCGGCTTCTTCTGGGTGCGTAACATCCGCAATCTTGGTTCATCTGATGCTGATACTACAGGACTCTACAGGGCGGCATCTGCGCTCTCTGTATCGTATACACGTATTTCCGTGTGCCGGAGCCGACGGGCCGGTCGTTTGCCGAGTTGGATATGCTCTTTGACAAGGGAGTCAGCGCTCGCAAGTTCGCTACTACCCGTGTTGATGTCTTCGAGGAGGACATAGACGGTGACTTTATGAGCAAATATCACCGGCAGACCCAGGCCGTAGAGAATGTAGATGCTCCCCGTGGGCAGTAGGGGGCGACATCACCGGATATAGACAGTAAATCCTGTGTAGAAGTACTAGAATTCAAGTATTCTTCATCCATCCAGGTCACAGAAAGACGACCAACAGACGATTAAAAGCGTCGGTGATGTGTCGGGTCGTGGTACTAGGAAACGTGCTGGAACTGAAAGATGCAATGACGTAATGTGTTTGATTACCTCAACTTGGGGGCTCAGAGAGCATATGTACGGATGATTTGGGGAGGATAAATGGAACATGAACACGATACGCGGAGCTTACGTCTGCAAAGCTGCTTAACGTACGAAGCTGGAAGTGGTGTTGGACCTCTGTATTGCTTAGAAGTCCTGGTCAATGTGATTCCCCTTCACCGAGGGGCATCAAAAACTGCCAGCTGCATGGTTTGGATCCCTGTAGAAGGCAGTAGGAGATGCTACTCCGTAGCCTGAGCACAATCAACAGCGATGCACCGAGATGCTGATGGAACCCGACGCCGTCTTCTACAAAGCACTTCCTCGAACCAGTCTCGAGCGTTTGACAATGGAAAGAAAGGCGGTCACAGACTCGAGGCCCCCAGTTCGAACGGTTTCATCATGTTGTAGATTGTTTGAGGAAGAAAGATGGAAAATCGAACAAGGCAAGAGAATTGGATAGTAAACTGACCACACAAGATACGTAGTACAAAGGGACAGCGTCAGACGTCCCTCCGTATTTACTCGTAAAAGCAGGCCCGGGTCGATCCTCCCCGACAACCCAACCAAAACCCGTGTGCTTGGCTTGAATTCACCCCCGACCCCACCTTTTAGCTACGAGGTCATTCCACCCTCCAGCTCGCAGCTCATCTGCCAGCCATTTCCATTTCCATTTCCATTTCCCAAACCACCGAACAGAGACCGATTTGTTTGATTGACAAGGAAATATCAAACCTTCCGCATCGACGAGGAACATACGCACAAAGATGGCGAGCGCAACAGAGCCGACGCCAGCACACACTCCGCCGAGGCCAAGTGCCCCGCGCCCAAAGGGTAATCCGAGTTACTTATAGTGTCGCACGAGCACCGGCTCAGAGGCAGCCGAGCCTTCGGACTCCTCCAACACACCAAACTGGGGTCGAGTGGACAAGCTGACGCCAGGGTTTACCACACAGGGATCCTCAAGAATTCATATCGCAACTCACCTCCTCCCGTGTCACCGACCGATGCTCCGCTGCACCCCATCCCATCTGACCACCCGTTGACGCCCAAGGAGGCCAAAGAGCTGACAATCATCAACACACAACGCAACGCGGGACATCGGCGCTCGTCGTCGACGGCCGGGTCCCGCCCCGGCGGCTCGCGCAGGCAGAGCTCGCTGCCACCCAACAACAACGAAAACAACGAGCAGGAGGAGCAGGGCCAGCGGCTCAAGTGGGACGAGGCGAACCTATACCTGACGGAGCAAGAGCGCACCAGCACCATGAAGATCAACGAGCCCAAGACGCCCTACGCCAAGCACTACGACCCGCTCGAGGACCCGTCCGACATGGAGGACAACAACGACGTCGACATGGCCGAGCCCATCGACCCTGACAGCGTCGACATGGACCGGCTCGACGGCGTGCCGAATGCGCATCAGCAGGGTCAGCACGAACGACAGCAGCCGTCTCAGCCCCGCCGCCGTACGCACCACGCTGACGACGAGATCCCGCACATCTCGCTGGGGGAGCCCGAGGAGGAGGTGCCCGAACACGACGAGTTCCCTCCGTCGTCGCGGCCGTCGAATAAACGGCCCCGCGCAGTGCACGTCGACAGCAACGGCAGTGGGCACGACACGGACGGCGAGGAGTACTTGGTGGGGCTGAGCGTCGAGGAGCGCGAGAAGCACCGCCGGTTCGAGGAGATGCGCAAGAAGCACTACGAAATGAAGAGCGTGGCGGCGCTGCTGGGGCATCCGGAGCAGTTGGAGGTGGAGGATGAGGATGACGATGACGAGGAGGAAAAGGAGGGGGAGGAGAAACCGCCTGTCCCGCCTTTGCCGGCGGGGCAGGTGAACGGGTCGTCGTGAGTGGTTCCTGCGGTCGGGTGCTGGTTGATCCCGCGGATCAAAGAGTGTTATGATGGGACATTATGCAGTATTTTTAATGGCAAAAGGGAGGACAGTGAGATTATCATTCGCTGCTTTGCATGCTGGATGAGGAGGCTGTTTTATCAATTACTGCTACTGGCCACGATGCTGTCATGACTGCTGCGCTATCGAGGTAATGGGATATGGCTTGGTGTTTCACGGTATAGCGCACGGTCTTTATTGAGCTACCCGACTGAATTTTTGGGTTTCTGCTCCAAAATATCCACATTGTTGCAGATGTCCGCAGTTCGAAACTGAGGAGACGCCGGCAGGTTCAATGGCTGTGTTAAAGAAGGCCCTTGCGCGCCAACTCGACCTTCCTCGCGGCTTCGCCAGCCTTGAAGCCGCCCTTGGAGACGCATATCCGCTGCCCGTCGGCGAGCTCAAACTTGTCTTCGTGGGACGGCCAGGCGCAGGGACAGTGGTGTGGGAAGTGCACGCATGCTGTCGATCAATAGCGGTTAGCCACCCCCGCAAAGCTGTCGAGAAAATCGTGGAGGGACCACCCACCCATTGTGTCCGGACAGAGGTACTTGTCACAGTGAGCGCGCGCGTATTGTGCTTGGTAGTGTGACGGGTCGCTCGGGACATTCTGGGGTTGCTGCTGGTGTTGGCCACCGCCGCCGCCAAACATCTGGTCGAAGAAGCCAAACTGCGCCGAGACGACGCTCGCCAGGGCGAGGAGGAGAAGTGTGACGAGGCGCATCGTGTGCTGTAGTTTATCGCAGTACTTATTAAAGACGCCAAGCAGATCAGGGCATAGGTTTGTGAAATGATTCTAGGTTGTCGTTCTTGTAGCTGTTCTGGCTTTGGTTTGTCGCATGTGTTCTGGACTTGCTGTCCAACTCCAGAGCCAAGGCGGGATTCTAGAACGGGGCCAGCGCGTTATCTTATCGGACGCCTGACTCAGCAGAAAACTTACCCTAGCGTCCAAAACACCAAAGTGCAAGGTGCAGGAGCGTCGAGTACCGGGATCTCGCTTGCCCGTTTCCACGACACGCGTGTTCCGGTCGTCAATTGCCGCGAGGTGCACTCGCCTGTCGGACTCAATGCAACTCACACGGCTGCAGCGGCCCCTCCAAAGGGCTGCTGTCAGCAGTAACCGACCATTCGGCGCTGTTTTGCGCCCGACGACAGCGACGGCGCCGACGACGAGTCTCGAAGACCGATTCGCCCACCTCCGCATCGCATTGCCGACGGCTACCGGTGCCGCCGTCGAGGGCCGGCGTTATGCTTCGGTCAAGTCGCAGGGTGCCTACAGGATCCCAAACAAAAAGACGATACCCAAAAAAATGGGCGCCAAGAAGACCGGCGGTATGTTCCCGTCAGTTGCGCGAGTCGGGCTCTCTGGCAATGGCGGCGGCAGGGACTCGCCAAAAACTCGCCTTGCTAATATGTTTCCTCCTCGTCAGACCAATATGTCATCCCTGGCAACATTATCTACAAACAGCGCGGCACGATATGGCACCCCGGCGAGAACACCATCATGGGCCGCGACCACACGATCCACGCCGCAGTGGCTGGCTACGTCAAGTACTACCGAGACCCGGAACGCCACCCGAAGCGCCAGTATATTGGGGTCGTCTTCAACCGCGACGACAAGCTTCCCTATCCCAAGAGCGCCCCTCGCCGGCGCAAGCTCAACCTCGTGGCCGTGCCCCGGAAGACCGAGCAGTCAATTGAGGAGACCACAACACCGAGCGGCATCCCACGCTCCGTAACGCGGCACGACGACGAGATTCCACAGGCCGAAAACAACGAAACTGCCAAGGCGGCGGCGGAGCAGGCTCCTGGTCGGCCGGAAGAGCCGATGCCCCTAGTGGATGGCAACGCCGTCGTTTCCAGCCTAATCCAGGACAAGCTCAGGGCCAGGCAAGCTGCTCAAGCCAAGAGGGAGGCACGGAGTCTTGAGCAGCAGAAGGAACTCGAGGCACGCAAGGCCACGCGTGTGTTCCACCTGCAGGACGATTACAGCTACCGCGAGAGCAATTGGGAGATTGGCCGCCTCGTGGGCGACGCCGGCGTCATCCCCGGCCTTGAGAAGAGCGAGTCGAGGAAGGCTAAGTTCCGTCTGCGCAGGAGGAAACGCATGGTCTGGTTCAGGGGCCTCAAGAACCGCAAGATCGAAAAGGCCGCCCGCCGTGAGGAGTACAAGGCGCGGATGCGTGAGGAGAAGGAACAGATGTTGGCTCAGAGGAAAGAGGCGGCTGCCGCCGTCAAGGCGTCCCTGGGCAAGGTGGCGGCTGAGGCGGCAGCTGCCGCGGCGGCCAAGGAGACAGCAGCGGACAAAGCTAATGCCGACGCCTGATTGTCTTGGGGGCGTATCAGGGTCTTGGTAGGGCTGATTGGCCGAGTCCAGGCTTCCGGCGCAGTTGGATAAGGACTGTGCATTCTCGGAGGTTATGTACAATATCCTGTCACGAATAAATTCTGTTGAAAACCTGTGTCCCTGGAGTGATCTTGGTGCCCGCTCGCGATACGGTGAGTATACCCTTTACTTGATCAGGCAAGGCTCGTTGAAGCTGACTGTCTTTGCAGAATGTTTAGCATACTCCGGCTCGCTAGCTGTGGCGCTGCGGCATTCCTCATATTTGCTCTCCCTTGGGCCAAACTAGGTGATGACATGGCGCTGGAATGCAACAGACAAATCACTGGGATCCAACAAAAACAACAAATATGGCCTCCATTGTTGTCTGCTCATTCTCTCTCCTTTCCTCTGTCTCCCCGCTCCCAATAACTCACTACAGACCACGGTGCTGTCGTGCCACCCGAAGCCAGCCTCGACTGCTGCACATCGGAACAAGGCTCCCTGTCGCATGCGGACCTCGTTGCTTGCCTTTCTCGATTGCTTTTCGCCAATACCATGAATAAAGTCGGGGAACCCACTTGCATGGACTGGGCCATGGAGCAGGGCCGGTCCTTCGATGACGGGGAGAGCGACAGTCCCTTGAACCCCCTGGTCTCAAAGCACTCAACGCCTGCTGCAACGGCGCAGGGAGGACAGTCCCCTGGCTCGTTCCGCCGAAACGGCGTGGTGCTAGACTTGAATGTCCGCTCCCTATTTAGCATAAGCGCCGCACGCAGCCCGCAGAACCGCAGCCGTACGCCGGACAGATATCAACGAGGTAATTGTACGAGATTCCCACTCCTCCTCAACCCTGTTCGGAGACCTCTCTACTGAACAACCCTTCGCAGCGCCAACGCCAAACCGGATGAGCAACAACACGGCCGGCAGGGGCCACGGACTACTCATACCCCCGTCACTGTCCGACTTGTCCTTACGATCGGCCAGTTCCAGAACCTTCTGGCAGAGCCGGTCCAGCACCCCGAGCAGGAAACGCAGCTTGGAGCTGAACTTGTTTGACGGCTCGCCGCAATCCAAGCGACGTTTCGTGACAGAGATGAACAACAGCACGGGGGCGTCCTTACGGTACTCGGCCCCGTGCGTTCAGCCTAGTTTATTGGACGGGGCTGCGCGCCGTAGAGGGGTTGGGCTCTAGAGGAGAAGCGACGCTACCATGCAGTCCATCATTCCCATGGGGTCGAATGACACCAGTTTGCCGCCCATTGCTTCCTACTTCGGCGCAGAATGGGAGAAGGTTGGAGGAATAGTGGACGAGGCGTTCCCCGACTTCTTCTGCCCTGTTCCCCTGGCAAACTCATACCACGGAGCTGATAGCACATCCACACCGCCGGAGAAGCCAGAAGTACGCAAGGGGAAAGGGTACTAGTTTTGGAGCCTGGCCTTTCCACCTATTATGGGGCCCACCGTCCTTAGGCGTAGCCGTGGAGAGGTTGAGCTTGTCGGCGAAGATGGTTCCATACCAGGGCCGAAGGCCAGTAGTGCCCGTACAGAGCAGACGAGCAGCGCGGCCCTGGGCGAGGTAGGACGAGGAGTAGGCGACATCTAGCGTTGGTCAACTTCTGTTTCAAGTCACGGGGATCGTCTCCGAGAGAGGTTCAGGAGGCGGGGGGAAGGGATGAAAATGTAATCAAGACGGAAAGGGGCTGCATTCACTCTCTGCCTCCTCCCCCTTGCCGACATATATTCTGCCCGGCGCAAGCTCCCAGTCCGCCATCGTCAGCGACGCAGACTGTACAAATCCTCCTGACTTGCTCCGAAGCCCTCTTCCCTCGATAACAGCATCCCTACCAGCATTGTTGGTATCGGGACCGGCATTCGAATTCTTGCTCTCCTTCCTGAGCTTGGGCGAAAACCTGGATTTAGATGAAGAGACCGCAGCAACACCGGAAAGCCGCGACAAAACACTCTCCGGCCGGGGCGGCTGTTCCTGCTGCTGCTGCTGCGGCTGCGCGAGCAGACGACGGGACCTTCTCGCGCCGCCACTGCTCGTCGTCTCGGTGGTGGTGGTGGTGGTTGTTGTTGTTGTTGTTGTGTTTCGTTTCTCGACTACTACTTCTGGATCATCATGCTCCTCCTCAGCCACCGCGCTCTCGCTCGGCTTGTACACAGCCACTTCCCGTCGGGCCGCCTTGGCTTCTCCCTCTCCTCCCAGCCTGGCGGCAAGTCGCCGGATGGAGCTTTGTCGCTTGGGCTTTGCTGCTGCTGCTGCTGTTGTGGGACTGCATCTCGTTCTGCTGCTGGCTTTCCTATTGATGGACACCATCCTAGGCCGCCCCGCGACCCGAGTAGCCCGGAGCGCTATCTCGTAGTACCGGGGGCTGCTGTTCTTATTGAAGTTGTTGCGGACTGTCGCGGGTGAAAAGGCGATGCTTGTGTCATTGATGTAGGTGTCGCTGCTGCCGGTCTCGTCTTCATTTTCGTCGTCCTTATCTTGCAGCGGCAGTCGGGACGGCGAAGCTTCTTCTTCCTCCTCCTCCTCGGCAATGCTCTCGGCCGCGGCCCCGCCCAGGTCGGAAGAGGATACGGAAAAGCGTGAGACGCGATATCGCCCCCCGTGTCCGCCATCGGCTGAGGATGGTTGGTAGAAGCGGTTGCAGCAGGCCGTCTCTCCAAAGTACTGCTTCAGCTCGACAGAGGCTGCGTCCGGGAGCGTGATGCACTCCGAAAAGGGGAGAATAGTTGCCGCGGGCCCATTTCCTGGAGAAGTGTTTATAATACCGCCAGACCCGGCACAGATCTCACATGGCGTACGTCCCTTGATTCCGGAGAGGTAAACAAGCACAGCGCAGAGCGTCTTCGCCGTGGGGTGCCCGCCTGCAAGTTGAGACTTCCACCTGTGCGGGAGACTCGCTGGCGTGGGGGGTTTAGCAGCTTCAGCGCGTGTGAGCTGGTTGGCAAGGGGGTATCGTGCGGTAGGTATATCATCAGGTACTGCCAAAGTGCGGTCTTGCGCAGCTTCTGTCCCCCTGGCGTGTCCGGCGTCGACATGCTGACCGACGTCAGCGGCCGTGAGCTTCGGCAGCTTCCCGTCTTGTTTCCCTTGACAGGCAGGGCGTCGGCCAGATGTGAAGTCGACGAACGTGAGTCGAAGAGAGAACTAGAGCGGCCAGGGACGGCACCTGGTTGCTTCACGCTGTCGTCGGCGTCCGCGTTCCCCAGCCCGCTTGCCCTCTCCTGCCTGTTTTTTTCTGCATTTTTTCTACGCCCGGGGCGTCGAGGGCTTGCCTTCGGCGAAGCAGTTGCCGCATCGATGGCGTTCCGCGAGACCACGATAGGCGGCTTTCGGCCCGAAATTGAATTGGCCGTCGTTCGTTTTCCAACGACCGACATGGTTCCGTCAAGGTTGTCATTGAGCAGGCATGCCCGATGACCCGCCTTCATCGATCTGTGTTAGCTGTCCAAGCTTAATACACAGCCAATTGGAAGGGAGCTCTTACACTGAAATGGCCCCCAAGAGCCCAGGCATCTGCGAAGACGGTCTGGCAGTCTCGTACAGGACAGATCCACGGGTTTGGATCCCCGATACGCGGGCGGTATCCCTCGGGGAAGAGCGCGCCTGACCCGGGTATCTTGCGCGGGATGCCATCTGTTGAGCCGGTGAGAATCTGCAAGTCAAGGACAGGGGAGGGATCACGGTTCAGCCTACTCCAGAATCCAGTCCAGTCTGAATATAGTCTGTCGCCACACTAAAGAATCGGATTCTCCTCGCTAGGGCTGCTGGGATTGCCACTATCAAAATTCCGCGGGCCTGCTTCTCTCGCGTGAATACCCTCGACCGAGTGTAGTGGGTCTAGTCTCCCGCCTCCCTCATCACCCACGGTCTCAGCGCTACTCAGGCGTCCTAATACAGTATCCTGGCGAGCTTTCGTAGTCGGTTCTGGTCGATTCGAGTGCCCATCTCAGAGGGCACGAAGTTCCAAGTGGTCGAGATTCAGCCGGGCGGCAGCCTGCGGTGGGCTGCCGAGGAGTCGAGGATCCGCCTCTGCTCGGTTGCTCGGGGCATCGTCCGGGTCAAGTTACCGGCAAAGGAGTTTCCCATCGGCTCCAACGGCATGTGGAAGGTGAAGCAGGGCGTGGCCTGCACCTTGGTCAACCCCTTCTACTCAGGGGCCGTTGTTCATGTCACTGCTTTGGAGGATACCATGTGAGCTTAGACCAGGAATTAAACATCTGTCGTACGTATCGAGGTTGTATGGTCAATAGTTTCAACATGTCGTCCTGTTCATCACCAGGCAAGGGGACAGCCCGGGAGGACTGTATGGATGTCTCATCAGAAACCTTGATGTCGGGCCATATCACTGTCTTGTATACCCCATAAAAGTTGTGTTAGTTGTGTTGATTATTGCCATGGGTATCGAATACTCCAACGCCGACTCCCAACCGCCGAACTCCAAAACCAAATGCACCACCCCGGCACAGCAATGTAGTGTTTGCCTGAGACGAACTCAGCGAAAGATCCTCCGCCCCCCTGTCCGCGTCGAAAACCTCTCTACGCCACCCTGCTGCTGGTGGTGGTAGACCCATTGCATGCCGACTCCGCCGCCCTCGAAGCCTTTCCTGTACCGGCGCACGGCCTCCCGGAGGTGCTCTGGCCGCAGCGGGCCGCGACGGTCATCTGCTTTCGCCTCATTCGCTTCGTTATTGGTTTCGCCATCTGCATGGGGCGCCGGGTTGGCAGTGGGCGGCGGCGACGGGAGGTCGGTTTGCTTCTCGCCCGTCTTCTCGATCCACTCGCCCTGAACGCGACGCGCACTCTCGATGATGTCCCCGATGAAGACTTTGGCCACTGCGCGCATTCCTATCACGACGTTTTCGGCGACCGACTGAGAGATGGTTGCGTTGACGAGCTGGCGCAGGAGTGTCAGTAATACGACGGTAACCGTATGGACACAAGAAGACGCCTGCCTACCCTTCTGACCGACGCCTTGCTCAGGTTGGCGGCACGCCAATTCTCAAACCGGTAGAACTGGTCCTCGGATAGCGCGCTGATGAGCATCCCCCTCATGCGGTGCTCCTCCTCCTTCTGCTCCTTGGTGCGCACATCGGCCGTGGCGGCAACCTCGGTCGGGCCTTCGTCCTCGCCTTCTCCCTCGTCACCTCCCCCTCCGCCCCCACCCGCTCCACCGGCCACGCTCTTACTGCCCCGACCGCCAGCACCATCACCGCTGACCCCGCTGAATGCCGTGGCCGCGCGTCCGCCGACGATGGACGGGGTCTGCTCGCGGGCTTTCTCGGCCTTGGACTTGCGGCCGCGCTTCTTCTTAAGCGGCGGCGCCGCGCTGACCTGGCTGCCGCTTACGAAACTCATGGCGTCCATGTCGGATGGGGATCGCGCGTCGAACGGTGTTCCGGCGTCGTCGTGATCAGGAGCGAATGAGGTCTGACGTAGTGGGTGTGCGGATGCTGGGCCCGAGGCCATCGAGATCGCCGACGCTTTGCGTCGCTTCAGTGCGGGCGCCGCGGGACCACCGTCGGCGGTGCGTTTCTTGTTTGCGGACATGGTATTGAGTCCTGGCAGTTGCGAGTGCAATGGGTAGGGCGGAGAGTGTGCCGGCGAGGCCATGTCCAGTTACCCAAACTTGGCAGAAAGAGTGCTCAAAAAGCAGGTTCAAGCAGGTTATTGGTGAAAGGTTTGGGCGGGGAAGTCTCAGTCAATTAATTAAGGAAGATGCCTAGCAAAGTTACCGACTCTTGGGCGCCTGTATGTGATGCGAGCTGGAAATCGAGGTTAAGGTAGCCTTAGGTAACTTCGAGGTCCGGAACAGCCGCCGTTGTACTGGAGCGAGTCGGGCTCAAACGCGACGATGAGATGCAAACCCCTGCTGTATCGGTATCGTTACGGTCTGGACACGCATCGCCCAGCTCCATGACCCATAACCCCGCCGACAGCCGAGAACACGAGCGGAACTCATCGGCTTCCTTTCCAATTTATGGCCTCGCAAGAAGTAAATGGCGGCAAAGAAGCCGCAGCTTTCGTACATCGGTGCATGTTGGTAATTCTCCTCACCCGATTCATCTTGTCCGAACATCGAAATGTTGTTTATTTCAACTGCTGATAAGATAAGATAAGCATTTTAAACCGGTATCCATGCCTTCCGTCTTGGCGACCGCTTGAATCCGGGGACAGCCGAAAATTTTAGAACAGCGGAACTGGAGGGTACCTGACTCCAGCCTCCATCTTTCCAGACTTGCGCAGTCTTCCTGAGGTTGCTGCCCCTCGGGTCCCATCTCGACCCTGGCGCAGTCTCGACTTTGGGCACCTGCCGTCTCTCTACGTACCCACTCCCACAAACTTCTCAACCCGCGACGGAATGGCTCGATTCGATTCCTCGTCGGGCTCCGAAAGCCCCGATAGCCCCTCGGCCGTTGTAACGGGCGCTAAGCGAAGCAGGAAAAGGGGCAATGGCAAGAACAGATCGCGCGACCGAAATTCCAACGATGCCAACGCCGCGCCCGGTGCCAATGGCGCCTGTACCATTGGAGAGCGCCGATCGAGCGTCAGCAAGCCGGCGCGCGATTTCCGAGACATGCCAGAACCGTCGCCCAAGAAGAAGAAGAGACGGACGGGTGCTGCCCCGGCCCCGATCAAGGAAGCACCGACGCCCGACGCCGCCGCCGAGGCGTCAACCAGGTCGCCGAGCCCCGTCATCGACTTCGACGGTCTTAGCCGGCCCGTCGTCGGGACGCGGGAACGGCTGGAAGAGGACGACGCGCAGAAAGAGGTCCGGCTGGCGCGGATGAAGGGCGCCGTCCGGACGCTTCTCGAGTGCATCGGCGAGGACCCGGACCGCGAAGGCCTGCTGGCAACGCCCGAGCGCTACGCCAAGGCCATGCTCTACTTCACCAAGGGCTACCAGGAGAACGTGCGCGACATCGTCAACGGCGCCATCTTCCAGGAGGGCCACAACGAGATGGTCATTGTCAAGGACATTGAGGTGTTTAGCATGTGCGAGCATCACCTGGTGCCCTTCAACGGCAAGATGCACATTGGCTACATACCGGCCAACGCCGTTATTGGCATCTCCAAGCTGCCGCGCATCGCCGAAATGTTTGCCCGCCGCCTGCAGATCCAGGAGCGCCTCACTAAGGAGGTGGCCAACGCCATTATGGAGGTGCTCAAGCCGCAGGGCGTCGCCGTCGTCATGGAGTCGAGCCACCTCTGCATGGTCATGCGCGGCGTCCAGAAGACGAGCAGCAGCACCATCACCAGCTGCGTGCTGGGCTGCTTTGAGAGGAAGGAGAAGACCCGGAACGAGTTCCTGAGTTTGATTGGCGTCAACCGCTGACGATAGCAGCATATGGGATGGAAATATGCAAGACGGTGACATTGGGTTAAAGGTGGATTTTCAACAACGGTAGTCATCGTATATCTATGGCAGCGATGCCAGGGCGGCGTGGTCGTTGCGTTTATCTCGTCATATCTGCATTGAGCTGGCGTTTCGGGGTCTAAAGAATGGTTTGGGGTCATCCAGAGGGGCATATACATGTTGTCATGAACTGGACGAGGATCTCAACATCGGGCCGGATTTCTGATTCTGGATGGCGGCGGTTTTTGGTCATTCAACACGGCATTTGACACTCTTTGGCTCCTGGGTCCAGTGATGGGGGGGACGGTACGACGTATACCAGTTGCAAGCGGTACTGAGTTACCTGGGCTCAATAAGTCACCGCGGTCGAGTTCAGCCGCCGCAAATATTCAACGCCTGACTTTTCCCCGTCCAACACAGCCATGAAAGCCTCTGCATATCATACAACGTCCCCTGCCGCTCATGGCCCCTTGCTTTGCTGCGCTGACACCGCTATGATACACGGTCGAACATGCCCCTCATGAGACTCTCCTCACCGTTCTCCCAACCTCGCCGTTCCCGACAGCCTCCACCCTCGCCTTGACCACCTTCCATACCTCCTCGGCAACCTCCTCGACGGACGGGCTGGCATCGATGACATGAAGGTCCTCTTCCTCCTGTCTGAACCGATACTCGACGCCCGACAGGCGCGGCTGGGAAGTGGTTGGCGGTCCGACGGCCACTTCTTCCCTGGGTCCCGCAGCATCGTCCTCTGCCGCAATAACCGACGCCGTCTCGATCTTGCCCAGGCTCAAACCCCAAAAGAGCTCCCTGACGCGCCGCTGCATATCGGCCCTCTCGTACGCCTCGCCGCCCCACCCACCCCGGGCTTGCGCGGCGGACTCGTCCAGGTCCAGGAACAGCACGAGGTCCGGGCGGGGGAGACCGACCTCGGGCGCGCGGGCCCACGAGAGGGTCAGGGACGGGTTCTGCTTGGCGGCCGAGTAGACGATGCCGCTATGGTAGTAGCGGTCGCAGAGGACCGTGGTGCCTGCCGACAGAAGCGAGGCGATAGATTTGCTTGACTTGGTCTTAACTTGGCAAAACACAAGATAGTCTAAGGGATCGGGGTGTGACCGTACGCTGCCTCCCACCGGTTCGCGCTGAAGAGCAGGTGGATGACGTGATCGTCCATGTCGACCTGGCTCTTGAGATACGAGTCGATCATCTGGCCAATGGGCGTGGTGCGGTCTTTTTTTAACGCCAGTCAGTCAGTCGGGGTCCCTGTAACTTGTTTACGTGGTTGCACAGAGCCGCATCGGGGCATTGTACAATAGGTAAGGTTTTTAAAATGCAACATACCCGGGAAGCGCATCACCTTCACCTTGCGCCCCAGCTCGACGAAGCGCTGTTCCAGCAGCTTCACCTGCGTCGTCTTGCCGCTTCTGTCCAGGCCTTCGAGAACTACGAGGGCGCCCCGGGCCACGGCGGGCTGCTCCATACCCGTGCTGCCGCCGCGATCGTCGGTGTGCGGGGCCGGATCGGGCACTGGCGGTTGGTGCGGGGCTGCTGCAGCGGAGGAGGTGGCGAGGGCGGTAGCGGCCGTAGCCAGGTCATTGATCGAGGCCATTACTTGAAAGAGGGAAAGAAAGTATGGCTGGACCAATTGGTTGTCAGAAAACCAGGAAGCAATGGATGAAGTCCAGCTGCAGCAGCAAATTGATGGGTTTCACCTCATTTCCATTCAGACTTGCAAGTTGCCCGCATGCAGCATCGCCTGGAGGTGGGGCAGGGCTGTCTCGATGGCTTGGCACCCGACGGTTGATTTCTTCGATCGCAAAGCGGAGCAAGCGCCAGCTGTCAGTCGAAGGAACCGTGACGCCAGAAGTGAAATGAATTTGACTACAAACCACCGGCGACGGGAGTGTTTTAACTCCCAATGGATGGCCTGGACAGGCAGAGGGAGACACCTCTTGCATGCATTAGTATACGGATCCTCCTCTGCCCTCAAGTGCGTCCAGAGCACACACTCCAGGTTACCCAGGTATCTCTCTGGAAGTTGAGAGAGGGGCTCAACTACCACTGCCGTTATAAAACGAAATGCCTAAGATCGGGCGCTTTTCTCCCTGCTGCTGGAGTCACTGGAGATCCCTTGGCAGTCGAAGTGGGCTTGCTCTTACCTTAAGGAGCTCGCTACGTCATTGCCATGAGCGGAAGAGAAAATGGAAATAAGAACATGTAAGTGCCCAACATCGGAAATCTTTGGTGTACGTTGACCGTCCGGAGCATCGGCGTTTCAGCTTAAAAGAATGGATTATAAGATACCCTACCTGAAATGCGGGGGATCTTGGTCACGATGGGAGGCGTAAACCACCGCTGCGCCGCTGTCAGCGAGGGAGCCATATCCGTCCGTAGCAGTCAGTGATTCATTCCCTCGGCCCCGGGACTGTGCTGGCCACACATCCCATTGTCACCGAAGTCACCTACGGATAGGGAATGCCGTATCCCGTTCCCCGAAACCGTACCTGGCAGAAAGCGTCAGACAGGATCACGGGAAGCAAGGGAGAGCAACCTGTTCTTCGCGACTTACACAGATCACCCGAATCGGGGCACGAGAAGTGGAACCACTTGACGCGAACCAGGGCCCGTGCCGCGAGATGGAGCAGTCGCCGACGCGACTATTCGCCGGAAGCCGGCACACCGCGTCAGGTGGGTCATGCGCTCGGGCTGTGATTGGAGAAGACGAGGGCAGGCTGCATCGGGCAGCTGCCAATCGCCTTGCTTGTCGCCGGCTGTCCAAGCTGCCCGCACGGCTGCCCTGCAAGCTCTGAAGCGCAGCACCCCGCTCCAGACCTGCGGTTGCCCTGATTGGGGCCAAGGTGGCACACGTAAGGTTTTAGCACGAAAAGGCACGTCAAGCACTGCGAGTGAAAGCAGCCCAATCTCCGGTTGGACCTGCGGCTGCAGGAGTGCGCCAACCAGCATGGGCAGATCCCTTTTGCGCCGTTCGAGACCCGAGCGTTCGAGTGCCATTCATTTGCCTGCCGTCCTTTCCATGCTGCTGCGGGACACTCTCCCTCTGGAGGTGTCAGAGGTGCAGGATTCCAGGTTCTCGCCCTTAAACCTGGGCCGTCCCTGACTCCCTGGCTTGCCAGTCCCTGTCCTTCCTGCCCTGTTCCACTCGCTGGACCTCACCGCCCTGTCGACGCGCTTCAGCTTCTTCCATCCTCAACTGTCAGCCATTCGCAGTCCCCAGGTTGCGTTTCTCAAACAGGCCTCCAGGACCAGACCAACCTGAGTGACGGCGTCTCACCAGACGAGCCCACACCACAACGTTATCCGCACCTGCGCGAACCTTGGCGCTCTCGTTGGCATACCCCGGGTCTGCCTCGTCCAAGTCGCAAAGCACGCACTAATTTAATTCCAACTTCCAAGTATCGCGACGCCACAGACAGAGAGACCGTCTTCGCCGGCCGGCCATTCCAGAAGACCACTTGCGCAATAAAGATAGCGCGCTCCCTCGCCCCGCCAAGCTAACCCTGCCATTTGCCCTCTCCCTTGTCCCTCCCCGCGGTTGTTATCGCCGACAGTCTAGAGAGTCGACACTCTTGTGCTCTGGTCTCCAAAGATCAGTCAACAATACACCTTCGCGCGTCGAGCCAGACGACAACTGGGTTGTACGCCGGAGCTTGAATTCGATCGCACAGCGACACTGCTCCGCCATTCCCCACCATGGCAATCCTCACCCGACAACCGTTTGCCCCTGTCGACGGGACACGGTTGCAGAGCTTGGCCAGCGTCAAGAATCGGCAGAATGGTATGTCGATGGCTTTTTCTAGACTCGCATATCCCTCTTTACCGTTTGTGAATGCCTCTTATCCATTGCCATGTGTATTCCTCTTCAAATGCCTTACGAATCCCTGTTGTGCTAGTTCAACGAATTGTGAAATAAAACCGCTGACATCCCGAAGCCATCTCAGCCTCGCCCATCAAGCGCAAGGCTTCCGAGGTGGAGGATGTGGCCAACTCAGAGAACATCGCTCCTGTATCCTTTTCTCCCAAGCGCTCAAAGGGCGTTGATTTCTGGGACGGCCTCAGCAAGGGCTTCACCAAGTCCCCTGCCTTTACCCTCACCAAAGCCGCCTACTCTCCGGTTGTCAAGGATGTCCTCAGCAGCCCACCCAGCCGACTCTCGTCTGCGCCCCGGCCACGGGACATCCTCCAGCCCAAGTCACCAGCCGCCCGGCTCATCAAGGCCAAGAGCACAGCACCCTCCCCCTTGACAGCCCCAGCCGGCCGCTCGCCCACCCGCGCCTCCAAGCGCATGGGCATCCTCTCTCGCCGCCGCATCTCCCGCCCAGACCCGCCATCATTCAGCCTGGGCGCCGCCAGCGTGCCCTTTTCCCTAGATGCCGCGCTCAAGGGTACCATCCCAAGCTACTCGGGGAGTCTGCGTCGCTCCGCCAAGAGCAGCAGCCGCAAGGCCTCCAGCACCAGCAGTAGTAGCAGTGGTAGCAGTGGTAGCAACGCGTCGGCCCCAGGAGACTTCTTCATCCCCACCCCAGACACGAAATCGTCATGGTGCTTCAACATCCACGAGGACACCCCGGAGCAGGAAATGACCAACCTTCTGCAGCACGGCACCCACACGCTCGACATCAGCAGCGACGAGGAATCCGAGAGCCGCGCCAAGCGCGACCGTGCCGAAGGACGTGACAAGGAGAATATCCCGCCGCCCGAGGACGTCAGTCAGACGTCTACCGCGCGGGGAGTGGGTGGTTCTTCTTCGCGGTCTTCTTCCGAGGTGGGCCGGGTTGAGGTTGATGAGGACGTGCTCCTTCTCAAGGGGCGGGGACCGCTGGCGGAGATGAACGTGGCGGATTTTTATGCCGAGGGGTGCGATAGCTCGAGCGTGTTCATCGTACCCGGGGATGAGGAGGATCCTGAGGCTGTGGTTGTTGGAGAGGCCGCTGAAACTGCTGCTGATATCCCGCAGCAGGCGAAGCCGTTGCCTCCCCTGCCCGCGGACGGAGAGGAAGAGCAACAATGGTTCGCTGCTGCTGCTGCTGCCGACGGCATGTTGTCGGAGGAGCTGCACGCGCCGCAGGTCAGCCTCGATGACGTCGAGGGCGTCGACGTTGATGATATCATGGGCGGCCATGACCGATCCGCCTTGGAAGAAGCTGCTGCTGCTGGCTTGGGCCCCATTGAGGGCGCCGGCGAGAGCTTTGAGCTGTGGGAGAGCAACAGCTCCAAGGACGAGGGTGATGCACCCTCGTCGCCGGCGCCACTGCCGGCGGATGACTACCAGTCAGCGTCGGTCGTGGTGTTTTGAAGACTTGAGTGGCTTTGCGATATGCGTTACGTGCGTTACGTTTTGATGTGTTTTGGATAACGGTTAACGGTCTGTTCTGGTTACGAAGTTCTGCCAAGGTAATGTCAATACCCTGCTTTGCTTGTCAAGAGGGGCTGGACCGGAGGATAGGGGCAAGGGCGTTTGTGGGAATCGGCTGCTGGTTTTTGGAGACCTCGAGAGCACGGATTTGGTTGGGCCGGGTTGGGAAGCGTGGTAATATGGCGTGTGTTCTTCGTCTTTTGCTTTCATGCTGTTCTCTCCTGCAGTCAATGCTACAGATTTCGGATAACGCGGTGCATCTTCAACTCAAGACTTTTCCCGGATCCACGCATTTATTTACGCCCCATATCCCACAAACAGAAACGTTTCTAAGGTTTGAACAGCGTAGCTGACCGGAAGGTGTCGTCAGAGCATGCCGTCCTGCCCGGCTCATCAAATAAATCATACCCTCTTCCGTATTCCACTTCCATTTCTCCTACTGAATCCGTTTCAAGCCCTGCTTCCTCAGAATCTGTCCGGCAGAGCAGATAACGTCACTGACAACTCGTGACAGCAGCAACACACCGGTTGACAAACCCTGTCGCGAGCGGCATCACGACGCCCATGAACCAGCCGCCAAACGTCGCGCCGATCCGCTGGGCCGTCAAGATCTCGCACAGGCCCAAACAGCCGGGTCTGTCCTTGTCCAGGTCGCCGACCATATGCCTGCGGTGGACAGGAAGAAGCTGGTCTCCCTTCTGGTGGGGAGGAGCCCCAAGGGGCGACGACGACGTCTCGTTGACTGGCTTCTGATTCGGCTTTAGTGATGCGGGCGGCACCCCTGGCGGCGGTGGTGATGGCGGGGATGATGGTGACGCCAGCGGTCTCTTCGCTGACATGGGAGATGGTGGTGGTGGAGGGTGTGAGAGCATCTCCATCTCCTCGCTCGTCAGGAGGTGGCAGGACTGTCGGAACTTGCCCTTTGGTTCCTGGCTCTCGCCAAAATCTGGTGGGGGGGGTGGGATGAGGGTCAGGGCCGGCGAGCTGAGTCGGTCCGCGGTGGATGCGCTCAACGGGATGGATTCGGCTCTGCTCGAGGGCCCAGAGTCGGTGACGGTGGTGCTGGCTGGTCTTGGTGAGGAGGCTACCCCAGTGCCCTCGTCGTTGCTCACATGCAAGGGTGTCGGCGGTCGAGACGGCATCCGCTCCCGGTCGTAGCTCCACCGGTCGGCAATCACGGCTGGTCGGACGGGCGAGTGGCCCGGAAGGGTGACTACTGAGAGCGGCCGGGGCCGGTGGTTGCGCCGGACGGGAGATTGGGATGGTGAGGGCGAGGGGGTGCGACTCGGGACGGTGGTGCCATCCCACGAAGTCCGCGAGTCTGAACGGATGTGAGATGTGTAGCTCTCTGCCCGCAAGTGCGTCAGTCGCCGAAAGATGCTGCCTTGAGACTGTCCAACGCCTTGTATTGTTTGTGAATTCGGGCCATTGTCGGCATTGCTCCTGCGGGTGTTATCAGACCCCTGAGAGCGGGAGCGGGTATGTCGAGGCCTCGCCGGCCGATGGTCGTCTAGTCCAGCGTCTGGGTGAAATGGTTGGTGAGACACCCCCCTTTTCATCTTATTGTTTTACAAACTGGGTTCGTTGGCTTCTAAAGCTGCCCTACATGTGATGACTGGGAGTACAGGTACCCCTTTTTATACGGACGATGGATGAGTTCGTGGTGGCACCAAGCCCCACCGAATGCTCCAGCAGCCGGGCAGTGACTGAATACTGAAGATCGACCCGAGCCAAGTTTCTCATGCAGCCTCCGGCGGTCCGGCCTGGTACTGTGGGTCCGCTCCGAGCTAAGTGGCGTGAACAAGCTCCGGGTTCCATGTGTATGTACACGTGTAGAACAGCATCGAATGTGGCAGTGGCCATCATTCGAATTGGGTGGTGGCTGTGCCTTACCATCCGGTGAAATACAAAGCTGCTTCCTCAGGATTGACTGTAAGTCAGTCTCTCGCTCTGCGCATTATGCCCTTCCAGTTCACAAATACGACCGACTGGCCGGTTTGTTGGTTGGGCTGCAATGGGTGTGGCAATTCTCCAACGTTGATACACGTACACCAGATTTGATACCAAGTCATGATCGAAGATATGTACCATAAACGCAATCCTCCATTAACACGTATAGCTACCAATCATGACAAACTCCCTACTGCTCAACCAGGACGACCCACGCATATTTAAGCATTAAGCAACTCATTTCAATATACTGCCACAGTCTGCCCCTAAGCTACAACCTGAGGACCAGCTATCCCGTACCTCTCCCGCTCTGCTTGCATCAAGTCCCTGAGAATGGCCACGCCCTCAACACGATCAGCCGCCTTCTTGATGTCCAGCCCCCATGCCTTGAGGAAGGGGACCTCACCCCTGTAATTCACGTGTAACCAAATTCGCTCTTGACGGGTGTATCGCAAGGGGGCGTGGGCGTCGGCCTTTGATCCCGATCTTTCCCTCCTTCTGCCGTCGTCGGTCCTGGACTCTGCAAGGGGCCGTCCCTCTGTATCCTTGCCCTTGCCCTTGTCCCCGACCAGACGCCTCATGGCGACACCGCCTGTGCTGCTGTCGGGTGTTAGAGGGGGCGTACCGAAGCGGGTCACCGGTAGGATTCCCAGCTCATCTCGTCCCGGAGAGTGATCCCCAGGGCTGTGTGAGCACGACGCGCCTTTTGACTGTTGCTCGTCATTCCTCTTGACCAGCGCCTTCGTTTCGGCATCATCGGTGACTGCCATGGTTTCCACTTCCAGCCGCTTAGGCTCAACTGACTGCGCAGGAGGCAGTGGCAGAGGTTTCCATTTCGAGCACTTCCGTGCCAGTGTCTTCGACGGCGTGGTGACGCTGCTGGAACTGCCTCCTTTCTCGGGGCAGGGCACCCTGAGTGGCGCTGGCCGGAGGTCGGAATTCGTCGATCCGGACCGTTGTCGTCGGTTTGGGCGCCTTTCAAAGGGGAATGGTCCGAGAAGAGCATGGGGCTTTGGTTGGCTAGTCTCAGGCGGCTCGGCGTAGAACTGGAAGTCGAACCATTGTGTTACTCGACTGTCGGGAGAACTTGCCCGGGTCCTCGATTCTCGCCGAGTTGCCGGTACTAGGAGATTCGTATTGTGGGCTGTTCCTTCGACATTTACTTCCTCCAGCCGGCCGCCTCCAAGGTGCTTGATGTGTGCTTTCAAGGGCCGTGATGTGGAGAGTCCTGATGTAGCCGCTGTCTGAGTCCTGGACTGGGCGTCAGTCCACCTCGCGGCTCATTCCAGAGTTACAAGGGCACTTGGGCTTACCGGCTCGAACCTGATCGTTTGACCCATTCGCGGACTCGAAAGCTCGCCTTTCTCGCTAGAGGAAGGTTCAGTGACGCAGACCTCCCGTGGAACCCGTCAATACTGGTGGATGACACGACAGTTTCCGTCCCCAGCTGAGTCGGTCTGACGACTGAGAACAAGGCCGCCTCAGGTGTAATCCCAGAAACGGTGGTCGTTGGGTGGCTTGACTCGAGAATTGTCTCCATTATGTCCAGGCCTGGTGGTTCCAGTTCCTTGCGTCAGATAGAGCTGTCCTCGACCGACTCGCAGCCGTCTCTCAACTTCGACGCGACCTTCACTGGCAGCAATACCACTCTGAAAAAGATATTCGGAGGTCCAAGATCCGAAGGCGTCGTTTTGCTTAAGAAGGCACTTTTCGGCTTAAGCGTCACGGAGTGCGCGCCCCTCGTGTCTCCTTCTTAGATGACTCTCAAGTCTCAGCCAGCTTTCGAGAGCGACCAATCGAAAATCTTGGGAATCTTACTTCTTCGAGACCTGTTTCGAGTCGTCTGGTTTGCACACAACTTGACTGGGACAGGCACTCCACGAGGCTTGGATTGGGTGCAAGTCTTGGCCGATCCATTGGCTGGGGCTTGTCAGCAGACCTGAAACACCACGTTCAGGAACCACACCCGGTTAACCAATTGGCAGCAACCGGCCACCTGCTTGGGCTGTGAAACTCAGACAGAAAGAAAACGTTGGTGGTGGCCCAATGCACCAAAGCACAGTGTGTCTATTGGGCCACGCACCATGCCAGGTGATGACTCTGCTCCTGATTTGGTCCGAGGCATCATCTTCTCGCGGTCTGTCTTGCCGTGCAAACTATCCAGCCTGCGTGGCATCAAGGACGCTCGTGGCTGGAGCGTATGAGCGCTGCAAAAGGCGCCCGGCGAGGCAATGGCCCCAGGGTGAGCACATGCAACGAACAGGTCATAACCCACGGCACTGCCAGGCTCAAACTATGAAGGATTGCCGTCCAAAGTTACTGCTACTCAGAAAGCAAGGCCCTGAGTGCAGCACGAGGATGGGGAGATCTGGCAACTTGGCAGTGCGAGGTATTGATTGGATTTAAACCGCCTCGCAAATCCTCGGAGTGCCCGAGAAGTGGTTTCCGGTTTGACAAACGATCATCATCCAACACGAGCAAGTCATTCAACTCGGACCTGATAACTCGAAATGTGAAGTCAAGTCACGTCATGCGACCCCTGTCTATTCACCGTTTCTTCCCCCTCAATGCCCATCAAGAGAGAAGTTTCAGGCACAAAGCTTATGTGTACTTTACTGGGTATGGATATGACAGTGCCGCGCATGCACAATTCCTGTCGATCAGCTGGTCGTCCGCTGCCCGAAGGCAAAGGAAACAGGGAAGAGATGCCCAAGCGGCAGATGGGGAATGGAAGTTTCCACCACTGTCAAGTGTGCAGATTGTTCAAGAGACAACTAAGTCCATGCACGGAGAGCAAGGGGTGGCCATGGTATGCTCTTACCAGCAGCGGTGTTGAGTGATTGAAAAACAAGCGCCCATTTTACCCAGACACATATCATGTCATGTGGCAGCAAAGATCCGAGTGATCAAGTACTGGCAATGACACCACTACAACAAGCAGTACCTGGTAGATTGTCCTCTCTGCCACCGTGACGTGTTCTGAGGAAGCAGTCAATGACGAGGTCTATGTATCACACAGGCCCCAATGCCTTTCTCAAGGCAGTTGTGCGCCAGGTGACATGAATTGGACAGTGAAGAGAGTTCGGTCGTAAGACAAACTGAAAATGGAAATGCTCCAGGCTGCCTGCTCGATACCACACGTAAAGATGAGCAGCTGTACTGTAGAGCCACGCTGAACTAATGGCCTTGTGTTACAATTTCACTATACCACACAAATAGTTACGTTATTCAAAGGCTAACCTCGGGGACCTGGTATATATTGACGAGAACTCTGGTGTTTGTGGCAAGCCAGAAAATCTACCACTACATTTGGAGGGCGCAGTTTCTTATAGTCTCAAGGCATCAAAAAGCATACCGGCTCGAAAACACAGCTCATCGTTGAGGACAACCAGCACTATTCTCAACCATTTCTCGCAGCCTCCAACACTACAATACCTCTCTAATTATCACCCTCGATCATAAATCAGGCGAGCACATAACAGACCACTCACAGTGAGTCTAACGTTAAGAGCAATATGCTCAGTCTGGTCCTGGCACTGCATCGTCTGCAAGAGAGAAATGTACCAACACAAGTTCAAGAAGTGCTGATCCGCGCGACGGACAGGCAAGACATGCGACAGAGCAAGATGACGGGTTAACGTGCAATATGGCACATTGCACGTCGACCCATATGCCATGTGCGAAGACGGCGAGGCTATGGGGGCGGTGTGTACCTACTAGCCAGGCGGGGCCCTGAAAGATTGAATGTAGTGGTGGGGGGAAGAGGTGAAGGGAACGGGAAAGGGGAAAGGAAAGGGAAAGGGGAGAGGGGAAAGGGGAGGGGGGAAAGGGGAGAGGGAAAAGGAATGTCTAGAGCCTCAAATACACATACTCTTCAATGGTGAGAAACGTTGATCGGACGAAACAAAGGACTTGGTTAGGAGAGTGAATGGGTTTGTCATTGTGGTTTATCCCTAAGGCGTGGATGATTCACTCGTCTTGGACTTCTGACACTTGCGCCTAGGGTAGGAAACTGCATGTGTTGACGTCAAACAGCAATACTGTCCTTCCCGTTTGATGTTTCAGATGTTGTATGCTTGATTAGGGAATCGCCGACATTCAATTACTGTCCAGACTAGTTAGTACTCAGTTTAACTTGCCGAACATAGGCCTTGATGAGCTCAGTTTGTAAGCCAGAAAGCTGCCCAGAAAGCCGCCAATGCTCATCCAATTCATGCTACCTGAGCCCTCTAGTCCTTAAGAAACCAACTGCAGTCTAACCCAGCTCCGAAACGTGGACACCATGCCCCCAAGCCTCTACGGCCTAACGAAGGACAATCTTCCCCAGTTCCATGTCCAGCTTGCGCTACCATGTAAGCCCCGAATCCATGCCCAGCGCGGAGTCGAATATCCAAAGATGTTGCTCAGTTGCCTGTGCAAGAAGCTACGAAGCTCCTGCCAACCAACAGTCCAGAAGACGGAAACGTGAAACGCCAGGGAGCTCAATAATGCCCAATCTAATGCCCTGCCCTCACAACAGTCTGAAGCCAAGGGGGACAAGAGTGAACCAGAGGAAGTATAAGCGAGTATAAGCGCCAGCCAGACGCCAGCAACCAGCGAAGCCAAAGGCGAGGACAAGAAGCAATGAAAAATCATGCCGCATGTCATCGATAAAAGAGACTGTACAGGATTCTTGCATTTGCGATTCGTATGCCGGACGTGTTATCTCAGTGCTGCTGCCGCCCATCAATACCGCCGACACACTGTTGTTGGATGATAATAATACCGTGGGTTGCCCGCCGTGCCGAGGAACGATTCACATGCCGTGGCCAAAGAGCGCGGGGGTGCGGAGGCTCAGGAAGCGCTTCTTCCAGCTCCGCTGCCGGCCCTGAGCGGTTCCGCAGGGCTGGACATCCACCGTGACGGCTTCAGTCTTTGCACCCTGCTCTTGCCGCGGCGCAGGCTTTGTACTGACCATCGCCGGAGATTTGGCGGCCGCGTCCGCAGCGGCGCGGAGGGCGGCGGCGGGGGCGGCCGAGTCGGTATTGGCGCATTGAAGAATCTCGAACTTCCCAGCGGGCTCCGGCTCTGGCTCGACGTTGCGGTGACGAGGAGTCTCGGGCTCAGCGGGCCCAGCGGGCTGAGAATCGTCGGAAGCAGGGACGGGGTCCAGCGGTTCCGCTTTTGGCTTGGGCTCGGGCTTCGCCGGCACTTCCGGCGCGACCGTCTTCTCCTGAAGCTGCTGAGATAGTTAGCAAATGACTCTTGCTCTGGGACACCTAGGCAACGGGCTCCACCTTCTCTGTCTCAGGCTGAGCCTCGGCTCCCGTACTCCGGGCTCCCTCGGGCGCCACCTCAGCTGCGCTGATATCAGAATCGCCAGGAACGGCCTGTACCGCTGAATCGGCAACCTTTTCTGCCATCTTGATGGACAGATGTTCCGGAGGAGGCTTTGATTCGGGAGCAGCCTTGGACACAATCTCGGTGGTCGCCGCCGAGGCAGACTCGTGCGCCAGTACAGGCACAAGATTCCTCTCCTCGGTTGGTTCAGGCTCAGGCGTGGCTTGCTTGTCGAGTGAAGGAAAGTCGCGAGTGTCGATGCCAAAAGCATTCCTCTGGCTGGCACCAGTTTCGGACTCATGAGCGAACTCAGGGGCGGATACAGCCAGGGGCTCAATCTCAACCAGCGAGGGCACAAGCTCCTTGCCCGCGTCCATGACATCCGGGCCCTCCCAGAATCCCGAGTCGGCTTCCCGAAGCATGCACCTTTGAACCTGAGACTGGATTCTGGGCTCGGTCTCAAGTTCAGGAGGAGCGTCTGGTTTCCTGTATGGGGCGTACTCCGAACCGATGCCTCTGCGCGAGTCCTTCCTTTCGCGCTGGACGACGGCCGCCGGATTCGAAATGGTCTCCAAGTCCTCAACCTGTCCAACCTCAGGCTCCGCAGCAACCGTGGTCTCGGGCTCGGCAGGAGCCTCAACCTCGGGCTTTACAGGGAGCTGCATTTCAGATTCCGGCTCGACGTCTGTCTCGCTCTCAGGCTCGATGCTGACCTTGACCGCCATTGCCAGGGCGGGGTCGGCCCCCTTGTCATCCACAGTCCTTGCCTCGATTGATGGTCCCGGCGGGAGCACAACATCCAGGATGACAGGACCCAATTCAGGCATTGGGGCGAGAGAGGCGACGGGCTGGGGCATGGACACAGGCTTTGCCTCCAATGGCGGCTGGGATGGCTCGGATACGTTGTCGGGTGACGGCCAAGGTGTTCCCTTCAAGTCCTTCCCCGAGATGGCCGGGGGAAGAGGCGAGACGGGCCTGTAGCTGCCGGGACTGGTGATGGGGCTCGCGAGGGTGCTCGCGGTGGGCGGCGATGTGACGGGCTCGGGCCGGATAGTGATTTTCTCGCAGAACAGCTCCAGAACGGTGCGGAGGAGGACCCTGTTGGGCGAGAGGATGCTGCTGATCTGATCAAGCAAGTTGGACCTGAGGAGCAACGTTGGATCCTGCAGGTGGGGGCGGATGCGCAACCTGAGATAGTCGAGAAACCAGCCGTCCCCTTCGGTCAAGGTAGGGTAGGCGTCTCGTGCCACCTCGAGCAAGGCGGGCAGAGGCAGGCCGTCGCCGTGTTTGGCGATGCTCAGATCGGCCAGGTGCATCAGATCCGGGAGGTCGTATGCTCTCGCGGCGGCGTATGCTTGGATGCTTGTCTTGAGCTCGCCCGTCTGCTTTGACATGGAGTCTGTCTGCTTCGGCTTGAGGGACTGGTATGCGCCTGTGTGGAGATGATGGACGAGCACGTGGCCGACAGACTCGGGGATTTCCAAAAGCTCGGGGAGGCGGCTCTCATAGGCGGCATGGAGCTTGGGGCTTTTCCTCAGAACATCCAGCGGCAGAGTGAGCGGGCTGGCAAACGGGATGGTGCAGGCGGGGCTGCCATATGGTCTGAGATGAGGAATAGGTTAACCGCTGGAATACAAGACAAGATGGAATTCTATAGGTATCTTTCTCCGAGAGTACTCACGAAGTCTCCGGTCTGGTGTCGACTTCTTGTGTTGCGGGGTCCACGACGATGGCCGGCTTTGCCTGGGCGAGACCATTGGAATTGGCATCGTTTGATGTAGTCGCTGCTGTTGACGTCGAGGCTATCGCCTGGAATGGCTTGGGCGCGCCGCTCTTCTTTCTCCTCGCCATGACGGAGCGGAAGAAGTACGAGGTAGCAGCGACAAAGCTGAGTCCGATGAGAGTTGCAGCTTCAACCGTGACACAGACGCTGAGATTTGGAAGATATCTCATTGCGGTGATGCTGCTGCAGTCTTTGGACGAACCCGAGGAAATCAAGGGACGAAGATCATATTTCTATCCGTGACTCGACTGGCTACTCGAAGCGTCAACTGGCCAGCTCGTGAACTTGTGAGCTGGCATTGCACGCATCGCAGCCACTCCCTGCCACGCCCAGGTCAGGTATTCTCCCCTCACAGTTTTCCCATTTGTGATACGTGAAATGTTGGGCCTCAATGACTGCCCCTGAATGGTTAGTCCAGCCGGGCCCTGTTGCAAGTGGCTGTTGGAGCAGCCCCAGCCGATTCTAGGTGCCGAGTTACCCAGAGCCCTGAACTTCGCGCCGGTGAGCTGTCAAGGTACGGCGGACAGTGCTCCTGGAGGATCACGGCCGAGTGGTCGAGTTCCGGGAAGGGGATCGGGGCAGCGCTAACTGCCACAGATGACAGACTGTGAGTCAGCCCAGCGATCTCCCCTGGCTGCTTCTTCCCATATCCCAATCGGATGCTGCCGCGCCTAGCTGGTGTGCCCAGCGGGAACTCGAAACGAGTGACCGTGAAGCAAGGGCGGGTTTTCCTGCCACTTGCGATCTTGACGGAGCAAGGAGACATGTGAAAGAGCTCAACCGTCAGCCGTGGTGCTTACTAGTGCCAGGTTGAGCCATCAGGCATTCGATGGCGCCTTGGGTCTTGCTTGACCAAAAACCCAACGTTTCACCGAACAATAGAGCCATCCGTGGCCAAGTAACCGTGAATTGACGGGCGTCGGGTGCCGCCACGTAGCCAGCACCGACCAGAGCTGCCCATCAATCAAATTCCGCATTGGGTCGGGTGCAATTCCATAAATGGACAGAGACTTGTGCGATGCAGGGTTGTGCAAAGCGAGATGGGCAGACCGCCGATATCCGAATGACTGATCCCCCCCCCCAAACGGGCAAGCTCAGTTGGGCCTCGAAATGCGAGTTTGGCACGCTGCCCGCATCGGTTTCTCGGACTGGATCGACATCAGTCAAGACTTTAAATGAAGCCTCGGTGTGCATCCGCACTTACCGCGAACAGGAGCCTTGGACGGGTGGGGTTGAACCCGGACGATGCGGGCAGCGCCGAGTAAAGGTAAAAGTTAAAGTTTGGATGTGGACTTGAAGTTAAGTTGAATTGGAACGAGCATTGAACTCCGAAGTCTGTTAGCAAATGCTCAAGGCAAAATCTTCTGCAGGGCAATGCAAGAGTTAGGGTCCAGGCATCTCGTCGTGCCATAAATTCTAATTTGACTGTAGTTAAATGAGAAGAAGTAGAGGTGTTGTACAAGTGCCGAACAAAATAGGATTGGTATTGATTCAGATTTGGTGTGGCCTTCCCGTGATGTTGGAAGCCGTTGAATGCTAAGTAAGCATGAACAAGAGTGGTTGGGTTGATATCAACGTTTGAAGCTCTACAGACATGGTCTCGTTGGTCACTCTGGCGGAGTGGTTATCGCGCTGCCCGCTGATCCATAGTAAAGGTACAGTAGTCATGTAGGTATGTTAGGCAGTACCTTCGTACAGGTGACGTTGATAACCTTTTGTTGTCCTTTTTTTGGCCCTTTCCACTGTCCTAGGAACGAGCAACTTAGCATTGGACTGAGAAATGCCTGCAGTTCAACCGTTGGTTGCTCGGATTCAAGTAAGGTAGATTTCTACTAATCAGGTACTAGTAACGTTTCCTACCTTACACACAACTCTCCGGCAAAATGGCTGCTCATCCGGTTTCAGCAAGTTCAGCCTATGGAAACCGGGTCACCAAACGGATGCTGACATGTATTGCCACGGTGTCGCTTCAGGGTGTCCTTGGCACCAGCACAGAGGTTGAAGACCATTCAGCTTCATACTCAAACCCTTCGTGACCTTTCACATGATGGCTGCTGGGCCTGCGGACAACGGATTGGTTGACCGTCTATCATCAGCGCTTCCTCCTCGACGATGACTATAATCTCTGTCTTGAGTATCAACAAGAATGTCGCTTTGCCCACTGCGACCAGCGCAGCGACTCTCTCCGCATCTCCAATGCCGCCTCTGTATCACTATGTTCGTCGCCAACTCCGGCCGCGAAACCACCTGGCGGGGCTGCGACGGAGGAATATTTTGGTGGCTGTCGCCTTCTGTTTCTGTCTCTTCTACTTCTTGGACTCGTTCAAGAGCCCTACCGAGTCAGAGCTCCTCGAGCGGCACATGAACTCCGGACCGCCACTTCATCCTTTCACCCTGATGAAGAGCAGCGTCGACTGGGGGAGCATCGAGTATCGGCATCCGCCACAGAAACAGCTCAGACACTTGCCCAAGCCACCCAAAAGGAGCTCACTGCCCAGCATCCAGCACCGGTTCAAGAAAGAGTTCTCCGAGGCCAGGCGGACGCGGGAAGAGCGGAGGAAAACCGTGCTGCAGCTCACGCGCAAATGCTGGGACAGCTACCGCACGTATGCCTGGAAGCAGGACGCTCTTTTGCCACTATCCAGACGGGGCACCGATCAGTTCTCGGGCTGGGCTGCCACCCTGGTTGATTCGCTCGATACGCTCTGGCTCATGGGTCTCCGGGATGAGTTCGATGAGGCTGTCGCTGCCGTGGCCGAAATCGACTTTGGCAATTCCAGTTCCCCGCTGGTGAACATCTTCGAAACCAACATCCGATACTTGGGCGGCTTGATGGCTGCGTACGAGCTCTCTAAACGGGACGTGCTGCTGCACAAGGCTGTCGAGCTGGGAGATCTCATCTACGGCGGCTTCAATACTGAGAATCGAATGCCCGTTGATATGATCAATATCGACGCCGCCAAGGAAGGATCCGGTCTCATGGTCGAGCCCACTGTCGTCTCGGCCTCGCCCGGAACCCTGACCCTCGAACTGGCCCGTCTGAGTCAGCTCACGGGGGACCCCAAATACTTCGACGCCATCACTCCCATCATCGATCTTTTCTACCGCGGCCAGAACCAGACGGCACTCCCTGGTCTTTTCCCGATGTACGTGTCCATGCTCCGCGAGGACGTCACGACCGGGAGCACTTTCACCCTCGGCGGCGGCGCCGACTCCATCTACGAGTACTTCCCCAAGCTGCACGCCCTGCTCGGGGGGGGTGAACCCCGCCTGGCGACGCTGACACGCGGTTTTATGCACGCGGCCAAGCGGCACCTCTTTTTCCGGCCCATGATCCCCGACAACGACGACATGCTCATCAGCGGCAACGTCAACGTCGACCAAGCCGGCGTGGCGCATCTGGATCCCGAGACGGAGCACCTGGCGTGCTTCATCGGCGGCACCTTTGCCCTGGCCGGCCGGCTGCTCTCGAGCGACGAGGACGTCGAGGTGGGCGCGAGGCTCACCCGCGGGTGCGTGTACGCGTACCGGTCATTCCCGACGGGCATGATGCCCGAGCGGCTGACCATGGTTCCCTGCCTTGGCAAAACTAAAAAACCGTGCGCGTGGGACGAGCAGAAATGGAAAACAGAGACGGAGAAGCAACCGGATTACAAGCCGCACCTGCCGAGGGGATTTACCACCGCCAAAGACCCGCGGTATATCCTCCGGCCCGAGGCCATTGAGAGCGTGTTTTACATGTGGCGCATCACGGGCGAAGCCGAGTGGCAAGATGCTGCCTGGGATATGTTCCAAGCCGTGGCGAAGGGGACGGCCACGGAGCTGGGAAGTGCTGCTGTGCTGGACGTGACCGTTGCCAACCCGAAGCTGCCGCAGGATGATTACATGGAGGTGAGCCATAGCCCCTTTCTCGATCTCGTCCCTTTTTCTGGTCCTGGTCGAACATGCTGACGTCCGGGCCCAAAGAGCTTTTGGATCGCCGAGACGCTCAAGTATTTCTACCTCGTCTTCTCGCCGCCCGACCTAATCAGCCTGGACGAGTACGTCCTGAACACGGAAGCGCACCCCTTTCGGCTGCAGCGATAGTGACGATTCGACGCTGGCTATCTCTCTCCATACCAATACGTCAGGCAGAGAAACAATCCCAGTAGAGAATTCGTTGGTATAATCATGCAGCAGGCCAGCCGTACCCTTGACGCCAGACTATGCAAACCCTCCCTGCTCTCGACATGCCAGTGAACATAAAATGATGCAAGAACCACCTAACACCAGCGTTATCTTCGCCCTCCGCGCCCGCCCTGCCCCCCCATCATGCCGCTCATCTGCTTCATCATGGCGTTCATATCCATCCCCGCGAGCCCACCCATCCCACCGCCACCGCCAAACATCTTCATCAGGCTAGCCATGTCAGGCATGCCGCCGCCAGGCCCGCCCATCCCGCCACCGATGCTCTGCAACCGCTTCTGCATGGCCGCGAGCTGCTGGGCCTTGTTGCCGCCTCCCATGGCGCTCTGGGCGCGCTGCATGTTCTTCATGTTGCCGCCCATCTTCTTGGCCATTCCGGCCATCATGCGCTGCTGTGTGAGCAGGTCCTCGACCTCGCGGACCGTCGTGCCCGACCCCCTGGCCACGCGCGTCATGCGCGACGGCTGCTCGATAAACAGCTTGCCGTCGCTGTCGAGCTCCTTGTCGGTCATGCTGTCGCAAATGTAGATCATGCGCTTGAGCTTGAGGGATCCCTCCTCGTCGTCCATACCTTGCATCATGTTACTCATTCCGGGGATCATGCCCGCCATTTTGGAGAGCGGGCCCATCTTCATGATGTTTTGGAGCTGGTCGCGCAGGTCGCGAACGGTAAAAATGCCCTCGCTGATGTGCTTGATGGTTTCCTTTTGGTCCAGCTTCAGGCTCTGCACGTGCTCCACCAGCCCGGCCATGTCGCCCATGCCGAGGAGTTTGCTGATGAAGTTCCGCGGTACGAACCGCTCCAAATCCAGCATGTGCTCGCCGGTGCCGATGAAGACGATGGGTGTGTGGGTTGCTGCGACGGCCGAGATGGCGCCACCGCCGGCGGCGTGGCCGTCCGTCTTGGTGATGATGATGGCGCCAAAGTCGGCAGCCTCCTTGAAGGCCTTGGCCTGCGCTTCCGCCTGCTGCCCGATCGACGCGTCCAGGACCATGATGGTCTCGTCCGGCTTAATGGCCGCTTGGATGTCCATCATTTCCTGGAACAAGGCACTCTCCTGCCTGTGGCGACCTGATGTATCGACAATAATGACCTCGAACCGCTCCTTTTTGAACTTCTCGACACCGTCCCGGGCCACCACGGCCGGGTCTGTTTCTGTCAGGCTGCCGTAGTATGGAATCTTGGCCTTGGTCGCGTTCTGCTTCAGCTGGTCGAAGGCGCCGGCACGGAAGGTGTCGGCGCACACCAGGCAGGCGCGGAAGCCGCGCGATTGGTAGTGCCTGGCAAGCTTGGTGCACGTCGTCGTCTTGCCGGCGCCCTGCAGACCGACGAACATGATGACGTTAGACTTGCCCTTCTTGGGCTTGAAGGGCTCGGCATGGGGATCGACGAGGCGGACGAGTTCGTCAAAGACAGCTTTTTGGATGAGGCGCTTCTTGTTGACGGCTGGCGGGAGCTCCTTAAAGTTGACGGTGGAGCGGATCGACTTGCGCAGCTGTCCGACTAGGCGCACGTTGACATCGGCTTCGAGGAGGGCAGAGCATATTTGCTTGAGCATCGAGTCGAAGGCCTATGTGCGTCGCGGGGCAAAGTCAGCAATGCTCAACTCGTCCATCTTCAATCGCAACTTGGTGCAACCAAGGATGCGCAACCAGAATGTCCGGCAATTCGCATCCGGACGAGCGGTGTAAACTTGCCTTCTCATCGAGATTGGGAGCCCTCGTCAGGTCGCTGACGGCCGCATTGATGCGGCGCCCGAGATCTTGAAGAACCATGTTGAGAAACCTACGGCGACGAAGCCGGCAGATAAGGTGGGAGAACGGCTCGTTGTCTGATGCGGGAGACAGTTGACGGTACTGAGGTAAGTTGGAAGTTGCGAAATGTGGGGTCTGCGCTTTGGGGCTGCGGGTGGTTCCAATCGCCGGCTTGGCAGTCTGCACTGCTGTGGCCCACCCGCCCCGGCGAGTATCCGGCCCATTTGGGATTCGGTTTTGAAGTAGTTAATCAAAGCTAACGGAGTAACTAGGTGTTTTCTTATTTTCTTCCTAGAGGGTCAACGCAACCTCTAGCAATAGAGGAAGCCGCAGAGGCTATTGCAGCCTGGAGAGCGTAAGGCAAGAGGCTCTCAATAAGGCTTGGAAGGCTAGGTAGGCCCAGGAGACTACCAATTGACTACAACGGCATAGGGCCCTGAACCAGGCCCTACTCGCCGTACAACTAGCCGATCACCAGCTAAAACTTGACAAAAGGGCACTAGAAAGCCACGAGAGTCCTTATAAAGGCCGAGAGCTCCCCGACTAACCTAGGTCTGAACTGGGGATATAGGCCTCAAGGACTTCCTCTTTCAGGCTAGGGTCTCTCGAATACCTATCTCCTATAAAAATAAAATTATTTTCTCCCAACTTGCTAATACGAAGATGCGTTTATATCTATTCGACATTTCAGTGCCGACCTTGCGCACCCATTCAGAAAGTCCGATCAGGATCTCAAAGGACGTCGGCGTCCATGCAATCTGTCTAGACACAGCTGCACAAAAGAGCGTTGAAGGGGCTCTCACCAGCTTCCTCTTCTTCTGCCTTTTCATTCTTGTTTCCCCTTTTAGTTCTTTTTGTCCTTCTTCTCTCTTACCACCCCTATTCCTTCTTCATGTCTTTCTGGTCTTTTAGTTCCTCTTCATTTCTGTGCGGTAAGGGCCAAATGAACCTGAGGACAAGACGTGGCCCATTCTCAATCTCGAGAGTGTCCTGTCTTAAGCCCTCGCATCGCCATCATGATGCCTCGCATGGTTGGCACCTGTCATTCTGTCCCTCGGGCGCGGCTTATCGCATAAGCATCGTAACATGTCGCGAGGTCGACTTCATGAATATACGGACTCTGATCTCCAATGCTGTTGCAGCTCTGCGTGAGCGAGGAGGGGCAGAGCAAAACCTTCACATACTTATTTTGCTATCCCACTTCCTTTTAAGTTGTTGTACAGCGCTTGCAGCAGGAGAAGGATAGCGGTCAAGACATGGAGGCTGGCCCGACACCTGGCAATGATCCATCGTACCAGCAAACCTCCTCGCCCAGACATTCTCCTAAGCTCGACACAGCTTTCCAGACGCCCTCTTCTGTATCTTTTTATGGAAACGCAAGCATTCTCAATCAAGACAATCCCCGAAAAGCCGCCACACTCGCCGGTACGGAGTTCGACGAGAAACCGGGCGTTTGGCTCAGGAGAAGAATAAGCGGCCCGGCGTGCTGCGTTCGCGCGCTACTCCTTCCCACGTTTTGCAAGGAAGACTTCTACTAACATCATGATTCCCAAGAGAAAAAAGGTTGGCTGGGAGACGGCGTTTCGCCACAGCTTTGTGTTGTCGCTTGCTTGGATGTCAGGGACATGGCCTTTCTCTCGTTTAAATCTTTTTTATTTACTCCATTCCCTTCCTTTTCTTTCCTTTCATGTGCTTTCTTCCCTTTCTTCCTTTTTTCCCTTTTACATTTTTCTTCTCTATACCTTTCTTTTGTTTCTCTTTTGTTCTCTCCCTTTCCTCAATCTGTTGTCGGCAGTAACACCTTGTACTAGGCTGGACAGGAGCTTTTCTCTGACGATTGGTTTTCACCGGGGCTTGACATCCTGAGCTACCTAGGTGCTAGGCAAAACCGAAGCAATGACGAGCAGATAAACATCAATATCGACATAATTTTCGGCCAACGGGATGGTTTCCAAATGTCGCTGCGGCTCGGAGGAGTTGGAGAGGTCGAGAGGGAACTGCCGTGGCCTCCCCGAAGCTTGTTCTCGGAACCACATAATCTTCCGAACAGGCTATCAAGGGTGATATTGGCCATTTCAACCCAACGCAATGGTTGGCCAAGACACATCCCAAGGAGCCAAGCTCCATCACACGGCAGATTAACAGCATGATCCACGTGGAGATTGAGGTGCGGGAAGATCCCGCCTCGGGCTGCCAAGGGCTCGAGCTGCGTTTTGTGACGCTGAGCTGTACAAAAGCACGAGAAAATGCTCTCTCGCATGTGGGGTCCATACCAACTCTTGGGTGTCTCCGTCTCCTGGCGTGGCTCTCCTCCTTTCTCGACCATCCTGTCTGATATCAACCTCCCGGCGAGTACCTTAGCCATAGTTGCCATACCCACGCTTTAAAGCAACGATGCGGTTATCCGAAGCTGCCGTAGCCGCAGCGGCGCTCATTTCAGCTGGTATGTCTTGATTACCCTGTCTACACCCTCGAGCATGAAACCAATCTTTCCCTCAAGGGCCCGGACTGAGCGCGTGACGACAGGTGCCAATGCTCAGACCGTCCCCAAGCTGCCCCTGCCGAGAACCTGTAGCGGCGTCAGCAACTTTCGATACCAGTACACACTGGCATCAGGATGGTCGGCCATGAAGATTGCCGGCGGACTGAAGCAGGTCCGGACTATTGTCTGGGACACGGCAGGCAACATGCTGGTGGCGCAGGCGACCCGGGGCATCTCGGTACACACGTTTGGCGTTGACGGCTGCATCAACAGCACCGCCATGCTCATCTCGGGCAACCAGCTCAACCACGGGCTGGCCCTGACGCCCGACGGCACGACGCTGTATGCCAGCGGCGAGACGGCAGTGTACAGCTGGACCTACAACCCGGCCACGAGGACCATCAGCAACCAGAAGACGATCGTCCGGGGCATTTCCACGGGCATCCACTTCACCCGCACCGTAGCCGTGGTACCCCAGCAGCCGAATCTGATCCTGGTCCAGGTCGGCAGCAACTCCAACTTTGACATGGCGTCTGCTCAGCCGAGCACGGGCCGGGCCATCATCAAGATCTTCGACACCAGCAAGGCCCCCTCCAACGGCTTCAACTACAACACTGAGGGCGAAGTGTACGGATATGGTCTCCGCAACACAATTGGCTTTGTTGCCGACCCTAGCGGTGTGTTCTGGGGTGTTGAGAACTCGGGAGATGTAGGTTTTTTGTTCCTCACATCAGAATTCATTGCCAGCGGAATATCATCTGACGGCATCAAGGACTTCGCCCGTACTGAGAACGGCCAACGCCGCGACATCCATCAGAACAACCCGGCCGAGGAACTAAACAACCGTGGGTGTTTTGGAAACGCAATGTCCTGTCCATGATAGCTAATAGATTGTTCAGTCGGCGACCCCTTAACTACAAGAAACGCGTGGTATGGCTATCCGACCTGCTTCACCATCTGGGACCCCTCGAGCTTCTCGGGCCTCAAGACAGGCAGCAACTTTGTAGTGTCCCCCAACAGCTCGTACAATGACGCGACATGCAACAGCAACAAGGCCATCCCCCCTCGCCTGTCGTTCCAAGCCCACTCGGCCCCGATCTGGAACACGTTCGACGCCGAGGCCAAGAACATGTACGTCGCCTTCCACGGCTCGTGGAACCGGCAGCCGCCGACGGGGTTCAAAGTGGTGCAGATCCCCTTCCAGAAGCTAGCCGACGGCCGCTACGACCCCGTTGCTCCCGCCGACAGCCAGACGGGCTACCGCGACATCTTCAGCGCCCCGAATCCGGCCAGCTGCACGGCCAACGGCCTGACGCAGAGCAACTGCTTCCGTCTGACCGCCGTCGCGTGGGATCCTGCGGGCAGGGGGCTGTTTGTGGGCAGCGATAATAGCGCTGAGGGCGAGATCTATGTGCTCTCTCCGCCGGCATAGAATAAAGGAAAAAGAGAGGTCAGTCTTGAAAAAGGAAAAGAAGCGGTTCGTCAAGCGACATGTAGAATACCAGAGCGGGCTTGAGATTCGAGGCCGAACTATGGTTCCCAAATGCCGCTGTCACGTTTTGATAGGTATGATACAAGATGGATCATCGGCACTCACCTGGTGTCCCCCGATGTCCCGTTCACCGCTTCCGTGCAATCATGGCGTATGCATCCACCCCTTTGCCCACTTTGAGAACGCTGGCCTTGCACAAGGTCTCGACAGTGCTGACGACGACCTTGAAGTCGACGCCCTGCGTCCTCTGGGGGAACCGGACCGTCTTCAGCCACTCGCGCGCGTCCTCCTCAGAGTAGTCCAGCTTGGTGCTGATGTACTGCACCGCCTCCTCCTGGTTCTCGTTGAAATGCTTGATGCCCTGGTTGAGCTTGTCCAGCAGGTCGTCGACCCGAAGATCCAGCTTCTTGTCGCCGTCGCCGTCGCCCTGCTGCACTAATCCGGTCGACGCGACAATCTTCCAGCTGCTCCAGGGTGTGTAGATCTCGCCGACCTTGCGGATCTCGCCGTTGTCGTAGTAGCGCTTCGACGTAAAGTACTCCCACATGAAGAAGTCGGCCTCGCCCGAGTTGACGGCCCTGCGGAGGTTCTCAAAGGTGTTGAGGACCACTGTCTCGGAGAAAGGGGACGCCTGCTGATTGCTGCCGCCGACCCCCGCGGTTGGCAGTATCCAGCCGCGCTCGTCGGCCAGCACGTAGCCCATTACGTAGCTGCCGGAGCCGATGCGGGAGACGCCAATCTTGGAGCTCAGGAGGGAGTCGACCGTCTTGATCTCGGGCCGCTTGGCGCCCGTCGAGATGGCCCAGCCTGAAAGGACGTTGGCATCTAGTCATCATCAATGTGTCAATGGAATTAGCTTACACAGCGGAGTCTCGACATAAGTGCCAACCAGGCGATAGCCGCCGTCTTTGTCCCCGGCCTCTTGAGATTTGCCCAGGCCAGCGATCCACCCTTCTGTGAGGCCGATGCCGACATCGATTTCTGAGCTGCGTAGGGCGGTAATCATGTGGCCGGTCCCCGAAGGGAAAGGAATCAACTCGGCATCCAGGCCGTAGTGCTTCTTGGCGAAGTGAATCGGAGTTGAAAAGTGCTCGGGCACGAAGCCGACTCGGAGGGGGCGCGTCGACGCCATGCTGTCTCGGTGATAGTTTCAGGGGTGGATTTCAGTGCTGAACTGAACTGGTCAAGGTATGGTAAGGTAATGATCCTGCCAAAAGCTGACTTGAAAACTCAAACTGAAATGTAGCTGTCATCACTCTGAGATGTTGAGAGAGTGGTGCAAGTTGAAAATGACGCAATGCGGGGCGTGCTGTACTGTGCATTGTGTAACGATTGGAACAACTCGCAGCGGTGGAACGTGGACACTCTACACGGAAACGGGAAAGAGGGGCCCACTAGGTAGGGTGGTTCTATATTATCAACAATGGGAGTAGTTGCTAAAAGAAAGGAGAAGGAGCTAAAGCGAGATGAAATCAAGTTCTGATTAGAATAACTACCAAGTAATCAAGCAACAGTGCAGGAATAGAGAAGATGAAGCGCTCTTGTTTCCTGTTTCTTGTCAGTATACCTTGATTATTGCACATAGATTCCTAAGGTTGTTGAGATCTTCAACTTCAACAAAAGAGAGAGCGAGCGCGCGCGCGCGCGAGAGAGAGAGGTGCATGTAGCCACTTGGTGTAATTGGCTCGAATAAATCAGCACGAGTTACGTTACTACTTCACTGACATGGTATCAATGGGAAGCACATAACTTATACTAACTGGTACTGGGCTGGTTTAGACTCCTGAAAAAAGCACAAAAGAAAGTCCGCGGGACTGTATGATGTAATGGCAGATACGGTACCTACACCGAGTCACGAACTAACATGGTTTCCCTCCACCAGAGCCGTCTTGTAACAGGAGTCAAACGGGAGGGATACAGGCGGGAACATCTAGCACAGTAAACTCTAGTGCAGGACGGTCTGGCTCTAGGAGTATACCGATCAAGTTCAATTTACCAATCAGAGTCTTCAAGTTCAGTAAAGAGAACCAAGCAATCCGTTAATCTGTGGTAGCCACGGTCGACATTTCAATGAACTGGAACTTAAGTCCGTCATATTGACACGACCAAATCACTAGGGCCGCAACTCAATCGCGCAGGATACGATAAGGGGCCCGGTCCAACATCTTCCGCTTCCTCCTCTCGGAAACTCTCGCATGCCTTTGAATTTTTTTGCGTTGAGGGGCAAGTGAGCTGGCATCAAAATCTGTGTCCAGCCCTGAGCTCCGACTATGTCGACGAGACCACGGTTGCATCTGGGGCGTTCGAAACACTTCACTGACTCCTTTAACAGGTATTCTCTGCGAACCTCGGTTGACCAACGCAACAGGAAATTGGGAAAAACGGGCGTGTAGATCCGGAGAAGGGCTGCGCAGCCTGCAGTGACGTCGCCAGGGGTAAAGGGGTTTGGAAACCATCGATTGGTCTCAACAGCCTATTTGCAGCCTACCCTCACGGTGGTTTTGCGGCGGGTCCTACTCAACTATAAATAGGATAAATAGTAGTGGATGGCCTGGTTTGTGGCGTCGCCAAAAACGTGGTCGGGGAGAAACTCCGTCTTGGCTTGCGCAGGTTGTGAACACATCCCTCTGCCCCCTTGGAATTTTCCGTGGCACTCTGGGATTGAACACTGTGTTCAAGGGGTCCTAACCCTCAATTCAGCCGAGTCAAACACGAGAAACCGGATGGCTGCAATGCCACATACCGATACTCCGCGCTACTGGGTGGCTGGGTTTGGGGAATGAGATTATCGTGATCTGAATACAAATCTGTCCGTCTTACCCACCAACCGAGACATATATTGCCCGGCACCCTATCTACCCGGGCAAAAAGAAACCAAAACTCCAAGCCTGAGTAATCCCACCAACTCTTCCTGAACCCCATTATCACCATGCGCTATCTGCCTCTCGCCGCCGTCCTCTCCCTCCTGGGAGCCGCCAACGCGGGCACCGTCCCTGACTACAAGCGGCCCTGCGGCTTCAAGATCGCCCCCTGCCCCCTAGGCCAACTCTGCGAGAAGGTCGATCCCAGTTGCGACAAGGGCCAGAACTGCCAGGGCTACTGCGTGCCCGCCCCCGTCACTCTCGTGACCAAGACGACGGCAAGCCCGCCCAAGCCGACCTACCAGTCCTGCGGCGGTTTCCGCATCAATCCGGTCGAGTGCCCCAAGGGCGAGATCTGCGTCGACGACCCCTACGCCGGCGGCTGCGGCATGGCCTGCGACATGCCGGGCATCTGCGTCAAGCCCGAGTTCTGTGGCGGCATCGCCGGCTTCGCCTGCAAAGACGGAAAGAAGTGCGTCGACGACCCCAGGGACGATTGCGACCCCGCCAACGGCGGCGCCGACTGTGGCGGTATCTGCGTCTAAGGGGCGAGGGTCCGATGTGCAATGTGGACGAGTCCGACCAGAGTCACCAGACCGTGCTCTTGGACCTAATCCATGAGAAGACGATCTGAGATTGCTCGGACATGCTCGGACTAGAATTGCACAGCAAACTTTAGTCAGGACCAGGTTACTCTTCCAAAGTGGATATTGAATCAGAAAAGTCATGTATATAGGACATCAGCTTCTTTAACAGGGAAAAGAAAAGACAAAACGAACATAAACTTGACTTTTCCTTACGTTCCGCCCAAGTCCTTCCCATTCTCCGTGTCATGGCATAGTACTATTGAGTTGCCAGGCATGATGAAGACGGAGAGACCGCAAGAAACACGAAGCTGAGCATATCAGATGCAATACACTGCAAGGACATATATTATTATTCCTACACCGCTGTGCCCTAGGGCGTGCCGGACCTTCACCAACTTACTACACAGGAAAACCGCGCCCTCGTGGGCCGGGTGAAAAACCCATATCGACAATCAAGGAAACGATCAGTGTGCAAGGACATATAGGCTAATACCTGTACCAAAAGCGGCTGATTACATTACAAGGGACTCTAACTCCTTGAGCTCAGAGTTGGACATACTAAGATTGGTTAGCAAGAACCCTCTACCGGGTGATGACTCGACACGTCACTTCTATAGTGCCTGGTATGAGAAGACCAACCTTGGAAGCATAATCCCTTGCCTGACACCTTGCTCAGGCAAACCCCTGGTAGATCTCTGATTAGGAACGGTTTGTCATCAAGAGGGTTGTCAAGCTGAGACCCGAGCGCCCCTGGGGAAAGATGCTCGGCAGGATCGATATACAGTTCCTCCCGCTGCCGGTTGATCTTCAGAGTGTCCCTGAGCAATCTGTCCACTGCTCGCCCAACCCAGCGCTGTCGGCACCATGGAGACCGGCCGCTAAAGCAAAGCATATGGAGCAAATCCGCAGCTGCAAATCCATGAGAGTGCTTGATGGCCAAGAAAGCGGTGGCCAGAAGCTCACCATGGAAATAAGAACTAGCGTGCAGCAAGCGGAAGTGTCACCAACTTTCCAAGCTTCTCTATTAGCTGCCAAAACGGACCCTGCCAATCAATCATTGGCCTCATCGGACATCAACCTACAATGGGCCAAGCAGCAATGAAAGAAAGCCATTTCAAGAGACTGTTAAAACTTTCCCAGTCTCAGTTCATGGGTCAAAGACAACAGATCCTCAATTTCGCTACTTATCCTCTCTGGGAGTCCGATCTCGGACAACTTTTCCCGCAGCAACGCTTCATGCTTGGCACTGACTGCACAAACAGATCAACAATTTGTGCGAGTCGAGTATAGATCAGCGGCAGTGGCGCTAGAATCTTGCACATTTCCGCACTCATAGCATGCTTTCCGAACTTGAGATGTCCTCAACTGCGTCAATATGCCTGCTGGTTGATGGGGTTCCAAAAGCACCCGAATGCCGGATAAAACGCCGCCTGGATGTGGTCGAGCTGTGATAAACGGAAGCCTAAGATAAGAATATATCGCAGGGAATATCTTATGGAACTACGATGGTGCCTACCTGGGGTGGTTCGGCGATATGGTACAGATTGATTACTCCTTACTAGCGTTTGGAATCCCAGCTTGGGAACCGGTGTTGGGTTGGAGGCTTAGAGTAGACTAGGACGATGAGCGTCCGACTGTCGACAACCGCGTACCCCAGAGTTCACGATCCCCGTCGCCCCGATCCAGGGTTGGCTGCCTCCTGGCATGTACAGTGTCGTCGCTCGCCTACCATTCCGCTGTACGGAGTGCCCTACTGCTGTTGCCTTCCCGGCGGGAGGACTGCTGAGTCGTCACTATCGAGAAAGTCACAGCCAGCTGCCAACCGGCAACGGCTGCCATGCTTGATGAACGGCTGCACTGTTGTCTTCAGACGCCGAGGAAAATGAAATCGAAAAAAAAAAAAAATACAGGGGAAAGGAGAGTAACTGACTAACTACAAGGTCAGAGATATAATTATATATAAACTTGACCACTTCGGTCTCTTAATTACTGTATATTGGAGTGTATCGTGTACTGGAGAACAAAAACAAGGTTAGACTGTGTTATACAAGCTGCAGAATCAATACGGATTAACTCAGATATCAGGTACTCACCCAAAGCTTCGCACGTCGGCATTTAAAGAAAGATTGGCATCGCTCGGGGTAGGTTGAAGCCTACAAGTCAACTCCAGGCAACCTTTGACCAACACGAAGGACTGCACAAACGCTTATATGATGCCATGTATCTAAGAACTGTGATCACCTTGATCCTCTATTATATCATGAGACTCTAGTACGAGGACACCCTCATCTCATCATAAGTCTGGCGGCCAACGAGCATAGCAAGATGCTCCTCCGACAAACTCATCTGTTCAAAGATTGGGTCATGACATCATTCCGTCGGCTTCCAACATTTTAATCCCACAGAATCCCATCTGACCGAGACACAAAGAAGAAGAAACATGAAACGCTGCGCGCTCTAAACAGTGTAGCGGAAGAAGGTGGCGTAGTCGCCCCTCTCGCGCTCGGCAACCCTCTCCTCCTCGGTGTACTCGCTTGGCGGCTTGTACTCGCGGTCACGGCGGGCGTTCTCCTTCTTCAAGTAGAGCATCATGATGACAGACAGCACGAGGGCCATGGACTGGAAGGCGAGCAGCACGGCGAAGCCGGGAATGTACCTCGGTCCATCCTTGGCCAGGAAGAGGTAGGCCGAGATGGTGCCGCCCAGGTTGCCAAATCCAACATGCATGGCAATTCCCTGTGGTTGATATGTTAGTCTGGATGTGGTCCGTCTTTTCTCTCATGTTAAGGGTTTCCTTACAACACCGCGCTTCAGCGAGCCGCCAATGTTGTTGCCGTTCCACGCAACACCCTGCGGCACGTTGGGGTAGATGCCGGTGGCGAGAAAGAAGCAGCCGACGTAGCGCACGGCGGCCGAGGAGCTAGCCATGAGCATAATAAGGCCGATGATGCTATGATGAACAAGTTAGCAATCAAGCAAAGTGGATACAGGGGGTAATGCGAAAAACATACGCAACAGCCATGAATCCAATCATAAAGATGCCGCGTTGGCCAAGCTTGTCCGCGTACCAGCCGGCACCGACGCAGAAGATGCAGGCCACGACATAAGGGGGCACCGTCATGAGCTGCGCCAGCTCGGGGGTGCTGACGGTGCCAAGATCCCTGACGATGGTGGGCAGGAAAAGCGAGTACGAGTATAGGCCCGTGTAGACGCCGATGGTGATGAACATGTGGACCCAGATCTTCCAGTCCTTGAGGGCGGCCCAGAAGTACTTGATGTCGAACTCGTCGGCGAGCGAAGACCGGTCGCGCTTCAGGCGGGCCGTGATCTCGGTGCGTTCCGCCTCGGTCAGGAACTTGGCCGTTGCCGGGTAGTCCTGCATCACAAAGTAGGCGATGACGGCTAGAGAAGCGGGACGCATGTTAATTTCCCGTAATGGCAACCAAAAGGTACAGAGCAACATACCGACGACAAAGGTCAAGAGACCCTCGAGGATGAAGATCCATTGCCAACCGGCGAGCCCGGCTGTGCCTCTCATTTCCATGATACCACGGGCAAGCAGACCGCCAAAGGCACCAGCGGCTGTCGCGGCTGAAAAGAAGACGGCCATGCGAAGACCACACTCGTGGCGCCGGTACCACATGGTGATGCTTGAAGGTCACTCTTAGTTGCCGCACAAATTCAGGGGACAATGAATTAACACTCACTAGTAGGTGATACCGGGGAACAAGCCACCCTCGGCGATACCCAGCGCAGAGCGGCATGCCATCAAGCCAGCGTAGTTGTGGACAATGCCCATGAGAGTGGTGCAAACCGCCCACGCCACCATGATGCTAGGAATCCAAATGGACGGACGCCACCGCTTCATGGCCATATTGGAGGGGATCTCGGCGGCGACGTAGAAGGGAAAGAAGACAGCGAGGGCGTCATTGTAATGGAGCCTCGCGGGCTCTAGTTTGAGATCCTTCTCCAGTGTGTCGAGGCGAGCATTGCCGATGTTTGTGCGGTCCAGGAACGAGAGAAGATAGAGGAGGGCCAAGAAGGGAATGAGCCTGAGATCGACTTTTCTGATGAGGATCTTTGTCGCCGTCGCATCCCAACCGGCGCTCTCGACGTTGACGTCGTCGATGTGGGACGGCTTGTTGACCACACCGACCTTCTCGTTCGTGACACTGTCCGACTCTGTTGTCGGCACATCGTGTGCCGCCACCTCGGCCGCGTTGCCCATTGTGAGGAACAACTGCTGTTGTTGTTGTTAAGTCCAGGAGGCTCCAGGGAGTATGGGGCTCGACCGTCGGCACAAGGTCAGGCTCGTGGACAACCAGGCGCAGAGCAAGCCCCAGTGGATTTTAAAGGGAGAGGAGAGAAGAGGGAGACGTGGGACAGACCGGGTTCCTGGGAGCAGGTGAAGGTGAGATCCTCGTCTTATACAGAGATGAACCCTTAATGACAGGGTGATATGACCTGCCGCAAACGAGCCACCCTGCAAGTGAGCGTCCCACAACGGACCACGAGTCGCACGATATGGCAGGTATCATGCAGATCCCTGGCTTGTCAACATGGGTACACTCCGTAGGAGACGCCGGTTCCACTACCCCAGAACCGAACCCACTTGCAGGGTCGAGGCCACATTCCACAACATCGCCAGGCTAATGATGGCCCGGCGGAGTGACACCCGACGATAGAATCTCTGCAGTGAGCTGGCACAGCGTCAGCCCACGCCTAGCAGTCGGTAGATTGACGAGGGTGGCCAGTTCGCCCAACGAGAATACTCCGTATGCATGTCTCATTAGCGGGCTCGATCGCCTGCTTGTTGGGGGATAGGTACTATCCGTGGTGGACCATGGCTCCGAATCACTCGCAGGAGATTGGGCGGTTGGATCAGCATGCTGCCCGTCGTCTGTGTTTCCTGCAGGCGGTCAGTGATAAGCTGCCAAGCGATCCTCTTCTCTGCCTGGCGGCACTCGCTCCTTGTTTGGCTCTGGTCATCCGGCCGGCAGACGAGCAGCTCATTATCAGACACGTCCCAGGACGGGCCGATGGGCAGGGAACTCTCCGCATCACCCATGGATGGACGAAGACACCGGAACATGCCAAGATGCTTGGCCTAGCTTGGCGACAGGGCTGGATTTTGGGGTCCTGGCTTTTGCGAGATTGCGAGATTCGATGCCTGGTTCTGGACCGAGCAACCACTCAGCAGGCTGCGCAAGACGCCACCAGGAAGCCCGGATCTGCCCAACAAGTCCGGCTTGGCCAGCGCAGAATTCTGCCATTGGCCAGCTCGCGAACATGCAGCTTCTCGGCGACCGTCCTTCCACTCTTTCGACGGCATCCAACACGCCCAGAGAAAGCCCCAAGGAGCGCCGAGGCGGCCAAGGAAAGCCAAATCTTCTCCCCGCACGTGGCTGCCACCAAGGGCGGCGCACCGGGTGAAGCTCTCGGGCAGATGGATAAATCCTCAACCAGTTGGACCAGCAGCTAAAAGCTGGGCATGAATAGTGGCGTCGCCGGCTATGTTTCGAAGGGGCAAAGCGCCGGCACCTCCGTCACAATCCTCCGGCAGACTGCGATCGCAAGGTCGAGTTCCCCGCGTTTTCCATCTTCCCCCTCAAGATCCTAACGCAGGTGAAGCCGTCTGAACGCACGTTGACACGTGGCGGTAGATAACCGCAGCAAGAGGCGCTAGTCGGGAGATTCCATGGTGCAGGAAGGAAGGGGGAAAGAAGTTTGTTCGGTCGAGCGGACCAAGGGAGGGAGGCCGAAAAGGCGGGCGAGGGAATGCTTCTGGAATGTTACGATCAAGATCCGTGGCGCTTAGCTCCCGAAACGTCTGAGCGCAGACGAAGAGCTGAGAAACGAGGGTGGGAGGAAATCAGGAACCGTGTTTGTTTGGGCATCGGTTTGATGAGAAGTCGACACATGCCGCACAGGTCGCATAAATCCGATGCACTGGGCTGTTGGTTTTGCATTACTCGCCGAATCTGCGGATTGATTGATCATTTCGGAATCAAACTTCTGTGTGAATCTGAGTCGTGTAGGGACGATGGAAAAATTTGATTTCAATAGGCAGCCGCTTGTGTAACGCGAGATAAGTTGGGAGCATCGGTCGATCCTTCCATTTTCGAGTACAGTCATTCCATAGAAATGGGGATCTCAAGCTCCCAACTTCAAGTTCACCTGAAGTGCCCACGCTCGCCACGGTAACTCGAGGACAAGTCAGCTGATGGGTTCCCACTTCCCCAGATCTCCATATTGTAGGTTCTCTAGCCCAGGATCGACTGTTCCCTCACCCATCATCAGCATTGGTGGATTCTCAACTTTACCACTCTGTCCTTTAGGGTTCTTCCTCGGCAACAAGCTGGGGAAAGAATCCACTTTAGTGGTCCTATCCACAGTTTCCCCGGACTTCACGCTGGAGCTTGCCAGTGGGCCTGTTGTGAGCCCCCTTTACCCCTCCAGAACATAGCCCAATCCCATCGGCACGCCACAAGTTCATCTTTTATTATTCTCCAATCTCCAACATTGGACGTCTCTTTTCCGGGCAGTCCTATTTCTGTACTGTGTGACAAGGGCAGTCCTTCGACGGGAATCGGACCCGGAACGGTTGCGACTCCCGAACTGTCCTTCTTTCGTGCAATGGTCTGCAGAGTTCTACTTCAATTATTATCTTGGCATCATCCATCGGTTGGCGGTTGGCTTGCCATCAACCGACCTCCCCTCACCTTGCCCAGACCGCCAAGCCTGCTCGTCCATGGATCCCGCTTCTCTGACGCTGGGATTTGGAATCGCCTGCCCAACCATATCCCCCATCCCACCAGTGTCTGCCGGCGGCAAAACTTGAAGCCCGTCTGCTTAGTCTTGAGGTCACGGTGAATCTATCTCATATGTCTTTTTTACGTTTAGTAAAGCGTGCCAAGTGCGGCGCTGAACATCCGCACGCCCGAAACACCATGGCAGCAATGATATTCACGACTGCCCACGCATAGAACTGGCATGGCGCCCGGTGCTAGGGAAGACAGAGGCCTAGACTCTCGACCACCGTCCCGGGGTACTGGACGCGATGTCGTGTTCAATGTGACTTTGCACCAACAGACCCGGCGCTGTTCTGCGCAACAAATTCCGTGTCCGACCCGACATGCAGCATGAATTGAACCCCCATGTTTACCTCGGCCGCTCGAAGAATGGTACGCGGATCCATTCCGAGCGGACCGTTTCAGTCGACACTGGAGCTCGCTTGTCCCAACTTGGTCCCTGACTGCCTGCCTCAGAGTCTGGCCGGTGCAGACGTCCATTCATTGTGTTGATCCTACAGAGTATCCTGCCTGCGGCCTGCCATCCCCTCGAACCTGAGACGTGGGGTGCGAGTTGGCCGAGGAATGGACTCGAGCGAAGTTTATGCCCATCTCTCTACTGTGTACAATACGTTGTGTTCCGCTCATCCGAGTGACGTCGATGACAACCATGCTCGATTCCCCAATTCTAATGTGCTATTCCATGCATTGGCGCGTGGCCAAGGGCTTGGTCCCTCGTGGTGGCTTTTTGAATGGGCTTGGTTCTGCAGCCACCTTGCAGCATCCATCACACTGCTGACTCTCTCTCTTCTTAAGAGAATGGCTACCTCATAATAAGCAAGTTGCCGGCTTGAATCAAATCGGTCTCGTCACCATCCCACGCATGACCGGCAGCCAATCAAAGAGTGTCCAATGCCTGCCATGAAGCCGGGAGCTCGAGTCCCTAGGGGGGTCAGGTACGTCGATAAGATAAGGAAGGGTTTACGGATCACTCAAAGAGTGCAACTTTGTCGGTCAAATGGGTTACACTGTACACCAGGTTCCGTCATATTGACTCGGACTTGCCTGAAAACCTCCTCTTGTTTTGCGAGCCGACTGCCGTGTTCTGTGAGGAGATCCTGAGGTGTCCAGACACCTAACCTATCTCCACCACAGTAAAGTAGTGCAGCCAACGTCTGTCAACCTCCGAAGCATTCCATACATCCATAACATGAACATGATTCGATATTGGAAACGAACTTCTACCCACACATCTGAGTAAGGTATTGACCAATACATGTACGTATGTTTGCACGCCCGCATTTCTTCAACGAAAACTTGCCTCCTTAGTCGTTAGACGTACGTTGGAAGTCGGGGACTACTAATACAGCCTGCGGCAGCGGTACCCGGAGGATATTGCCACATAGAGTGGAAGAGCGCTCGTCAACTCAGAGTCCCAAACTGGTGAGCCAGTGGACAACGATGGACTGTCGGCTATGCGGCAGACTTCCATCAGTTGTGTTACGGATGTTAAATCTCTGACGCTAGCGTCCGGCTCTGGTACATTGGGGTCAATGACAGTTACAGCGGCCATCTCATGTTTTGCCTTCAGGACCCCATGAGGTTTTAACTCACGAATATATCCCGCAAACACTTGGGTCAGTCACACCAATGTGCATTAACGTGCATTAGCAGCGAGTCATGGGTGTCAGCGAGTCGTGGCGTCAGGTATTTTTATTGTATATCAGACGAAAACAAGTACCCTGGAATTGTTAAAGTGCACTAGCAATTCCTAGGTTACTCTTCCTACTTTGCACCTGCAAAAAATGACCTCAGGCCACGACTCGCTGGTATTCACCAATCCGCTGCACGGTCGCTGACCTGCTGACCATTGGCGCGCACGGACCAGCCCAACATGCGATGCACAGATCTCCACCAGGCCGCAGTGGTTAAGCTGGTGAGGATTGACGTATCTCCACCACACCGGCTGACCTCGTCGCTGACCTCGTCGCTGACCTCGTCGCTGACCTCGCCGGGGCCTAGCGGCGGGCTACAGCGCCTTCCAGCAGGGTAGCCACTGCCAGAGGCGCTAATCTCGCTGACTGGGAACCCTACACTACAGCAGCTATAGGCCCCCAGCCCCAGCTCTCCGTCACGCGACGCCTCTCCTCCTCGCTCCTCCTCCTTCACATCGCCGAGCATCCACAGCCATGGTTTCGAAAGCCAAACAAAGGAGGGCCGCGGCCGCGATAACGACGGTGCCGCAGCCGCCCGTAGAAGACGTTATTACGGTCGTTAGTCCGGCCGATGATCTCGCCCGGGCTAGAGCGCTGGAAAGGCCGGTTCGGCCCCGGCGCCCATCAGATTAACGACCTCGCGGCGATGGGCCTGACAAACCTGCTATTCTACTTGCGCGAAGTGATCTTGCAAGACTCGGCGCTCCTTATGCCGCAGTTCCCCGACAACCCGGTGTGGAACCACCCGGTTTTTCAGCACGAGGCGTACCGGCCATACGCACAACAGGTCTTGGCCTTTGCACAGGGGGAAGAGCGGCCGAGCCAGCTGGCCATGATAGCCCAGGCGCTGCCGGTTTTGGCCGACTATCTGAAGACTATGGACGCGCGCAGCGAGGCCAGGGGCGCCGAACTAAAGGCCGAGCTCCAGATACTTACGGCCCAGTCGGCGCGGCTCCAGACACTTCTCACCACGGGACTTACCTTCGAAGTCAAAGCAGCCGGTTCGCAGGTGGTCGCCGCCGCGGCCGCCGCAGTCTTACCGCCGCGACCGGAAGGAAAAGAAAGGGGGGAGAGCCGGTATACGGCTACCCAGTCAAGTAGCGAAAGCAACCGCGCAACGAGCCTCGGCCCGGCGAGAACGGACGACGCGCCGGAGCCACAGCCGCCACAATACCGCATGTACAGGGCCGTCAAGACGGTAGAGGGACTTTGGCACGAATGGACCGTCGGCCTTCGGGGAATGCCGGCCATAGCGGCCCTCGACAGGAAATGGGGAAGCCGGTGGCGTGCAGGGCGGCGGAGCGAGCTGCAGTGGTATCATCTGCGGCTGGAGGTCATCAAGGAGATCCAGCGCGTCGCACAAGCGCAGCGGATCGGCGAGCAGGCGGCGATATATATCGTCAACATGCAACAGCAGCGGACGGGCTGCTCCCTTGACCAGTTTTGCAAGCGTCTACGGGCGAACAGAAAGGAAGGCGAGGCCGGTCGGCCGGCCGTGCAACGGTGCAAGCGTAGTGCAGGAGCATCGTATTGTGTACTAGTAGTAATGCAACAGTATTCCCCATTCTGAACAAGGTAGCTTTAAATTTCGCTCAAATTTCGTGGTAACTGACGATATAATGTAAGTGGTGGAGAGGGGTAATCCCTCTTGCAGGCCCCACCTCAGCTTTCCCCTGGTGTTACGCCTCTTCATTGGTTTCCGCCGCCCCACCAGGCCTCGATATAGGGTTGGTTCATGACACGGATATACTGTTGATATCCACGACTCGCCGATAATGTTCGCTACCAGTTTCAAAGAGCGAAAGGCCGTGAATATATATTCATAGAATCTTGGGCAAATGACGGCAATACTCACGGCTATGAATATATTATTATTCCTACACCGCTGTGCCCTTGGGCTTGCCGGACCTTCAACAACTTACTATACAGGAAAACCGCGCCCTCGTGGGCCGGGTGAAAAACCCATATCGACAATCAAGGAAACGATCAGTGTCGGCTATGAATATACATTGCTTGGCTAGTGGGAAATTGTGAGTATACACTCAAAAATGCCTGGGGCCCCAAGAAGGGGATGCTCATGGCCATGAGTAATATATCTGAATTGGTAACGTTGCAGAATTCCTTGAGTATATACCGACAACTTTCTTCCTCTACAGGTAGGGATATTTAGTTCGTTAACTGTCCCGGGTTTGACCGCGTGATACTGTGAGCTGTAGGCAGATACTCGTAAATATAGTAGGCCGAAGTTTCAGAAGCTCAACACTATGAGCATTCATTGAAATGTCAGAACTGTGGAGGTTAACATGCTGTCTGGTGAGCTAAGGGCACGAGAGGCTGGGGAATTAACTTAGGACGGTTAGACGTCGGCAGCACTTGTTGTCTGGTGTTCAAAATGTAACGGGCTGAGCCCGTAAAGGCCTCGGCAAACTCTCGGCCAAGACTCGAGATTCGGTGGACTTCTATCTTGTACGATATCGGCGCACAGGCCAAGGATGTGGAGGTATAATACGGCAGATATCTTGCATAGTCTTTCATTCTTTTTCTTCTTCTCTCTCCATTCGAGACAAACTCGTAGAGTCGTCACCAGCTAGTTGCGATATACTCCTGGGACCGTTACACAAAATGCCAGGGCCCAGAAAGCTCGAGAGCTGTCTGGTGTGCTGAATGCGAACACTCAGTAACTCAGGAGGCAGGACAGGCATTCCAAGACCCCTGAAAAGAAGACAGCAGAGGTCGAGATACTCTCCGGTGAGCTGCCCGCTTGCGAGAATTGTAAGAGAAGAGGTCGAGACGCTATCCCAGGTGCTAGAAAGACCGGGTTTCTTAGATACCCTTCACAAAAGTCCAAACACAGGCAGAGAGCAGATTCGGGGAGGCGCTGAGGTCAAAAAGCCCAAGGTCCCATATAAGCGAGCGCCGCACTTTTTCCTAACTACCCTTGCGATAACCATCTGAATTTTACCCAACAGCTTTAGGAACCAACCACAATTATATCGGAAACAGCTGAATCGAATAATGTTGCATCCTCCTGGCAAGTGCGGGCATTACGCCTGGCTTGCCACACACATTACAGCACCGAACCTTCGTACGGCACCTCTCTGCACTACTCAAGCTTAAGGTGGTCCACCATTGAGCGGGACACATTTCTAGACCACACCACTGCAAATTGCCAAAAGTCCACCAGAATCTAATGCGATCAATTGAAACTACTCAAAATCTCTTGGGCCATCTATTTCTCCAACCTCCGAGCATGTCCTTGCACTGTGGTCAATGTTACGGCAGATGCCACAGAGCCGCGAACCCCTCCGACGCCTCTTTGATGGCCCTTCATTTCCCTCCTCGACGCGTCCTTCCTCTTCCACCAAACTTTACTCTGCCATTTTTCCCTAGCTTGGCTTCTATCAACAGCCCCGACATCCTAGAGACGCGTCCGTTTGGCTCTACAGCGTTTGGAGAGTACTTCATTGGCTTCCTGAAGTGTCCGTACCTCGGCCTCCATAGGATAACGTTAACCCGATGGGAAGGAAACCGCTTGCATTCCCTTCGAAAGCTGGTCGACAGCGGCTAAAATCGGAGTCGGAGAGCTTTCCTGGTGTCTCGCAATCTGATCTGTAATAAGAGCAGACTGCGAAAGAGCCTTGTGGTAGTTTGTGACGAATCTCAAAGCCCCAACTTCTGAAAGGGACTCCTGAAGGTTATACTTGACAACGGGGTGAGGTTCGGTGAAGCCAAAGGGTTCACAACAAGCAATGTCCAAGGGTACTGACAATCTTGCACTTGAGTTGCTTACTGGAGAACTCCCAGAGTCCTCCAGAACGAGTGACTATATACTAGATGCATTTGGTTGCTCTCGTGCTCTCTAGAGCCACCTAGAGCCAATGCTCTATGGTGCTCTCGTGTAACGGTCTCAGGCAGTATATTGCAACTAGCTGATGACGACTCTACGAGTACACTGAACTTGGAGAAGAAAAGGAGAGACGACAGACTCTGGTAGCTCGCAAGCATACTTATCCTCGTCGGCGCGCTGGTCTGAGCGCGTTGCTAGAAGGTTCGGTGTGCTGTGGGGCGAGTGGGAATAGCCTCATCAGGGGTCTTGGTATTGGCCGAGAGTCGCCGAGGCTCGCACCGGGCCCAGCCCGTTACATCTCGAGAGCCTCTTAGAGCGCCCTCTGATTGGCCTTGCACTGGTGCTCTCTCATGCTCCTGAGAGCTCTCTGGAGCACCTCTAGGACTCGTTCCGATTGGTCCTAAGTGATTGGCTCAGAACGTCCTACGTTCCCAACTGGCTTCTGCAAGTAAGCCGCCGCTGTTGGCTCTCGTTGGTTCATTTGTGACATAGTTTGGGGCGTCTTGGAAACCTCTGGTGTTCGTGGTCTATCAGGGGCCCCAGGAGGTGTTGGTGTCCGCAATTTGATATCCAGTTTCGAAAGCACGGCCTGCGGGTCATAGGGGATAAGTCCAGACCCTCGAAAAACCTTTAAGAGTGTTTCCTTAGGTAAAGTCCGGTAGAGGGCGGCTTTGAATATAAGGAAAGCCTTGAGCTTGGTGATATACGCGATCCGCACCCGATAAAGAGCTCGATTTCGGCACTATATTTCTTCTTCAAGACGCTAAAACAACTAACATCGAGTATAATGTTACTCTCCTTGCAATAGGCGTCAAATCCAGCGCTGATGTGGCTCTCTGTCAGAGTGCAGTATGGGGCAGCTGCGCTGTGACCCACATATAACCCACAGGATTGCAAGGTCGGAGCGACTTGCGATTCGACACCCTTTTTCAGGGAGATACGACATAGCTGAGTGGGTTGGTTGTGCGCGTATCCTCACACTCTCGTGGGCGTCAAGTACTAGCATTCGATATATACCTTTCCGACGGTGTTTAGTATACTCATCAAATGCGATAGCTATCTAGAGCAGTCTTATTATCTGCCCATCCATTGGCTGCGCCGGTCTAGTCGTCGGGTATCTGGTGCTTAGAGTACCAGCTAGCGAGGTGGAAACGGCCCTTCACCACCAAGAAAGGCGGTACTATATTGTAACGGTCCCAGGAGTATATTGCAACTAGCTGGTAACGACTCTACGAGTTTGCCTCGGATGGAGAGAGAAGAAGAAAAAGAGTAAAAGACTATGCAAGATACATGCCATCTTATACCTCCACATCCTTGGCCTGTGCGCTGATTTAGAACAAGATAGAAGTCCAACGAATCTCGAGTCTTGGCCGAGAGTTTGCCGAGGCCTTCACGGGCCCAGCCCGTTACATATATAGCCGTCCCTAGCAATACTGCAAATCGCTATCGCCCATTCTCGATTGCCCGGCTGAATTGGCCTTTGGTTTGCCGACCCGATCGGAGCGCGCAACTACCATCCCAAGCCGTATCACGCCCATCTTAAAGCCGGTTTCGTCGAAGTTGTAGAGGTCGCAACCAATGATACCGTATTTCGCTCGCATATTGTCACGGGTCGTGACAGTGTGAGGCTCATGTGCACAACTCCTGGTTCGACAGGACAGTTCGAACCACGGTCCCTCTTTTGAGGGTGTTACGCAGTGGTCAGTTGCGCCTGCCCGTGACACATATTAGCAACCAATCGAACATGTTAGAATGACCAACAGCTGTTGAACTGAGTGGGTTCCTTGGCACCAAGATTCACGGACTGAGCACTGATGTTCAATGCGAGACTCTCAGTCAACACAGATCCATCACAATGACGCAGTTCCTGACATAAACGTCAATATCATGGCACACTGTCTCTATATAAGGGGGTAATTCCCCTGGGAGGATTAGAGAGGACAATTTGTTCCAAGAAGAAAAAAGGGACATTCTGAGGCACCCTAACCCACTATCTTGATCCTTCATTTGTGTGGTCACTCTGGAATCGTGACTCCAATTCAAGCTTCGTTTCATACCTCAATCTGTTCAATACCATTTGGTTGATCTAAGCTTACTTGTGCATGTAACTGTTGGCTGCCCAACAACAGCTACGTATCTACGGTTATCGAGAATGCACCGCAATCTTTAGATATTGCCTACTTAACGTCCGATATTCTGCTGTTAATCATTCTAAGCATTGGCTCGCATTGTATCTTCGACAGTGTATCCGGCATACTGCTTCATAGGTGTCAAAATCAGAAACCGCCGCCGGAGCTAGGAATGACACGGTACTAATAATTAGGGCAAAGCAACCCCAGGTTTTCAAGGGCCCCAAGAGGCGAATGTGCCTGTCAGACAAGGTAAAATAAGCTGAAATGGAAGCGATGCTTGAGCTAAGTACTCGTCTTAGTGACTGTGGTCAGTGCACATGGTCTCTGCTTGGAAAGAGTATGCCTACGGTTAGCGTTCACCTACTTTGAGGAACCCTTTGCGGGGCCACTCTATCCAACCTACGACATTCTTGCCGAACGAGAAGATTCGAGTCTCAGGGTCACGTCACAACTGGCATCTACCTTTTTATAAGAGGGTACGGATCAAGGGCTAATTGACATGTGGGGGTGCGGAAACCACTACAATCATCCCCGGCCAGATATCTGACGACCTGAGATGAAAAGTGAGAGAGATTGGAGAGACTAAAACGTTGATCTTCTTAGTGGAGGAGATGAAATCAACCGAGATGGGAGAAGCGAGTACGAAGGCCAGCATGTGGTCTTGATCATGTTGGTAATAAACAGCTTAGCTCGGGGTCCGCTTGTTGAAGCCGAGCTTGTCTATCCGGTTCGATCTATTAGAACTCTTGCCGGTGAGTTCAACATCGAGCACTAAACGGTGTTCCTCATGCGGTAGAAGCCGTCCCTTGTGGGTCCGTCTGAGCTAGCGACAAGAAACGATTGACTTCAGTTTAGTCCTGGAGCATCGGACATTGAAGCGCCGACTTGTCACGGTTGAGGGCGATGCTCATGTGTTGTTTCAAACAGGTGTAAATCATCCTATCAATCCTACTCAGACTAGAGCTACCGCTTCCAAGATTCTATTGGAATTTATACTCACGAGCATGATCGGCTTGTAAAAATGGATACCCACTGCGATGTGTAGACTGCTGTTTGTGGCACAAGAACTGCGAGTATACACTGACAAGTTCGCGCTGCCAAAACCATGGATACTTATGGGCACGAGTATTCCCTTTTCTAGGCGAAGATACTTGTGAGCATAGAGCATATACTCATAGAACTTTCAAGGTCAACAAACCGCCCACATTGGCCAATTGAGCCATCACGATGCGTGATTCTCGTGCCGCAACTGCGACTTGATTGCTGCGCGGAACTTCACTTCTTCTGGCGATCGAGCAGCATTGAACGAAGCGAGGTGAATGGAAGGAATCGGCGGCGGGTGCCATTGTTCAAGGCAGAAACAATCAGCGCGTTCTCGGTGATGTGTCTTCCGATGGAGAGGAAGCGAATCCCACCCTCGACGGCAGTACCTGAGGGAACTTTTGCAGCGAGCGAATCATGAGCATGGGATAATGGGGAATCGAAAGTGAGAACACCTGCCCTTAACTGGAGAGTCTTGGGCCAGGTGGGGTTCAAGCGACACGGGAACTGGAAGAGCCGAGACTTCGGCTGACACGACCTTGCCTGATCTGGTTAGTGCCAATGACAATAAGTCTTGACAGACATGGAGCTGCTGCAACCTCCTCTAAGACCATTCGCCGCCACCCAGATTGCTCGCGATCCTGTGCTGCTGCTGAGTGGCAGTGGTGGGGTGAGAATCTGAGTAATACAATATGGAATTTTTGGGTGTAAAACCGCTTTGCGTCCATTTCTTCCACCTTCCTCTCGAACCCCATAATATCCATACACATCACTCTCGACCGGTGTCTTTCCTCGCCTTCACCGCCAGACCTTGTGTCGGTGTTGCAATCGCGCGTGATAAATAACGTTGGTGTTCAAAATCTGAGCACAATCGGCACACTTGCGAAAGGGCCAAGAAGCACCGCCGCGAGGGATTTTGGATCGAGGAGACAAGCTGTATCACCCTCCAGCAACGATTCGAGCCTGGCGCTCAACACCATGACGGAATTTTTTTTGCGGCCGGCCGTGTTGGTGCCGGCCGTGGCCGTGGCTGCCTACCTGATCCACCAGCTCTTTTTTGCCGGGCCAAAGCTCCCAAAGCTTCCCGTCGTGGGTGCCAGAGATGGAGACTGGTTCCCCTTCTACCAGGCTATGTGGAGGAATACCTTCAACTTCAAGGCGGCCGTGAAGCAGGCAGACGAGCAGTTCCGAGACCAGGCCGTGCTCATGCCGCTGATCGGTAACTCCAACATGGTCCTGCTGCCGCGGTCCCAGATTCAGTTCGTCACCGACCAGCCCGACTCGGTCCTCGACATGCACGCCGCGGCCATCGAGTCGCTCCAGATAGACTACACCTGCACCGACCCCTATCTCGTGCATAACCCGGTGCACCACAAGCTCATCACCACGACCCTGACCAATCAGATTGGCAACCTCGTTCCCGACGTGGCCGAGGAGACAGCCTGGGCGTTCGAGCAGCGGTGGGGGAGCCCCGACGAGTACCAGGAGGTGTGTGTCTACGACACGCTGCGCAAGATTGTCGGCTGCGTCACGAACCGCGTCTTCCTGGGCAAGCCAAAGTGTCGGGACCCGGCCCTGCTCGTCGAAGGCATGGGCTACGCCCAAGACGTGCCCCTGACTTCTACAGCACTGCGCATGGTGTGGAAACCCGTGCGGCCACTCGTGGCGTGGTTTCTTACGATACCCATCCACCTGCGCACGCGGCGCTTTGAGAAGATCGTCGTGCCCGAGATTGAGAAACGGCTGGCCGACTACGAGGCCCGTCGGCGCGATCCTGAAAACAAGGCCCTCGGCCCCGAGCCCAACGACTTCCTCCAGTGGACCATCAAGCAGGCCAAGGAGATAGGCGACCCGTACCTCTGGAAGCCAACCACTCTGGCCGGCCGGATCCTGCTGCTCAACTTCGCCGCCATCCACACGTCGTCCTTCACCATCACCAGTGCCATTTTGGAACTGGCCGCCTCCAAGCAGGAGTACATCGACGAGCTTCGGGCCGAGATCGAGGGTGTGCTGGCCGAGCACGGTGGCGAGTGGAATAAGCGAGCGCTGGCCAAAATGCAGAAGCTCGACAGCGTCATGCGCGAGTCGGCGCGCCTCAACTCGTTCGTCACCGTCGGTCTGAACCGCGCCGTGGCCGCGAAGGACGGCCTCGTGACGCCCGACGGCATCCGCATCCCGCGCGGCGCCACCGTCAGCGTGCCCAGTTACCCGATCTTCCACGACAGCGCCGTATACCCGGACGCCGACGAGTTCAAGCCCTTCCGCTTCGCCGAGCAGCGCAGCGACGCCAGCATCGAGTATGTCCAGCGCGCTGCCAAGGCATTTGCCACGACAAGCACCGATTTCCTGGCCTTTGGTCACGGCCGGAATGCCTGCCCCGGCCGCTTCTTTGCCGCCAACGAGCTCAAGCTCATGCTGGCCCATCTTGTGCTCAATTACGATGTTGAGCTTGGTGGGGAGAGACCACGCAACACTTGGTTTGGCTTGAATCGGGTGCCACCTCTCCAGGCTACGATACGCATCAAGAGGAGGGAGAGGGCTTGACGAGATGTGGTTGATCGTGCTTGGATGAAGGCGAATGGAGTGTCTAAATAGGATGACTGTATGCATTTCACGATCAATGACTGATTTGGAGACGTACTATATTTGCTCGGGAGTCGGGATATGTTCTTCCAGGGCTAAGTTGCGGCAAGTGGTGCGGCTGTTGCTTTGAACGACAATTCATGAGAAGCGATGAGATTCAAAAGCCAGACTGCCCTGGTTTTCTTGCTCAGGCACCCTAACAGCCCCCCTGGACAGTTTTGACCAAGAGATGTGGAACACGGTGCCGAGTTGAGCCTTCCAGCTTCCCGGTTTTAACAGTATCAACTCTTTTAAGTCATATTCTTGATTCTCTATGAAAGGTGATACCAATGGGTAAAGACTGACTATACATACTGAAGGCAGTCCTCCTGATGAAGTGAACGTGCCCAGGGTGGAGGGCCACAAGGGCAGCTGAGATGAAGGCCGCTGGCGCGCTCAAGTAGTGTGAGGTCATTTGTTTTCACCCTGCAAAGCTAGTTATGAGTATACGCTCACGGATGTCACCGGTCAATACAAGCGATACTCGTTGCAGTGAGTATAGACCTAACAGTTTTGTAAGGCAGACCTTGTGAGTATCTACCCACACCTATCTCCATGTAATGCAGCATATGTTCACAACGATGGTATACATAGTTCTTGCCGTGAAAGCATGTGAGTATAGCACTCAGAGTTTCCTCACCTAACAGTGCGGTTACTCTTTGCAATAAGCATACATGATTCTCGCGGCGTAGGTCTGTGAGCATATACTCGCAGCTAACCTCACCTAATAAGACAGCTGCTCACTGCGATGAAAGCGTGCAGTTCGCGGTGACGGACGCCGAACAGGCTCCCTCGGCATCGCAGTTCAACAGACCTGCAAGACAGATGGCGGGTTCCTCCGTGTGGTTGCGCGGAGCCTACTCCAACCACACGGTAGCCCCTCTGCTTGCCTGGGTACGAGTGCTACTGTAGTCAACGCCCTCGTTACTCTTGGGGATATCCGAACTGGGGGAACGAACATGGCTGGAACATTTCTCTGGCGAGCCATTGTCCCTCTGTGCGAGTATTTTCCCCAGTTGTATCTGGAGGTAAGCTATTGATTGATCACTTGTTGTGTATCTTGAACTTCAGAATTTGGACAAGTGTCAGCAAGGTTATGAGATGCCCGCACTATAGTCTCTTATGCAATGAAGTCCCTCATGGCGATCCGTTGTTGAACTTCAGCCTCGTTCCTTGCCACATAACTGCGCAGGCATCTTTCGCCCGCCTGGACCAAGAACGTACGGGGCGAGATTTGCTGAGGGCCGGTTTAATCATCGACTTATCTCAGGACTCCTCCGACCGTGACCCCGTCTCGGACCGAGGTCTATCAATCACCAGCACGTCCTCTAGCTGCTCATCGTTGGTCATTCCGGAGTATTATCGTGTCTCACGTTAGTTGGTATCACCTGGATCAAGTTGGAACTCAATCGAGGTCTTTCTGTAGCGGGTGACCGTCCCGGCTTGTGCCGGGCCAAGCCCGGATTCCGATGCTTGATCGGGTACCGAGTGGGCGGCCCCGATGGCACTGCATCTCTTACAGGTTTCCCGGAACTTGAGTTTCCTTGGACACTGATTCATTAAGTAATGGGAGGATTGCTTTTGTCAGTTCAGACAGATGCCGTGCCTTGAGTCTGTGTAAGACTGGAGCCTATAGGTACCTTTGGCTCGAAATAGGGTACCAAAACCATCTTTTTGCTCTCAAAGTTGATGTGTGGAACTTGGCGCCGCCGTGACGTAAAATCCCGGCGGCGCCTTAGTCCGAATCGGCAGTGTGCCCCACTATGCCCCGCGGCGCGCAAGGAGCAACTTCCACCAATTCTGTTCAGTTGAGCTCCAGAGCTCATCTGCAATCAACCCCCACCGAGAATCAAGCCTGCGTCATACAAATCCCTCACCGGCGACGGCAGATTGTTTGTGCGAAACTCGGCAGTGTTTTCACTCTTCCGGGCTGCGTTCGACAGAACTCCTAGCTCAGCATTTCCCCTAGAATCGCGAGCAAACAAATCTCACACCCCTCAACTTACCCCGCCGTCGCAACAATTCGTCTTCTGTTTGATCAACGAACAACCTATTTACAGCCAAAATGGGTCTTCTCGAGGTACGCAACGAACCAACCATCGGCTCGGGCCGTCCCTCGTACGCACATCGATAAGATGCAGCCTTTTCGCTAACAGTTGTTCTGCACAGGAACTCAACCTGCCTGTCGGCGTCATCTACGGTGCGAGCACCTCGCCGAGATCGGAAGGAGGACCGAGATTGACATTGGAACAGGTGACGATGTGCTGAAACTCTTCCAGTATGCACGTGAGAAGGGCTTCGCCATTCCTGCCGTCAACGTCACCTCCAGCAGCACTGTTGTCGCTGCTCTCGAGGCTGCTCGTGATGCCAAAGCCCCGATCATGTACGCCGAGACCCTTCCGTTCCCGTCCCCATTCATGACCGTCTTCGAGGCGATATTGATTGGAATTTGTGAATAGTCTGCAAACAAGCCAGGGCGGCGCTGCCTATTTCGCCGGCAAGGGCATCAAGAACAGCGCCGAGAAGCAGGAGGCGTCGGTTGGCGGTGCAATTGCTGCCGCCCACTACATCCGCGCTGTCGCGCCTCTGTACGGTATTCCCGTCGTCCGTACGTGCCCTGCTGCCCCTCGCCCTCTGCTGTTGCTGACATGCTGTCTGCAGTTCACACTGATCACTGCGCGAAGAAGCTCCTCCCCTGGCTCGATGGCATGCTCGATGAGGACGAGAAGTTCTTCAAGCAGAACGGCGTTCCCCTATTCTCCTCGCACATGATTGACCTGGTATGTTTTTTCTGCTCTGGTTTGTTTTGGATATTGCGCTAACAGTTCCAAGTCTGGTATGTTCCCCTCTTACACAGCCCGCTTTCCACTAGCAGTACGGTTCTCTTACAACGCGGGTAGAGGAGCCAGTGGACGAGAACATCAGCACCTGCGTCTCGTACCTGAAGCGCATGGCTCCCATGAAGCAGTGGCTGGAGATGGAAATTGGCATCACGGTACGGTCACCTGGCCCCGCCCGCACCTCCTCCCCGGCGGGCATTTGCACTGGAACATGACGCTAACGATGGCCGCAGGGTGGCGAGGAGGACGGTGTCGACAACACCGGCGTATGTTCTGGCCGACAGGGACTTGATGAGCTGCCCATACTGACTTTAACATCAGGTTGACAACGCCTCTCTTTACACTCAGTATGTATCATCAATCGCACCCAAAGATTCCACGCGAAATACTGACAAGCGACAGGCCCGAGGACATCTGGCAGATGTGCGTTTCTATTTCTTTCTCCCGCGTCGAACAACGTACTAACCTTTCGACAGCGAGCAAGCTTTCCGCCCTATCTCGCCGTACTTCTCGATCGCTGCCGGCTTCGGGTATAAACGTTTCCCCATCCCATCGAGGATTACCGCAGTGCTAATGCTTTGGCAGCAACGTCCACGGCGTCTACGCCCCTGGCAACGTCCGCCTGCACCCGGAACTCCTTGGCAAGCACCAGGCCTTCGTCTCCGAGAAGCTGGGCGGCACCGACAAGAAGCCTGGTAAGCTCAAACGTGAGGACGACGCCAGGGGAAAATGCTGACATATGCTAGTCTTCTTCGTCTTCCACGGTGGCTCCGGCTCAAGCAAGCAGGAGTACGAAGAGGCCATTAGCGTAAGAAGTGCCAGTAAACAGTGGCACTCACAGGCGGCTGACATGTCACAGAATGGCGTGGTCAAGGTCAATGTCGACACGGATATGCAGTGGGCCTACCTGACCGGCATTCGGTGAGTTTTCCCCTTTAAGCAACTCAGCAGGGCGTCTTCCTGACCGCAATAGTGACTACATCAACAAGAACATCGACTACCTCAAGACCCAGGTCGGCAACCCTGAGGGTCCCAACAAGCCCAACAAGAAGAAGTACGACCCGAGAGTATGTGTTCTCCCTCCAGCAGAGTCCCTTTGATCGCTTGTCTTAACGTTTGCAGGTCTGGGTTCGTGAAGGCGAGAAGACCATGTCCGCCCGGGTGGCCGAATGTCTCAAGGACTTCAAGACTGCTGGCACCCTCTAAACTGGGACAGGATGTGGTTGCGGGTGGCGTTGGGTAACAAGGGGTTGACTGTGGCCGCGATGCCCAGCAGTGGTTGCGTGCTCTCAATCATGGGTACCGGTTAATGAGGCTGCTGATGGGGGAGCCTCGTTCTCTTAGATACCTAAGTATGGGTGAAATAAAACATGCAAGAACCCATCCTCGAGGCAATATGGCTGCATGTCGGCCGCGTCGCTCAGCCAATTTGACGAAAAGGTGCCACGTTTATCTCGACACCTTCCCTGTTAATGATATGTTGTCCTCCTTGAAGCATGCACAGCTTGTCTTGCATTGTCTCCACTAGAGGTGATCGTCAACGACATGGCACATAGCAACCCTGTGTGATCGGAAGAGGATGTTGTGACGGCCATTCCTTTTAAGTTTGACTCTCCAACCCCGGACGGCCGTTCGGAGCTCCTTTTCTAATATCATTGAAAATATTAAACGCGTCTCTAAATTCACTAAGTGGGGTGCATGGTCTAGTGGTATGATTTTCGCTTCGCATTCTCCGACTGCGCCTTGTGAAAGGTCCCCGGTTCGATCCCGGGTGCATCCATCCTTTTGCTATTATGTCGGCGTGGTTGCCTGATTTGGCCGTCTCAATATGTTTTGCTGCCCATAGGTCCTATGATTTGTTTTGGTGTGTCCCTTCATGGGATATTTTCGTCTCGTTGTTCCTCGGAATCCCAGCCCATTAACCGAGGCTTAGGGTAGGTAGGTACGTAATCCATGGATTACTCAACTCTTTGCTCAGTCAGGCTCCCCCCCCTCCCCCCAAGTCAGTAACGTCGTGGAGAATCTTTTGGTCTCATTCTCCAGCAAAGCAAAGAAACGCCAGAAGCTCCCCTTAGAAGGTTAGCGCTAGAGTGTCTCCCACCGCTATGGACACCAGAACCGCCGGCAACATCCCTCCCTTTCGGGAGGCCGCCAAGGTTCAACGCCTTGACTCGCACACCTACGGCGCGATCCTCGTCGACTCTTTCTGCATAGGGACCGGTAAGTCGCGTGCCTCATGTCATTGCTATAACATCACCAGAAAGATTTGAGACTGACACTGCAATGTCGCACAGTACCAAACGGAGGATATGTGGCCTCCTGTATTCTCGGAGCCGCAGCCCTCCATCAGACAGGGAGAGGCCAAAAGGACGTGTTGAACGCTCACTTTCAGCTTCTGAGCAGAACTGAGACGGGACCGGCGATCATCATCATCGAGGACATTAAGGTTGGCCGCCAGCTGAGCACCCTACATGTCACACTCTACCAACACGCCCTGCTGTCTGAGGCCCCGTGGATCACACTGGGTTCTACACGCAAAGAGATCGCCGCGTACCTCATCATGACGGACCTCGGCAAGGAAAGAGGCATTTCCCTGCCCACGGCGTTTACCAAGAGTCTGCATAACCCACCGATGGCGGCGCCGCCCAAGCCAGACTTCGCTGCCTTGAGGGAAGACCACGATGCTCACTGGGCTCGCTTCCAATTTGTCAACGGCGGAAGCCCGCCCAACTATGCGCGATGCCTGAACAATTGCGTCTACTACGATCCTCGCGGCGGGCAGCCCACTAGGACAATCCTCGACAAGTGGGTTCGGCTGGCATCGGGCGAGAGGTTTACCCCTGCTGCGCTGGCCTTCGTTTCTGACTGCTGGCCGTATATGATCCAGGTGCAGCGGTCGTTCCATGAGGGAGCCAAGGAGAAGGACGCCGGGGAAGGAGGGAATGAGGTGGTTCCTTCTGACCTTGGGTTCGAGTGGACAGGATTCTGGTACCCGACCGTGGTGCTGAACCTGGAAGTGAAAAAGGCGTTGCCGAAGGATGGTGTTGAGTGGTTGCACGTGCGGATGCAGGCAAAGCAAATCAAGGACAGCCGGTTCGACATGGAGGTGCTGTTGCTGGACGAGCACGGTGACCTTGTGGCCGTGAGCAACCACGTCTGCTTGATTTTCAGCAGCGAGCGGAATATGTCTGAGAGGAGCAAGCCCGGCGATGTGGCCAAGGGAGCGCTGAGTCGTATCTAAGCTGCTGGTGTCCGAGCCTTGTGCCCTCCTGTCTCTGCTTACTTCTTGGCTTACTGGAGGCGTCAGACTAGCGTGACGGGTCAGATAACATGGAACTGTGGCATTCGGTCGGATGGTCCAGGCTTGCTGCTGGCAGCCAACAAAGTCGGTCCGAGAGCTCCTTGAGTCCTTGGATGCTCGGAGTGCCCGACTGCCCGGACTGCCCGGCCTATCCTCCCTCCTCTGTTTCCTGGGTATCCTCTTTCCGTATCTCAATTCCTCTGTGCTCAATCTCGGCGGCTTGACCACTGGCTGCAATCAATTTACGGAGTCTTCGACGGCGCCGGTTCGGCATGGGATTCGCGGAGCCAACGGGATGCCAGCGGCAACCCGAGGTAGCGAGCCCAAGCGCTGCCCAACCCCCTGCTTGCGCGTACGTGCAACACCGTGCTTCATGCTCTCCCCGCTTTCGTTTCCAGTCCAGTCCCAATCCCCCACAGAGCAATTGTCGTTCGCCCTAGCCTAGCCCACGGCGCTCTCAGCTTTGCTGCCCTAATGGGCCATACCTGGGACCTGAGTCGAAGAGCCCAATCAAGAGTGGCCGCGCGTGTTCGCCCTGTTGGGGATGTTGACTCGGCCGTGGTCTGAGTCTACTGCGCTGTTAAGGTGCCAGTCGAATTGTCGGTGAGGACCCGCCACGTCACGCTCGCCTGCATGTGACGGGCCCCTGCCGAGTGGCCATGGTCCGCTTCGCAACGGGTGAGTTGTCGGACTCCAAAGCTGTCGTCGGGACGTTGCCACAGTTCTATTGGCTCCTACACAATATTTTGTAGCCCTCAATTGGGTTACAATCCCTGGGCCCCCGGAGAGCCTGACCTTAACCCCTTTCACGGCAGTGGGACCCTCTTGGGCATGGACAGCTCGCATCGACAAGTCTTGACACAAAAGGCCCTTAAATGAACGGCTCAAACTTCTCCGGCATGACGACTCTGTCTCATCTTGCTCTCGAAGAGCAGCAAACAAACATTCATGTCAACTGACAACCCGAACTTCACCATCTCCAGCTGTAACTCTCCACGCGCAAACCAACATGATCGACGCCCAGGAACTTGTAAGTTTACATTCAAACCCCTCTTGCTAAGTCTTCTGGTGTGTTCAGCCAACTAACACACCGGACTTGCCAGAGAAGGCGGTGGACGGACCACCCGAGGCCCGGCATCGTCTTCCACCCGCGCGACGACCGACACGAGTATCGCGAGTATGCGCCCGAACCTTACGAGCGCGAGTTCCATTTCCGGGGCTGCCGCAGCATCGTCTTCCTCCGCGGCGAGCGGACCGGCACCGAGGAGGACGTGATTCTGATGACGCAGGGCTCGGGCCACATGGCGCTGCCCGCCGGCGTCCAGGTGCTGGTGCAGTCCGGCTACGCCAAGTGGGAACCCGCGGCGTCGGCCGGCGGAAGTGGATCGACCGTCGTCGGCGGAATGGGAACGAGTGGAGGCTCCCGCGCCCCGCCTCCGAGCCGTGTCTCGAGCTATGCCCGCTCCTCGACCGGCTACTCCGCCTATAGCCCTTCTGCTGCTGGCCGGAGCAACACACAAGGCTACGTCCCCGGTCCGCCTCGCGGCAGCTCCTACATGTCGGCTTGCAACGTGCCGCTGCCCCCCAGCGACGTTGGCGGAAGAAGCACCGTCGGATCGGGCGACTGGGAGGTGGTTGAGCAGATGAGCAGCTACGGGAGCAGGTCGACCCGGGACGACGCCTGCAGCATCGCGCCCTCAGAGAGCATCAGCTCGGTTGGTAGTCGCGGCGGTGCTAGCCAATTCTCCCGCCGATACACTAGGGGTTATTGACGACGTGTCGCAAGCTGATGACCGGGCAGCCAGTGGAAATGCCGGGGCACCTGATTGGAGATTGAGAAACGGGCGATGTTTGGTGAGTTTTGATAACGTCGCGCGGTTGGCGAAACTGAGCCGAGGATTCAAGGCTCGAGAGAGTGCGACTCCCTGGAGAGCAAGCTGGTCCCTCGTCGTTTTGTTTCTCTCTTTTCCAGCGTCAAGTCAGTCATGGGGTACTAGACGGCTGGAGTTTGGGTTTTTCGAGGGTCATTTCGGAACGGCAGCTGGGGATTGGATTATTGAACTCGAATCAGGCACGACATACCATTGCATAGCACAAATTTGGGATCAATACATGTCCTCGCAGTCAAACGGCTAGACTTAGGGCTAGGTGTAACAAAGGGGTCGATCGAGTACAATTCAGCCCTAGTTTGTTAGCGCGGACCTCAGTAACAAACATAGGTGTAACTAGCTGGTATTAAGGTAAGATCAAATCTCTTTTTTCCAACCTCTCATCTTCGTTTCAAAATTTTCTTCTCATTCTTCATTGGTTAACGATGTGTTATCTCAGGGCAGTTTCGATGGGTGATCCGCCGGATGACTTGCAAATGACGGCCCCCGCCTCTGAAATATTATTATTATTCCTACAGCGCTATGTGTAACGGGCTGGGCCCGGTGCGAGCCTCGGCGACTCTCGGCAAATACCAAGACCCCTGATGAGGCAATTCCCACTCGCCCCACAGCACACCGAACCTTCTAGCAACGCGCTCAGACCAGCGCGCCGACGAGGATAAGTATGCTTGCCAGCTACCAGAGTCTGTCGTCTCTCCTTTTCTTCTCCAAGTTCAGTGTACTCGTAGAGTCGTCATCAGCTAGTTGCAATATACTACCTGAGACCGTTACACTATGCCCTAGGGCTCGCCGGACCCCTACCACTGATTACAAAGGAAAACCATGCCTGTAAGGCTAGACAAAAAACCTCTGTCTCCCCTATACTAGTCTGAAGTCCTGGATCTACCTACTATAGCGAAAAGAAAGGCGTAGATAGCCAACTAGGCTATCGAACTAGCCTAGTTCTAGCCATACAGCTAGTCTATACCCTAGGAGCCTCCTAGAGATAGTAGCCACTAAATCACCATTCTTGTAAACTGTGAGAGACGAGCAATATACAAGCGAGGCACTGAGGGCGCTGCAAATAATACTCAATTCTGCTAATCGAAAGCTAAGGAAAGGAAGAAGGAGAAGATACATGTCACGGATATGGCCGCATGCTGTTGGACAGCAACAGTTACAGGCTCGAATAGGCATAGACCAACCAGGTGACACTGCATCAATTGAGGCACAAGATGAAGCTTGAATTGACTGTCTGAACCATGCGTCATGTGTGTGTGTTGCTTAAAGAACCGAGGGCTTCGGGACCCTCGCCAGACCCTGCTTTTGGGTGGGTGACGAGTCTTCCACGCTTACTGCATTAGGCAACAGTGCCCAGTCCCTGAATCCAGGTGCCGAGGAGCCAGTTCAGTTCAACACATGCAGACCTGGAGGGGCACGAAGTGAGCGTCCCGAGCTAATCATTTAGGATATGGGTATAGCCAAACACGAAGGGAGCGCGAATTCCTGTTTTCGCTCCATTTGGGAGCGATGGGAGCGTCGAACGCTCCCAGCGCTCCCCAAAGATTATTGGAGAAGAAAGTGTATATAGTCTACGATCATTAGGTCTACGGGCATCACGGTAGCTTCCTCAGTAAGCAATGCAAGCAGTCAGCTACACCTACTGTTGAGACATTTGCTTGTGCACTTGTTGTAAACCTTTTGGCTTCACCGAACCTCACTCCGTTGACAGGTTATAACCTTCAGGAGTCCCTTACAAAAGTTGGGGCTGTGTGAGGATACGCGCACAACCAACCCACTCAGCTATGTCGTATCTCCCTGAAAAAGGGTGTCGAATCGCAAGTCGCTCCGACCTTGAAATCCTGTGGGTTATATGTGGGTCACAGCGCAGCTGCCCCATACTGCACTCTGACAGGCTGTAACGGTCATAGGTAGTATATTGCAACTAGCTGGTGTCGACTCTACGAGTACACTGAACTTGGAGAAGAAAAGGAGAGACAATAGACTCTGGTAGCTCGCATGCATACTTATCCTCGTGGGCGCGCTGGTCTGAGCGCGTTACTAGAAGATTCGGTGTGCTGTGGGGCGAGTGGGAATAGCTTCATCAGCGGTCTTAGTTCTGGCCGAGAGTCGCCGAGGCTCACACCGGGCCCAGCCCGTTACAGGGGCTTCGAGATTCGTCACACTAGGCCTCTACAAAAGTAGTGGCAGTTTCAGTAGCTCGATAGGCAGGAAGCTCTTTGTGCGAGTCCATCTTTCTAGTTTCTATAGAAAGCTAGAATCTGCCGTAGCCTTCTATAGAGTAGACCTCCAAATCCTTATCTTGGCTAGCCGTATAGTCGCTGACTGTATATGGAGGCTCTAGTTGAGCCTTCGTTTGAGAAAGCCTCTAGGACCTTGTTTGTAGGTCCTCTCGGCCTCTCTAGCCTTCCAAGTAGCCTATTGGACCTCCTAAGTCCACCAGTGAGCTTGGACCCCCTGTTTAGTTTCCGTAGAGGGGTATTAGCCTTTGCAATTCTCTGCAGTTAACCTGTCATGGGTAGTGACACTGTGGGTTCATATGCGCAGCTCCTGGTTCGACTGGACAGTTCGAACCACGGTGTGACGAATCTCAAAGCCTCAACTTCTGAAAGGGGACTCCTGAAGGTTATAATTGATAACAGAGTGAGGTTCGGTGAAGCCAAAGGGTTCACAATAAGTGCACAAGCAATTGTCTCAACAGTAGATGTGGCTGACTGCTTGTATTGTTTACTGAGGAAGCTACTGGGATGCCTGTGGGCTCTGAGGATCGTAGACTATATACTGTCACGGCACTGGACCGTCGATCCCTAGGTCACGTGGCACATTGCACTTAGCTTCAGGTCTATCTATTCATAGCTTCCTTCCCTTCTCATAGAGCAATGCAGTTATCTTCCCAGACCTACTATGATCCTGTGACATATACAGCTTCCTCTCCTACTGTCCTTAGGAGCGTAAGGAGTGAAGTTCGCTCCTGTCGCTCCCATCGCTCCTTCCATGGAGCGAAGACTTGACTTCGCGCTTCCGTCGTGATTGGCTACACCCCTGTTCTAAATGATTAGCTCGGGACGCTGCCCTCGCGCCCCCACCAGATTTCTGCATACGGCCATATTCGTGACACACAGTCCCTCTTTGAGGGTGTTACTCAGTGGTCAGTTGCGCCTACCGTGACATAACCTACCAACTAGTCAAAAGCCTATAATAAGCCTTCTATTAATGACGTCCTGGCTAGCAGGCTTATAGCTCTTGGCACAAGGGCTGCCTCGGCTTTATCCTCCTCTTTTTCATCTTGGCCCAGCACCAGCCTTGAGGTGCTAGGATAGTAGCTTCTATAATTAAATTCTATTGAATGCTCTAGATATATCTAGTTATAGTAAGGGGGTAATTGCTTTCTATCTCTAAGTCTCTTAGATCTGAGTGACTACTAGCCGTATAGCTAGTTCAGTAAATCGGCTAGCTATTGCTCAGCTATTCATTAAGTAGTAGACCATTCCACTCTTTAGACTCTATTATCCTCCCAGCTATTATAGCCTCTAGTGTCTTATATAAGGTAAGTAGAAAGGCTATAGGACTATAGCATTTGGCAATTCTATATGTAACCGGAGTTTTCCCTAGCTTTAGTACGACTACTATCTTGGCCTTTTGGATCTTAGAACATACTATTATAGTTCTAGGCACTTAGTGTAGAGCACTGCTAGGATCTGGAATAGTAGCCTTCTATAGGTCTTTATTAGGCTTATAGGTATAAGGTCTTCCCTATAGCCTTCTAAAGTTGGGTCTCTGAGAGGGCTCTAGCTATATCTCTAATAGTAACCTTTTTCTAAGCCTCGAACTATTGTTGGTCGAAAGCTTAGTCGAAGGTTGTTGAACTGAACTGGCTCTTTGGCACCTGGATTCAGGGACTGGGCACTGTTGCCTAATGCAGTAAGCGTGGAAGACTCGTCACCTACCCAAAAGCAGAGTCTGGCGAGGGTCCCGAAGCCCTCGGTCCTTTCAAGCAACACACACACATGACGCATGGTTCAGACAGCCAATTTAAGCTTCATCTTGTGCCTCATTGATGCAGTGTCACCTGGTTAGTCTATGCCTATTCGAGCCTATAACTGTTGCTGTTTAACAAAGGTAGTATCAAAGATATCACTAAGGTTAGCTAGTAGATTTGAGAAGAAACTTAGCTGCAAGGGCTTCGGCCTTCTAGCTATAGGAAATGCGTTAATATATTTTCTCAATTAACGTACATGATAAGCGAACGTCCCAGACATGCGAACGTCCCACAAAAACACATCTGCACAACAAATTTCAACATGATTCAACCAACACTGACAAAAATGATTGAAATTACTCGGAATGGTCTTCCTCGGGCACTTTTGCAACTCCTTGACAGGTGCGTGCATTATGGCCAGGCTCGCCGCATCTGCCACAACGCCGCGTGCGCGTCTCGATCCTCGGCTTCCGACCACTGCCCGCCTGTGTTTCCGCCCGTATCTGCACCTCAACATCTCTCTGGGCTTGCA